CAGGGTACTCGCGTGCACGCGCCTACCTCCGGTCAGCGCTGCCCGCCTCCGCCTTGAACCCCGACATGACGATGCGAGCATCTAGACCAGTGTCCGTGACGTTGGGCACCCTGGCGACCTCCCCTCCTTCACCCTCCAGCTCCAGACACCCAGACCAGTTGACTTTCAACACCATGGCAAACCAGTTCTCCGTCCCAACACGCCAGCTCTCAAACTCGAGTATCCAGTCGCATCAATCTCTTCCACACCCTCACCCTCACTCTTCCCGGCACCATCATCTCCATCATCATCATCATCATCATCCTCACCACCACTCTTCCTCGCACTCGCACGGCCCCGCGGGATTCTCCAAGCCAATACCCATGGAAGCAAGCGCCAGCGCCAGCGGAATCCCACGCGAGAGCGTCAGTGTCGACCGCTCACGAGGTGGCGACCGCTGGCTCGACCGCGACCGTCGAGGCTCAGCGAGCGTGCCGCCGTCCGTGCCATCTTCTGCGTCTGGATCCAAGAATAGCAGTTTTATCGGCACGCCCAGACTCCTCTCTAGGCGTGGCTCGACGAGGGAAGGTCGTTCAATCGCCGGACACGCCGCCGCCGAGCTCAAGGGCAAGGGTAGAGAGGACGTCCAGTCCGAGGGTGGATCTCCAGAGGAAGAGGTGTAAGTCTTCTTTCCTCATGCGACAAAAGTAACCTTTTCGCTCACACGACAGCATCGAGACAGCCGAGCTGCGCCTTGACCGTGACCCTGGCACCGGTCGCAAGATGATCAACCAGTACCTTGTTCTTCACGAGATCGGCCACGGGACGCACGGCCGTGTCCGCTTGGGGCGCGACATGTCCGTCGACGTTCCTCCAGAAGAGCTCGAAGCCGACCTTGCCACCGGCAGCGGGCCTTTTTACGCTATCAAGATTGTTGAGCGCAACCCCAAGACGAAACGATTGGCTGGTTTGGGGCGTCAGCGCGCCCTCGCCCGCAGTGGCGGTGCCAGCGCCGCAAAGCTTGTTGCCGAGAACGAGTGCGTTTGCCCCTGCCTCCCTCCCGTGGGATCGTAAGCTGACGTGTATCAGGATCCGCAAGGAGATCGCAATTGCCAAGAAGCTCCATCACCCCAACGTCGTCCGAATGAAGGAGATCATTGACGACCCAGAGTCGAGCAAACTCTACATGATCTTTGAGTACTGCGACGGCGGCGAGGTCGAATGGAAGGCAGCCGACGGTGGGCCCGCCCTCACTCTGGCGCAAACACGGCAAATCTTCCGAGACACACTCCTCGGCCTTGAGTATCTCCACCACCAGGGTATCATCCACCGAGACATTAAGCCGAGTAACCTGCTCAAGTCGGGCGACAAATACAAGATTTCTGATTTTGGCTGCTCTCACTTTTCTGAGGCTCTCCTCTCCGCCTCGGCTGTTGGTGGCGAGGAGCACTATGTCGATGACATTGAGCTGGCCAAGACTGCCGGAAGTCCGGCATTCTTTGCGCCCGAGATGTGTTACACCGATATCCCTGAGGAGGAGCAGCAGCAGCAGCCCAAAGAAGTCCCCACGCTCAAAGTCCGCCCCCCATCCGGGACTGACGATGACCGCGGGCGCCCAGGCTCGTTCACAGTCCTCAGCAGAGACAAGGAGCTCACCCCCCGGCCACAGCCACAGCGTGCCATCTCCACTGCTTCCATTGTTTCCACTCGCAGACCACGACTCCCCATCACCAACGCCATTGACGTGTGGGCGCTTGGTGTCACGCTGTACTGCCTCTTGTTCGGCAAGACGCCCTTTGACGCCGCCAACGAGTACCTCCTCATGCAGGAGATCCCGATCGCAAAGTACAAAGTCCCTGCGCGACTCAGCCGCGATGGTCTTCCGACGGACGGCTCCAACATCGAAGCAAACGAAGTGTTAGACCTTCTGAGCCGATTGCTAGAAAAGGACGCGTCGAAGCGGATTTCGGTGGACGGAGCAAAGGTACGTCATAGTGACGAATTTTGATAAGGTTGCGGGAATTCAAGCTCACGCGTCAGCATCATGCTTTTTCGCTACGTGGCCTCCCAGACGCAGAGGCGTGGCTCGCCTCCACCGACCCCCATGCTGAGTCGTACGTCACGGTGACAAATGAAGAGGTTGCCGCGGCAGTCACGCGCGGGGGAAGCATTCGTGAGAAGTTCCGACGCGGAATCAACAGCATCTCACGAAGGCTCGGCTTTGGGCGGCACCGCAGCCAGAGCATCACAGACGCGAGTGATATCAACGGCGAGCACTCTGGGGGATCTGCCTCGGGCACAGATACGACGACTGCGACCCGGCGCGTCGCGTCTGACAATGGCACCATTCCCACGCAGAGCAATCTTGCAAGACGCCTGTCGATGCTGTCGCGGGATCGCAGCCGCGCAGAGTCGCCCAGACCTGGGCTCCTGGCTTCGCATCTCGAAAGAGAACGTAACACAAGCCCGTCGACACCAGTGCACCATGAGGAGTCTCATCTCCGATTGCCAGCGAGCAGCGAGGCCACGCCGCGCCTCATGCCATCGGCCACGTCACTGGACAAATACCGCAGTGACTCGTTCCGGACCGATTCGCCCACACGCCCTTCGCGTAGACAGTCGTCCGACGTGACGGCTGACCTGCGCCCGCGCACCGGATCCAACGCGTCCTCGTCCGCCGGTTCCGTCCTAGCTCTGGGTCGGAACATTTTCACACGCGGCGAGAGCATGAGCAAGCGCGGCTCGCAGCGCAGCGTTAGCGGCCTGCGCGACCGCGGCTACACGCACTCGTCGGAGGAAACGGACAACAACGTGTTTGTGGGCTCATTTGCGTCGTCCAACGGCGCATTCCCTCGCGCGCCGTCGTCCGAGTTTTTGCGCGGCCGCAGCTTTGATGAGCTCGGCAGACGCCAGAGCACCGACACCTTGGAGCCTTCCTCGCCGTCCAGCCCCAGCCACAGCGCGATCGGGCACATGAGCCCCGAACGCGTCGCGTGGCCGTCCTCCTTCCGCGGCGGGTCCGAGAGAGGCGGCCTCCCCGGCCGCCGCGGGTCGACGCTCAGCGAAGATATCCGCCCCGTGATGGAGGACGAGGAGGTCGATTGGGACGGGGGCATCCCCGACTCGGACGACGAGTCGTCTGATGGCCAGGACGGCCTGCCAAAGGGGCACGGGATCACGTCGGCGCCGGCCGACTGGAACCTGAGCGAGTGCATAGAGGCCCTAGAGCGCCGCGAGCGCCTGCGTCACTCGCCCGTGCGCACGCCCGCGCGCTCTCTCCTCCGGCCATCTGGTGGGATCGACTTCTCGACACTGCGCACGGGAAGCCCCCACCGCGTCCCCCCGTCCGCCTACACCCCTCTCGCCGCTAGCGTGCGCGCGCGCTCCCCCCTCACGCTCACGGAAGGCGTCGCCACACCGCACCAGGCACACACGCCTGGCACGGCGACCCCAGCCGCGCCGGCGACGCCCGACGCGTTCGCCGATGCGCCCGAGGACGACGACGGCATCGTGATAGCTGCGCGTGGGCGGCGCGGCTCCGCCCTCAGTCGCGGCAACTCTGTGCGCCGCGGCATCGCGTCGCCCGCGCCGCCACTCCCCGTGCCAGCGAGCGCTGTTGCCCAGCGCCTCGCGTCATAGACGATTTGCATCTTGCGTTGTATTGCATCTGTATAGCTACCATAGCGCTTGTAATGCCAGCTGTGCTGGGACCTGAGTTAATGAAGTGCGGAAGACAGCGAGGAATGCGGATCACACACGCAAACACTCCTCGTTCACCTGGATCAGCTGACCTTGATGACTGACTCCCAACGCCACCGCCGTCCCGTATGTCTCACAGGGTATAACATGGTTGTACAAACAGGGTATGGCTGTAACGAGTGTGTATCAAGACGTCTCAGGTGACTACCCTCGGCTGACCATGGCAAAGCGCGCGCGCCAATACCACCCGGGACGCGACCTGCTCCACTCACCCACGCGCCGCATCCACTCGGCCACGCGGCGGCGCGCCATGTCCACGCTGCGGCGCCACCACCACTGGACGCGCTCCCACGCGCTCTGCGGCGGCGAGGGCGCCCAGAGCCACTCGCCCGGCGGCGTAGGCACGTGCACGTTGAGGGGGCGGTACACGGCGCCGTGGGCGCTGCGGGAGTGGCCGCGCGGCGTGACGCGCGGGACGCGGCGCAGCGGCGACGGCCCGCGGGGCGGGTAGCCGTTGTCGAGGTCGGGGGCATCCGTGTCGCGCGCCATGGCGGCCACCGCGTCGTACAGCTGGCCGAGGATGCGGTAGACGCGGCCCGCGGGGGTCTCGGCGGCGTCGGCGGGTGGTGCAAGGGGCAGGGTAGGTGACGGAGGGGGGTCGGGCGACGCGCGGAGCGTGCTCTGGCCGCCATCGACGGGCGCGGAGTCCCCGGTGGTGGGGGGCGCGGGGAGGTCGCTCGGGTCGCGCGCTAGGTTTGCCTCGGGCGCTGGCTCAGCCGCGACTGTCAGTGACGGTACCGGTTTGCGCTGGATGCGACGCGTCGGGGTCTCGGCCGGCGCAGCGTGCGCAGCGGTATGCGGGAGTGGGGGTAGCGGCTTGAGGTGTACGTTTGGGATCGAGGTGTGGGCCGGCTTGGAGTCTGGTGCGGCAGCTGGCTGCAGTGGCTCGAGCTTGTGCGGTATCGTCGGAGCCGGCATAGTGACCAGAGCGGTCGGCGGCTGCGTGAACTTGTGCGACACCTCAAGAATCGCGTTGCGGATAGATTCCGGGGCGTCCACCGGCGAGGTGTCGCGCAGAGGCTTGAGTATGCCGCGGACGGGTTTGGGCAGCCCTTGTGCCGGAGGTGCGGGCACACTAGCAGCGGCCGCCTCTGTGCCCGCCGACTCGGTGGGCTGGTTCGGCGGCGTGACCACGGTGTCGTCAACTGGGCCGGTGTCACTCTCTGGCGTGTCGCTCGAGTCAACGTGCTGGTTCGTGATGTAGCGAACGTCTGGGTCCGAGATGAAGCGGACGTGGGCTTTGTGCGGCGTCGGCTTCTGGTCGTCGTTCACTAAAATATAGCCTGGCACCATCGAACCGGGGTATGCGTTCACATTGAAGGACTCGGGAGGGGGAGAGGGGGGTGGGTTGGGATCATTTGAAGCGTTCGCGACTGCAATAGTGACCTGAGGCTTTGCCTTGATTCGGCGAGTGAGGTTCTTGAGGCGACGACCCAAGCCCAAACAGCCCGTGGCGACCTCATCCGAGTGTGGGTCAGAGGCCGGCCTGCCCCGCTGCTGCTGCTGCTGCTTGAGTTGGTCCGTCTGCTGCTTGTGCAGTTGTTTGAGCTGGTCCCTTGCCGAGGATGACGAGCGGCGCTGCTCCTCCTCCTGTATCGCCGCGAGGAGGCTCGGGGTGAGTGACGGCGACGGCTTGCGGTGTCCAGGTCCGCGGAGAGAGACAGGCGAACTGAGGTCAGGATGGCGGGTGACTGGCCGAGGCGGAGATGGGTCTATGGGGAAGCTGTGGATAGAGACTTGCGTAGGCTGAGAGGGCGACGAAGGAGGAGGGGCCGGAGACGGAGTGGGCGGAGGAGGCGAAGGCGGCGAGGGACGCGGAATGGGCGGGAGCGGTCGTGTCGGGCGCGGAGGGCGGCGCGGCGTCGCCGGAAGCAACGTGCTGACTGAGGTGGTCGGGAGCGGGGCATGGGGAGTTGGAGAGACGGGTGAGTTTGGAGGCGCGGGCAACAGATACGTGGGCGAGGTGGGAGACACGGGCGAAACGGGAGACGCAGGCGCAGCAGGGAACGTTGGAGGTACTGGATACCCGAGTGGGGCGGGAGGGGCAGGTGCGTTGGGCGATGCTGGCGGGCCCGAACTAGGAGCGGCGAAGAAGTTCGAACGCACAGTTGCAGCCTGGGTCGGCGCGAGAGCTAGGATGGGCACCAGCGGCTCGATAGGGGATAGCGGCGCCAGTGGCGGGAGCTGAAACACCTCAACAACTGGAGTGCGGGGACCGCGGCGCCACATGCGGCGCTCTTGCACTTGCAGTCCGCGGTCGACGAGCTGGGCCACACCGCGCTGGTGGGTGAGCGGGCACCAGCCCGGTAGGTCGGGGAGGTCGGAGAGCTCCGCGAACCGAGTGCTGGTGTGCAAAGGTGGCGCCGTGTTAGCACGGATGGTCGCGTTAGGCGAGGACGCCTCGGGAGGGGAGCGAATGGACGATGGCGAGGACGTCTCCTCGCGTGAAACAGACTCCCTGCGCACAGAGTAGAGCGAGGACATCGGGCTGCCCTCGCGAACATCGCCTTCGCGGTGCAGGCCGGCGTCGTAGGCGCGGCGCGTCTCGCGGTCGAGGAGGAGGTTGAAGATCGCATCGCGAAGCTCAGAGCGCTCGACTGATGTTATGAGCGCTGCACGCTGCGTCACGCTGCCTGTCAAAGGGGAGTTGGACGTGCGGCGCTGGTCAACGTGCACTGCGTACAGGCGGCGTACTGGTGTCAGTGGAGATGGTGGGGGCGGGCTCACGCTCGGCATGCTCGATCTCGGGCCGCACTCCGAGGAAGGCGTACAGTGTCGTAGGGGTGATGGTTGATGTGGGGCGGATGGCACGGCGACCCGTAACGATCTCGTCCTCGACCGAACGGAGGCGCGCGAGGCGCGCCGACGAGATCGAGCGTGTGCTGCGTACGCTGCCTGTTGGCGAGGGGGGAGTGGGGGGCCGGGTCGGCGTGGATGGGAGGGAGAGGGAGGCTGAAGTAGGGGAAGAGGGGCCAGGGGGAGAGTGTCCGTCGCTGGAGGTCGCCATGGTGAGTAGTTGTGAGTGAGGAGTCATGGGTCAGCGCGCGCACCATATAGTCCTCCGGCACCATCACTCGCGCCTGCTCGCAACGTGCTGCACCCATCGCCATCATGTATTTGCTAGTGTGCGTGCGAAGTCCCCCACACGTCCGGTGACGGAGGAGGAGAAGGGGTACACGTTAGGGAGGCATCAGTTCGGCGCTGTCAAGAGGGGAGGGGAGGGGAGATGTCAGTGCAGTGTGGAGTGGAGGGAGAGTGTGATAGCTGGAGGGATGTGCAAGTGACCACCTACGACAGAGTGATCACCGAGGGCCAAAATCGCGTGCAGCAGTGGCAGGCGGTGAGGAGGTGATGTGGCTGTCGGTGCTATCAGGAAGCCCCCGCACATTGCCGCACCTCCGCACAGCCGCCCCGCACGCGTCACGGTGGCGGAAAAATCAGCGGACCGTTCGGCGTGCTCGATAACCCTGGCCCACAATCTCAGCTTCACGTCATCCCCCCCTCCTAGACTCTACTTCAACCATTCTCACGCTCCACCACTTCACACCAACACTGGAATGGACACGATCATGATGCAGATCTACTATAATTACAGACAATGCGTCTCGGCGCCCTCGCGCGCATGCAATTAGGGGGTCGAGTGATGGGATTCGGACGGTGCGGATCTAGAATTGCGGGGACTCGGCTAAGGCGGGACTTGGCGAAGCTGGAGGAGCTAGACGGTTGCGGGCGCGGGGGCTGGCGCGTCGACGGGCACCTTGCGCACGGTGTGGAGGGCGATGCGCTCGGCCTTGGTGAGATTGCCGCCCTGCTCGAGCATGTCGCGCCACGAGTGGTCGGCGGGCTGGACGGGCTTCTTACCCTGCGCGTTCACGCCGGCCATGACCGCCGACGCGATCAGCACGCCGACCGTCAGGCCCTGTGCGTACATACGCGCCTGCACCAGCTTCTGGGGGAACGTCTGGTACTTGTTGCGCGCGACGATGCCGAATGCAATGCCGAGCGACGCGACCCACGAGCCGCCGATGATGCCGTACTGGTGGCGATTGGCGAAGTCCTTGATCTTCTCGCCCGTGCTCATGGCCGCCCAGCGGGCCTCGGCCTCCTGCTTCTCGCGCGAGAGCTCGTCCCATGCCACGCCGCGCCACTGGGTCTCGGCGATGTAATGCTCGCCGGCCTTCTCGGCAAAGACGGTGCCCACGGGCACGACCATCATCATCGCGAGGAACGCCTTGCCCGGCAGAGGAAGGTTGCGGTACACGGGGTAACGGCGGGCGAGGGCCCAGTTGGTGGGGATGAAGGCGAGGGCGCCGAGTGCTGCGCCCTTGGTCGCCTGCTTGACCACATGGTTGAGGTAAGCCTTGTTCGAGGACTGGGGTTAGCGGGCGGAAGAGGATGAGGGAGAGGCGGGTGGCTCACGTCAAGATACTTGGTGTCGGAGGAGTCAGACATGGTGAGCGAGAGTGGGGGGGTGGCGTTGGCGATGTGAGAGGAGCGTGAGAATGGAGAGTTGGGACTCGATGAGGTTGCTGATGCAGTGGGAGATGGGAGATGGGAGATGTTGAGTGGAGCCCAAGTCTTTTAAGCAGCTGGATGATTCTGACGTACGTCGCGCGAGTTCTGCCAGGCTGCAGGCAGCAACCAGCGAGGAGCCCGCAATCCGCGACTTTGTCCGTCTTCGGAATTCCCCCGCCACGCCGCCAGGCCACCAGGCCGCCAGCTGCAAGGGAAAACCCTCAACGCCCGCCCGTGCCTGGAGACACCGCCGAGCCCGACCCCGAGGCGACTCTGCGCTCCGACTCCACCCGCCCTGTGCCTCTGCTGCTGCTGCCATACGACGCGCCTGCATGACTAACGCGCGCCGGGGGCTCCGGGGCAGACCCCGGTGTCCGGACCTGTGCGTGGGTTGCCTCGTACGCGCGCACTTGATCCGGGCCTGATTCCGAAGCCATGTCTGGAAATGACTAAACTCCCCTGGCGCCTATTGTCCACGTCCACCAAGTCAAATTGGGGAATGCAAGTCTTTTGTTCCACGCCGCCAATTGCCGCGCCCTGGGCCTACACATTCGGACTGCATGCTTCGCCCCGTTGCACGGTTGGAGCAGATCGCAGGATGATGCCGGCGGCACGGTGAATGATCTGGAACGCAACTTCTTATAGATTCGAATATGCCGAGCGACGAGCCGAGCCGAGGGATGCTCGTCGATCATCGAGTCGCCACCATAACGCATGGTCTTGGAACATACCAATCCCGCTGATCAACTACCCGTCTACATTCTACTAGAACACACTGCTTGTCCTTAACTGCTCAAGCTTTTTGAGCACCTCACCAACGTTGCGGTCCAGGTCCGCCGCGATCGCTTGCTGCTGTGGGTACGGGAGGAGGTTGAAGCTCTCGCACAGGTCGCCGTCAACCACACCCTTGACCGGCGCATAGTATCCGCGGTACGCGAGGTGGTCGCGCCCGACCAGCGACGTGTTGAGCGAGCGGATGTGCTGTAGCAAAAAGTGAGAGCGGAATTGCGGAGTGAAGATAACAGATCATGACGAAATCCGACACGGAGGAAATGTCAGCAGCTGATCATGTTTGGGGTTGAGTCACTCACCATCTCGAGCGTCGTCATGAACTCGACGTCGTCGTTGGATACAAACGGAACCAGCGCGCCGACTGCGCCCGAGATTGTGGTGTACATGACGACATCACGTCCTCCGGGCGCGACCGAGACCTTGGTGAGGCTGGTGTCAGCAGATGCAGATTTGCCCGTCGCCACCGCTGGTGCAAGGCGTGCCACCCGCTTAGCAACATAATCTACCACTCATCACCTCGTCACCCTCGCTGGATTGCTGGATCGCTCCAGTCCGATCTGACCGGCTGATAATTCCACCCGCACCACTCGCCCGTGACTAGGCGCCGTGCCTCTGTGCCTCGCCTCGGCCTCGGCGACTTCCACGGCGCGCCCATGCTATCTCTGCTACTCACCTGGTGACAATTGAGCCGACGTTGTAGTGCGCAATGAGGTCCGTCTTGTGCGCCGCGCCCATGAGGAAGCCCTTCTCGTGCAGGATGCCTGCGCCGGTCGGGTCGTCGTCGACCTTCTCCGACACGCGCTCCTCGAGGCGGTTGACGAACACGTTGCCAAACTTGTCGGCGGCAGCCACCGTGTCGTAGTCGACGCTGCATATGGCCGTGAGCCAGCGCGGCTGACTGTCGTCCGCGAAGATGAGGAGCTGGCGCGTCGGGATGGTGCGGTACACGCAGAAGAAGGCCGACTCCTGCGCGTCGCCAACGATAATGCGCGAGCCGAGGACGTGGATGCTCGCGATGCCGGTCGGGAAGCCGTTGTTCTCGCACTTGCGCAGCAGCGCCTTCTTGCCCATCTCGTACAGGCGCAGGCTCTTGCCGATGCCCGCGAGGAGGAAGCCCTGGAACGCGGCAACGGCGAGCGGGAGGTCGTCCGTCTTCGTCTTGTGCATGAACTCGAGGCGTTTGCCGTCGTCCTCTATCGAGTACACGCGCAGCCAACCTTCCGCGCAGGTCTTCGGCACGAGCGTCGTCCGCACGCCGGTGCCGACCACGAGCGATGGTCGCCCGCCCATGCGCTCAAAGTAGCACACAGCGAGCGAGAAGGCTGCCTCATCCTCGTCCAGCTCGATCGTCTGTAGCGTTGACACGGCCAGCGGGTCCATCACGCGGATGCACGATGCCCAGTGGCCTGGTCCGGCGCGTGGACGGCCAAACTCTGTGAACGGTAACTCCAGAACCTCCTTGTTCACTCGGTCGCCTGCCGCCTCCTTGGTGGCGACGATGCGCTCGATCGCCTTCGGGCCATATGTACGGTGGTCAGCCTCGATGCCGTAGAACACTGGTGCGTAAGGGTACGACACGAAGTGGCGGGGCGTGTATGACAAGGGCATGGAGTCCTGCTTAAGCTTGGTGCCCAGGCGGGGAATCGTGAAGATGCGCAGAGTGTTGCCCGAGATGCCGATGAGCCCGTCGGGGCACATGGCAGCACTGAGGTGGCAGGCGTACTCGAGTGTGTCGTAGATGAGGGGCTGGGTCTGTAGCAAGTCCTGGAAGGTGTACAGGAGCCATGTGCGCGATGAGAATGCCATGACGCATGGGCTGCCCTGCACGTTCGAGCGGACGATGCGAGGCGGCTTGGCGCCGATGAAGCGGAGGCGAGTGTCGGACAGCGAACCGTCGACGGGGTCGACGACTGTGCGGAGCAGCACACCGTTGACAAGACCGATCGTCATAAATGTTGTCGCGCGGTTCTTGTCGATCGATGTATCAAAGATCTCTGCAAGGCAGATGTCGCTCGGCGGCGCTGTCAACGCCTGCAGCGACAGCGTCTCAAACGTGCTATCCGGCTCGAGCGAGATGACGTGCACGGTCTGGTTGTCACACCCGACGGCGAGGAAGGCCGTGCGCTTCCGACCCTCGGGCACGTCGGCGATCGACACACACGTCGCGTTGCCCGGCAGGCTCTTCTTCTCCTGGTACTCGCTGAGCGAGCCTTCGTCGTCCAGCTCAAAGTATACGAGCTCGGCCGTGCTGAGCGCAATGACGACCTGGCGCGTGTTTGTTGTCGCGGACACAATCGTCGTTCCGGGAGGGCACGGCCACTCATCCACGCGGTCGGATGCGCGGATGTGGCGCAGACCGTACGGGTGGACCTGCAGCAGCCCGTTAGACCCGAGCTGCTGCACAGCGAGTGTTGGCCCGGAGCTAAGGAAGCCCGTGTCGTTCACCTCCTCGATGGTCTCCCCAATGGACAGCACCAGCGTACCGTTGGGGAACGAGAGCACGATGTACGAGTCGTACTCATCCTCCTCCGACAGCTTGAGTGTCCACACCGCGTTTGGCACGCCTGGCAACCCAGAGGACACGAGGACGTTGACGTCCAACCCATGCTTGAGAGACCGGAAGGTGCTGCGCGGACCGCGGCCGCATGCGGCGTAGATCTGCGGCGTGTCGCTGGCGCCACCGAGGAGGTTGACGACCTGTGCATCCAAGATAGGGTCGAGCGAGGTCTGCGTGTCGACCATAAGCAGGTTGACCAGTGGCCGGGGGTTGAAGAACGCGTACGGAAGCGGACCCTCGCCGACACCGTTGTCGCGGTAGTCTGTCGAGGACCACTCCTGCTCGTCGTCGTCGTCCGCCAAGCTCTGGAACTGGTAAAGGTTCTGGTCGCCAAACTCGCTCGCCACGAACAGATATCCTGACTTGAGGATACACAAGCTGGTCGCCACGGGCACCGTGTCAAAGTACTTGATCTTGAGCGCCTTGACATCCTCGCCCTCATGCTCGATCGTGACCTTGTACAGGTCGCCGTCCTCGCTCTGGACGAGGAAGAAGAATGCGCCACGGATCTTGTGCGTGATCGCGCTGACGATCATGAGGCCGCGGCTACTCTCGCCGCGCTGCGCAAGCGGATTCCTCCTCCGCGGGATCGGCACGCGGTGCGCCTCGGCGTCCATGTGCTGCCATGTGATATGGTCCTCGGCGCACACGAGGACGCCTGATGGCCCGTCGAATCGGTCCGTGTTGGCGTTCTGCCCGCCGGGCACCTGGACGAGGAGGTTGGCGCGGCGGTCGCACGGTTCGCTCCACTTGCGCACGACGTGGTTGAGACCGAGGTCGAGCTCGTAGAACGTAAGGTGCTTCTCTGTCCGCCGCATCGCCTCGCCTGTCGGGTCCTGGTCTGCGTCCGAGTAGTCGATCTCCAGCGCCGCAAACATCGGGTTGTCGTACCCCGTGTCCAAGGACACGAGCGAGGTCACAATCGTGTGCGCCTTGTGCGCCTCGAGCGGCGAGCCGGGAAACAGCTTGCCCTCGGCGTTCCGGTTCAAGATGTACACGAGCTTGGCCTTCTCCACCGCGCCGTACATGACCGCACGGCCTTTGGGGTCCGCAGCGAGGAACTGCCCCGGAATCGTTCGCCGACTCCCCGACTTGCCGTACACCTCCTGATACAAGCTCTCGAAGTGTGGGGTGGGGTGGATGACCAGCTCGATGATGGACAATCGTCCCGAGTCAGACGACAGCACAATGTAGTCCTTCGTCATCCCCGCCAAGCGGACCGCAGAGAGGTTGCGCACCGTTCCGAAGGCTTCGGAGCTGCAGATTGAATCCACTGCATGTCAGCGCTGGAAGGCTATGATGTGTCAGTATGACTTACAGACGCCAGTCGAAGGATTGAGCTTGAGGACCTCTAGCCGTGTCGAGCCGCGCACCACGATGATCTCCTGCCCCTTGCCGCTAAAGCTGCCGACAACGGCAGACGTCGCCGCCGAAGCGGGCTGAAGCGTGAGGTTTAGGAGGTGCATGACGAGCGAGTGGGCGGAAGGAAGGGGGAGGGTGGACGGAGGGGTGGAGGCGAATACAGAGACGCGCCGAGAGGAGGACGCGCTTCGTTAGGCCACAGGATGTTCGCTGTGGCAGGTAACGGAGGAGGTCAAATAGCCTGCTCGCGCGCGGCCTGTTTTGATGAGAAGATAGTGCCGGTCGAGCGGCGATGGGATGTCAACACGATCAACGGACGAGGGGTGTGATTGTTGATGACTTCGAGCCGGAAATCATGGCAAGTGACGGCCAGCACGAGGATTAGTTTTGCATTATTCTTCATTTTCTCCTTCTTCGGGTGCATGTATCCGGCTCCGTCCACTTCCATCCAACACGACCAGAGAAGTGCAACAACTAGCATTACACAAATCGTTAAACTCATTACTGTGCGCTTCTGCGCTAAACTACATCTTGACCGCTACCCAGGCGGCAAGCGAGATCCTTCCTCCGGTTGCAGGCGTCCGCGGCGCCTCCGGTTCCGTGTCCTCCTCGCTCGGGGGCTGGACTGCGCCCCACCGTGTGGGGTCAAGGGCGGTAAGCTTCTGGACGGCGCGCGCGCCTGTCCCAGAGCCCTGCAGTGCCTTCAGTCCTGTTCCCCTGTAGCTGAGGCAAGATCGTATCCAGGTGGGCGCGGCGTCGGCGATCGCGGGCGGCGGGCTCCGCGGCCCATATGGCGAAGGGCTGAAATAGTCGTCGTCCGACTGGCCCGCGGTCCACGTCATCTGGAAAAAGGGTCTAGTCGAGCCTTGAGCGAGCGCCGCCGTGGCTGGGAGGTGCATCTGAAGCGCAAGGACCGGGTTTTGGGGTATAAAGTCGGAGAGGAGCTGGGAAGCGAAACTGTTGGCGACCGCAGCAGGCGCGGAAGGGGGCGGCTCGCACGACATCTCGACGATCTGATGTCAGCGACATACCCCGGGAGCAGTCCCACCTCAAGCACGCCCCCAGGACGGAGAACGCGAACCGCCTCGTCTAGCAGCTCAGCCCAGTGCGTCTCGGGAACACCGAGGCCGACGAAGCGGATGTGCACCATGTCAAAAACGCCCGAGTCGTACGGGAAGTCCTCGAGGCTGAGGTCAGCTGCTTGCCCCACGAGGTCAGCTCACAAGTTGAACTGCTGGAAGGAGACGCGCGAGGCCACGCTTGCCCACACGCCCAACCCGTCGGCCTCGCCAGACACACTGGAGCGCGCTCTGGTCTCGGCGGCAGCGAGTGCTTGCAAATCAATATGGCAGGGGACAAGGTCGGCGCCGATGATCTTCGCGTCTCTCCACTGCAGCGCAGCAGAGACGGGCCACAGCCCGGAGCCCGTACCAAGCTGGTTTGTTAGCTTAATTCCAGGCGACTAATATTCCGTCCACTTACATCGAGGACCGTCGCCGGCTCGCCGTCCACAAAGGAGTGTCTACCGCCGGCGACCTCGTACATGGTCTCATGAAGGCGCGACTCGAGGTCGAGAACGTCACGCTCCCAGCCCAACTTGTACATTGTACGCGTCTCCTTGCCCTTGGTGTCGCACCACACGCGACGCACCCCTGTGGCGCCCTTGGCAAGCACATCGCGCCACCCGGCCCCATCCTTGTCGGCTCTGGAGGGCGCAGGCTTGCCGGACGACTCGGCATCTATGGCTATGGGGTCCCACGCGGCAAAGGGAGACGAGGCGAAAGGAAGCACCTCGTCTATGTTAGGATGTCGGAATGTGCGCGACATGTTGCGCTTGCCAGGTGAACCGAGACTGGGCCCGTATGGGCTGCGCGGCGTGACGGGCGAGAGGGGCGACTTGGCGCTCTGGGGCGAATTGGTGAGTGACGCCTCCCTCGACTGGTCGTTGTGAATGCTGTTCGTCGAGTTGCGAACATGGGAGAGCGTATGGTGACGCGCCGAGCCTGTGCGGTGCCCACTGTCGCTGCCCGCGTCGGAGGCGGTCGACGTGGAGGGCGCCACGCTGGGAGCGACGCTCGGAGCGCTGCTGGCAAAGGACGGCGTGTGGTGGCTGTAGCTAGGCTGGTAGGCGTACCGGCTGCCATTGTCCTCGTTGTAGGTAGATGAGCCGCAACTCGCTCTACGTGCAAAGCCGGGGTGCCTCGGAAGAGGTGGTGGCGTCTCCGGTTGTGGACTGCGGGCACGGCGAGAGCTGAGTGACGCTGGGTAGTTGCTCCTCTGAGGATGACGGCCGCCACCAGGTACAAACCCGACCGTGCTTGCCGCCGGCGCCACACTCGTGACCGCGGGTGTGTGTGTGCTCTTAACTGTTGATCGAACGGGATGCCTTCCACCTCCTGGTACGACTGGTGGCGCTCGCAGACTCTCGGCGGCCGCGTGCGCAGCCGCACTCACGTGCTTGCGCATGGTGCGCCAACTCGAGATGCCATTCCCGCCACGCAGGGTGGACATGCGCCGTCCGAGCTTGCTTCCGCTGTCGTCTTCAAGCATCCATCCTTCGCTGGCAAACTTGTGGTGCATGGCCCGAGCGTGTTCCTTACGCTCGTCCTGGGGAAGCTGGCGGGCAGATCCGTGTGTATGCTCGCCGTCGTGATTCCGTCGGGGGTCCTTGTCCTGAGGTTCATCACTTGGGGGCTGCGACTTTTGGTGCTGGTGGATATGCTCTGGGCGACGACGGCGAGACGAGTAACCTAACGTGTTGGAATGCGTGAGTCCGGAGAGACCAGAGAAGCCGAGCCTTGACTCGCGACGCCTGTCGTGGTGGTCGTCGCTGCCTTGACGCGCCATGGCAAAGGCAGTTCGTGCCTTGGGCAAAGGAAGGTGCGGAATGGAGGGGTTTGGGGAGGATGCTGGGGCGGCGTCGATAGCCACCCACCCGGCTGGTGGGTCTGGGGTGCGGGCGCGGCGCGGCGCTGGGTACAATGTCTCCATGGTGTGAGATGAAGGTAAGGTGGAGTGAGGAGTTGATGAGGCGAGCACTGGCTGGAGTGAAGTGAGGCTCGCCAAGGAATGTGTGTGTGGTGAGGTGAGGCTATTAGGATATCGTCTCGTGGTGGGGGTTGCCGCGTGTGCTGCAGTGTTGGTGGCGGCGGCGTACGCGGCGTGAGTAGAGTGATGAGTAAGAGCGTAGAGAGAGTGGGTAGAGTGGGTAGAGTGGGTGGAGTGGGTGGAGTGGGGGAGGTGATGTGTTGGGTAGTTGCGAGATCTTGAGAGGTCAAGGTGGGGAGTGTTAAGTCGAGAGCGAGCGACAGTTACATGAATCGGGTCAGATCACATCCACGATCCACGCCCTGTACTCCTGTATTTCCCTGCCTGCACTGCACCCCCTTGCTGGCGAGCTGGCTGCTGGAATGCACGAGCGGGAGGCAGCGAGGCAGGCGGCCAGGCAGCCAGGCAGCCAGGCAGAAGGTAGAAGACTCTCCAACTCTGAACGGAATCCACAGCGAGGTATGCAAAGATGTGAGGGATGGATAAAGGCCGTGAAGCGTACGGTGGCCTGTGCGTGGGAGGCTGTCATCTGACGCGACTGCGCGACCTCGCCACCTCGGCCACCTCGCGCGTCGGGGGGGTAAATGAATTGTATCAGACTGCCAAGGTTTGAGCGCGAGGAGAGAGCTCTTGATCGCTTTCAAGGGGACCACGCTGGCGTACGGGTATATACGCTCGTGGCGGCCTGTGCAGTGGCGGCTGCGACGACCAGGTCACCCAGCCTGCAGCCTGACCAGGTCCGTGCCACACTCTCTGCTCACCACGGCCGCCAGCCGCCAGCCGCCAGCCGCCAGCCACTGCGCCACAGCCGTGCCAATCTGAGCTCGACCCACATTGCTCCCCTTGCAGAACGGGTAAACTCTTCATATCATCCCACTTGGCCACCTATCTGCGCTGCACGAACGTTTGACATCTGACAAGCGAAACGAGGCGGAGACTCAGAACAGCTTGACTCTGAGTAGACAGCGTATACAGTCCGAAACGTGCATGCCGCAGTGATACACCCCCCTATCGGCGCCGTCGCCGAGGCCGCAGACGGCTATCGGCGGCTACGAAGCTACACAGCGGGGCGACCTCGAGAGGCGCATGGCGCTGCCGCGTGGCGCATCACCCGACTTACGCCCGCTCCCCCATCCATATCATTTGTGTCGTCGGCGCACGCAACACGCTCGCACCACGAGCCATCACGGTCCGTGCGTGCTCGCGGGCACCTTGGCTTCGCCGCGCCCGTGCGCTCGCATCCGAAGCAACCCCGGCCGGCCCTCGGCCCTCCCAAGGCCTCCAGCCAAGCCAAGATCTCGGTTCTGCGGGGGCGCATGGGCCGGGGCCGACGGGGTCCCACGGCGTGCTTGGGTACGCCGTACATTGGCCCTGCTCTTTCTCCTAGTTCCTGCTCATACACTCTCCTTGCACCGGGTCCCCTCGGCGCAGAGGCCTGTCCCGCTCTGCGGGGCTCGCCGGCACCGCGGCACGAGGACACGCCGGATACGCCGGGCAGCCCCTGCGCCCCGCGCTCGCCTCCATCTCGCCAATACGGAGCGGACCCCTGGCCGTGCTGTGGAATTCGATCGGACACGCCGCGCCCGTGCAGCAGGGCGCTCCCAGCGCAATTTGCTCCTCGCCCCGAGGCCTGCATCGGCGGTGACAGCGACCGGCGCTCACGTCATCTTGCGAGATGTTTCGAGTTTGTGCTGATTCTTCCTCTGCTGTCTCCTAGTCTGGGGAGGTCTGAAGCCACACCTGTTTGTGGGCGATCTTCTCTTGTCAGGTTCCAACTCCAATGCATGCCCGAAAGTGCACACCGGAAGAGAGTCGGAAGAACTCTTAGCCGTGGCCCAGTTCTGCCCAGATGTGAAGATCAGGTGCTCGGAGGGCTCGGAGGCAGTTGCGGCGCTTTGGCGGTCCGGTTGGTCGTGTGCTAGGTCCGTCGTGATGGTGGGATGGTTGGCGAGTGACCCGAGTCCTGGGGTGAGAGGGCAAGATCAATGAGGTCTGGGGCCGGTAGATCTGGACGACGAAGGGTACTGGAGAAACGACCTGCAACCAGAGGACGGAGCTGTCGACAACATAAGCTCGCCACATCCTCGGTCCCAGCTTCTTGGTCCATCACCCGGTTCCAGCATCTCGGTGCTTCAATTGCGAGGTACGCGAGGTACCAGGGATCGATAATCGACTCGTCACATGGTGGTGGCTAATGAGTCGGTTTCGTTCCATTCCATTCGGCGCATCCGTTCCTTCCGAGTGATGGGAGGCACGGTGGCGGCCCGCACGCCCGTACGTCCGATTACTAGGACCCAGCATCGATTGCCTGCAAAGGCTGGAGACCGCCACGTTGCCACGCCCTACGTCCTTTGCACGTGATCCATGTGTTTGCGAGTGCAAGTCGAGCGGCTGGCAAATTCGAGGAGCGATTCCGATGCTTGACTCGTCTTCGGCGTTCGTAGTGGTGGTCGTATCCACTCCAGCGGGAGGTTGATTGCGCAGGGTCAGAGACAAACGTCAGTCGCTCTTCCAGTAGAGCAGATGTTCATATCCGTTAGTCGGGCTTCCCTGCGCCTTGACGAAGCTGCTCCAGTTCAGCGGCATGCACCATGTATGGCTATGCGGAGCATGTCCCACCTCCTGGCCGTGTATCGCCGCGGTGAGCCTTAACGAGGCTAACAGTGACGCGTCGGAAATGCGACGGGCTTCCGACGTGTGTGCACGCCACCCGACTCCTATGGGCCATGCACCAAAATTAGACCAGCAGTGTATTCTTTGAGATCGGTGAATCGCTGGAATCGGGAGGACGGCATACGTTGTTGCTGTGAGCTGCGATGGGAACGGACAGACTGCGGGGCCGTAAGTGTTGGTGGCGGTGAGTGCGCCCTAACGGTGGGTGAGGCTTCGTGTATCTCTGTCAGGTGTGTTGTCACAGAAGGACATAGGCCGGCGCGGAGGGAAAAAAAAAAACCATGGGAGAGAGTCATTCTTTGCTGGATTGCAAGAGACGGAGCACTGGAGGTATAAAGAGCATGGTGGGCGTGTTTGTTGTTGTTTTGAAGTATTGAGGGCGTGTTGGAATGATACGATTCGAGGAATGTCAAGGGACAATTACAACTCGCTGCCGGCCAAGGGCGGCTTGGGCGTACCACGGGGCGTTGTGGCGCTGGGCGCGTCATGGAATTGGTCGACGCGCCATCCCCTGCGCCGCCATCTCTTCTACCTGGCCTACCTAGCCTCTTTCATCCTCTCCACCGCCCACCGGCCCCCGTCTCCCTTCTACTTGCCTCTTCGTCGCTGCCATCGATGGGGCGCGTGGGGCGACGCGTCCGGCCGACGCGCGCCGCGCCTCCCTCTCCTACTGTTGCAATACCCTGCCTAGACCTACCAACTGCTCAAATTTGATCCCAAAGCTCACCAATTCATCGACGATAGCCAGCTCACAACGCCCTGGCATGCACGGCCCCGGGCGGTGCCCATGCCATGGAACTGGCCACACACTGGAGAGGGGGAGGAGAAGGGTAGCAGGAGAAGGAGGCGGAGGGAGCGGGCGCGGGCGCGATCGTAGCTCCAATGCAGAGCGCAGTGCACCCGGCCGCAGGCCGCTGGCCGCCGTCCGCTCGCACCGCGCAAGGGATCACGCTGCCCAGATAAAGCCTGCCAGAGCATCTCCCCATCCCCATCGCACTCACTCTTGCACTGCACCTCTTGCATCTAGCATCTCAGTCTTCAGTCTCCCGTCTCCAAGTCCTTACACGTTCCTTCGACATGTTCGCCTTTGCTCTCCTCGCCCTCTCGGGCCTCGCTAACGCCCTTACCATGCACACGCCTGTAAGTATGCCGCGCGGTCCGTGAGCGGAGCTGCCTAGCTCCGGCGGAGTGATCTCGGCAGTCGAGTGGCACACGGGACTCTCAGTCCGCCAGCAGGCAACCATCGGCCGGTGGCTGAGGCGAGCGCTTGGCGTCGAGGAGGATTGCCGATCGCCGAGATGGACTTGACACCTTCGCACGCTCCATCTCATCTCGATCCTCCTCCACTTTCACGCCCCTCAGATCTGGCTTGCTCTTCTGGCTTGTCTTCTCGGACCTCGGACAATCGCTGACCTCAGGCCTCTCTCACCCAGTGCCAGCCCATCAAGCTGTCGTGGGAGACCGGTGTCCCCCCCTTCTACCTTTCCATCGTTCCCGGCGGCCAGACCAGCGCCCAGCCCCTCGTGGCGTTCCCCACCACCAACGCCATGTCGCAGACCTGGATGGTCAACCTCCCCGCCGGCACTTCGGTGTGAGTAGCTACGCTGCGTGAATAGCGTGGCCGCGTTATCGCGTGATTGCGTGAATGCAGTGGACCACGCTGGGACGTTCTGCCGGACGAAAGTGCGGCGCCCGTCGGCCCCTGTGCTCGAGCCCGGTTTCAGCCACCGCTACGCGCCACGGACCCTGGTCACAGGCTGACAGCAGCACCATCATGGTCACCGACAGCACCGGTGAGATGTCCGTCACCTCGCCCGTCTCGGTCATGGCTGGCTCGAATGCGGACTGCATGAAGGAGGACTCGTCGTCGTCGGCGTCGTCTGCCTCGGCGCCTGCCGTCTCTTCGCCCGCCGCGCCTGCCGCGTCCTCGCCTGCCCCGATCCCCGCCGCTTCGTCGCCCGTGCCCGTGCCCGCCGTGTCGTCGCCCTCCGCGCCCGCCGCCGCGGTTTCGCCCTCGGCCTCGGCCTCGCCCGCCTCCGCCGCCGCCGCCTCCGCCTCGCGCGCCGTCTCCTCGGCTGCCGTCACCCCCTCGGCCGCCGCTGCTGGGTCCGGTGCCGGCCGTGTTGCTGTCGGCGGCGCTGTCGCCGCCGTCGCGGGCATCGTCGCCCTCGCCGCCTTTTAAGTCTCCGTAGACAGCCTTTCGGAGGCGTATGGACTCTGGGTTGGAGTGGAGGGACATACACGCCACCCACGCCATGGCGCTAGACGCTGATAGATGAACACACGCTCCTTACTTCTAATCACGTCGACAGACTCTCTTAGTCTCCTATGATCCTATAGTGATGTCAGAGCTTCGAGCTTCAGCCACGAGCTGACGCGCCTGATCTGCAATCGGCGTTCACGTGGATCGCTAAGCATAGTTGGATCAGCGTCATTCGCCGGATCGCCGGTCCCAGAGCTTGGCTTGAACTGAACTTTCTCACTCATTAACCTACACCGTGTATGACTCAGACATATACTTCGCAGTTGCAAGACGCGCAGAGCTTGAGCTTGCCATGCTTCCGACATGGATAGCGTTCAGCGCGAGCTTTCTGGGCCAGGGTTGCTTCCCAACTGGAACACGCCAGTTTGGTGTCGTTATGATGCGGGTAGTAGGCCCTTCGAAATGGTGCTAGTGCTCACCCTTTGGTGCTAGATTCAGTGGCTGCCCGGGAGAGAGTGTCCGTAAAGGTACATTGACGGTCGTTGAGCGTGAGCTTATAATCGTTGTTGTAGGTGCAGCTCTGGAACAAGGACCTTTGAAGAGGGGTCTTGAAAAGGCTCTGCCCTTCGGTGGGCTACTCTGACCAATGAAGACTACATTTCTTGTGCACGGTATGGAGTCTTCCGCTCGACCAAGGACAGTTCCGCTCCCGCGCTCAGTACCATCGTCCTCCACCAGGAAACATCATCGTGAACCAGGCGACTGTGCTCCCGCCCTATCGTATATCCTAATGATCCGCGCTATTACGCGATCTGGCGATTAGAGATACGACATGACATGCTCCTCATTTAGCTCGGCTTTCGGGGGCCGGAGATAGCGAGGCAGGCGAGTGGGCAATTCCGTTTATCCGCCCTGGCATCGGTTATGACCGCCTACTTCGCCATACGGCCGCGCACATCGACCGGGTCCCCGCCGTCATCACTCGCGCTCGCTATACACAGCCAACCCGCCCGCCCTCCCAGCTCCGGACACGACCGAGTTATCATCTTCTTCCCCTTTAAGCACCTGCCTGTCCGTGTGCTTGCTCCTTTCCCCTCCGCCTCACCACCATGCTCGCTGGATTCCGCTCGCTCCGCGCCACGACGTCGCGCGCCGGCCTGTTGCGCGCGTCGCTGGCACTCCGGCCCTTCTCCGCCGTCGCACCTGGCGACGACAGGCCGCTCGCGGGCATCAAGGTCGTCGACTTGACCCGCGTGCTCGCGGGCCCCACTGCCACGATGATGCTCGTGAGTCCGCGCGACGTGCGGCGCTGACGATAGTCTGACCTCGGCGGTGAGATGCCCATGCCCACCGAGCCACACTGACCCCAGCCGACGTGATCAAGATCGAGTCGCCGAGCGGCGACGACACGCGTATCTGGTCCCCGCCTGAGGCTAAGCTCGTCGACGGCGCGCCGCGTCCAGACTTGCCCCCCGAGTCGGCGTACTTCATGTGTGCTAACCGGAACAAGCGCTCGTGAGTGTGGTCAAGTGGGGAGTGGTCGTGCGAGCGGTGCTCCAGTGCTCCAGCGCTCCATAGTGGTCCGGTACTGCAGGCGGAGCAGGCTTCGTCGCAGAGCTTGCAGTGCAGTCAGCGCGGTCGATGAACTCACACACAGCGTCGTTCTCAACCTGAAGAACAAGGAGGCGATGAAGGTCATGTATAAGCTCATCGAGGACGCCGATGTGTTTGTGGAGAACTACGTTCCCGGCAAGCTTGAGAAGTTTGGGTTGGGGTGGGAGCAGCTCAAGAAGATCAACCCCCGCTTGATCTACTGCTCGGTCACTGGTGAGTCGCGGGTGTGTCACCTCTCTTCGCTCTAGGCGCAGGCGGCGTGAGCGGCGTGAGGGGATGTAGGCGTTCAAATGTCCCAGCTGACACATAGGTTACGGCTCGACCGGGCCCTATGCATCAGCGCCCGGCTACGACGTCGTCATTGAGGCTGAAGCCGGTCTCATGCACATCACTGGCGAGAAGGAGGGTCCCCCCGTGAAGGTGAGTTGAGGAAGGTTGACCCCAGCTGATCCCAGGTCGGCGTCGCCGTCACCGACATTCTGACGGGCCACTACGCGACCTCGGGCATCCTCGCCGCCCTGCTGAAACGCGGCAAGACGGGCAAGGGCACCCGCGTCGAGACCTCGCTCTTCGAGTCGCAGATCGCAACGCTCGCCAACATTGGCTCCAACTACCTCATTGCCGGGCAGGAGGCTACGCGCTGGGGCACGTCGCACCCCTCGGTCGTCCCCTACCAGGTTTTCCCGACCAAGGACGGTTACATGATGATTGCGGGCGGCAACGACAGCCAGTTCCGGACGCTCTGTGGGCCCAACATCCTCAACAAGCCTGAATGGCTCGACGACGAGCGCTTCGCGACCAACGCGTCGCGCGTCACGAACCGCAAGATCCTCGTCGACGCCATCATCGAGGTGCTGAGCCACAAGAGCACGGCCGAGTGGACCGAGGTGATCCGAGGCAAGGGGTGAGTCAGTCGAGCACGCAAGTCTGATGCCAGTATCCCCTTTGCGCCCATCAACAACATCGGACAGACGTTCAACCACCCACAGGCGATCGCGCGCAAGGTCGTCGAGGAGGTCGAGCACCCGCGGGCGGGCAAGATTAAGATCGCGGCCGCGGCGGTCACTTACGACGGCGAGAAGCCCAAGATCTACCGCCCCCCTCCTTACCTTGGCCAGCACACGGCGGAGGTGCTCGAGGAGATTGGGTACAGCGCTGCCGAGATTGACGAGCTCAAGAGCGGAGGAGCAACAGTGTAAGAGCATAGACTGTCATCATGATTGCATGCAGGGTTGTGGACATTGGGCGGTATAGTGGCGAGGAAGGTAAGCTGACCGAGGGTGAGTGGACTGCAGAAGGAAGGTGGTCATGCTGGGAGTGGGTGGGCTACTACTTAACGACTGCCTTCCTCATCTTGACCTTGACTCCTCTCCATCTCTCATCTCCTCCAACACTCACCCAACACTCACCCGCTTCACTTTCGTTTGATCACCTTGCCACTCTTCTTCTCACTCTTTCAGTCCTCCTCTCATCTGCCTAGCATCCTTCGCCGTCATGTCTTCGCCGAGCCCGTGTCCGTCTCCGTCGCCCTCGCCGCACGGCTCTTATGTGAGTCACGCGCTCACGTTGGGTCACCATACCGGCCAGCTAATCCTCGCAGGAGTACAGCAGCTCGGCTCGACTCTCGTTGCAGCACACACCGCCCATGCGTCCTCGTAGACTCACCTCAGACGAGGGCATGGACATCGACGTGGACTTGTACCCCCCGTCCTCGGTGTGTATCCTCACCTTCCTTGCCGTCAACTATCACGCTGATGCCTAGCCTGCCAAGAGCTCGACCTCGTCACTCTCTGCGACTGCTGTCCCGTTCGCTCCCACCTTCGTCGACACGCAGAACGATCGCAACGCAACGCACGAGTACCTCACACACCTTGCCAAGGAGGCCCAAGCCCGCTATGCCGCTGACAAGCACCGCTCCGGGGAGAAGGACAATGGCGTCTCCGGAGCTACCGTCCTTCAGGTGTCCGACCTTCACTGGGTGGGCTTCTTGGGCCAGCAGCAAGTTGACACTAGTTTACCCAGGACGCCCACCTCATTGAGGTCGCCGCGGCGCTGGGCATCAAGCTCACATTCAAGGACGTCACCTTCCTCGAGCACAAATGCAACGGCAAGAGTAAGGGGTGGGTAGCCGGTTGCCACGAAGGCGGCTCACCGCAGCATCGCCTTCATCAACTGTCACACGACGACGCAGATGTTGCGTCTCTTGAGGTGGTTTGAGACTAAGTGAGTCCATCAGTACTGTTAGGCGGCTCACACGTCAGCGAGTTCCAGGGCAAAAAGATTTCCACCAGCATTTCGACCAACATGAATGGAAAGCCGTCTCTTCCTCCTCCCACTCACGACAAGGAGAACGGCGGGCTCGGCTACCGCCCCAACAACGACGGTCCTACTCGTGCTCCTCTCCCCTTCCTTCCCACGAACACACACGGCGGCGTCAACTTTAACCGCGTGCCCCTTCACCATCGCCAGCAGATGCAGCAGATGCAGCAAGCGGGCTTCCTCCAGGGCGGCTCATACGCCCGCGGGAACAACATGAACGGATACTCGACGTCGCAAAACGCCAAAAACGCCTACACCGCCGACCTTGTGCACAAGAAGGTCATGGGTGAGCGTGAGGTTGCATGATGGCTGCTGACGTGAAGCCCAGCCCAACCCCTTCTACACAGGTACGCTTTGACAGTTGCTGATCATTCACCACAGGTACCTGGCACAACCAGATCATCGCGCAGCCCATGGTGCGCACCATGCGTGCTTGACGATACCCAGCTCGAAGACACTGGTGGGCGCAGTATACGAGGCTCACCTGCCATATACCCGCTCTGAGCGCCAAGTTGTATGATAAGTAAGAACTCTTAGAATCATGGTCGCGATGTTCAGATGTTCTGGCCTTTTTGAAACGCACCTGTGCTAGTTGCGGTGGTTAGGGTGTCGATTGTTTACACGAGTGAGGCTGGATTGCAGCGCACTGGCACTGTATCGTCATCGCGTCTACTGGTCAGCTGTTGGAGGAAGTGAATCGCGCGCACCCTTCACTAATCGCCATGATTGGGCACGTGTCCCTCATTTTGCCAAGTGAGGCGCACTGCTACTGAATTTCTGAAGTCGATTCGACCGACCCCAACGGCGGACATTCCAAATAGAGTCCAACGACAGCCTCGGCTGGTGAGAGCCGACCCCGTCGGCTGTCGTCGCCATCGCTCTCACCCGAAACCTGAAACGTAAGCCGACATTCCACAAGTGTCCGTGGTCATGCCGTTGACGGGCCAGGTGGTGGGCCGGCCGCGTCCACAAAAATCATACTGTTGTCACCATGTGAATGAATAGCGGAATGTGTCGGCTCCATCGGGTCTGACGCTTCCCAGACACGGCTGCATGTGATACCCTGTAATTCATTAAGATGTGACTCCGGTTCCGGATCGGGCGGAGGCCATGACGGGATGGGATGAGACGCGCAGAGCCGGGAGGCGGTAAGCCCGACGTCGTTGACCGACTTCGACCGAGCCGTATTAGGTCATGGGCTTGTACATGAGCGGCTGAAGGGGGAAATGAGATGGGTCAGAGAGGGTGAGAGGGGCAAGGCGAACGGAAGAGGCGTGTGGTGGGCACACGCCGAGAGTGCATGAGCCACTATTGACACTGTCGTAATTAGGAAGGGATGTGAGTGACGGGCGAAGAATCGTGAGCAGAGAGGATGAATGACGGACGAAAAGGGTTGATGCTTGAGGAGGATTGCGTATCAGCATCGATCTTTCGGTCGGCGATATTACCTCGGTCATCTCATTAGGAAGCCGAGACCGTGTGGCCAATGACGTGCGCAACACTTGGCATTTTACGGATTGATTACTACTGACCGAACTGCTCCATCCATCGTCGCTTACGACTGCGGAAGCTACCGGCTGCCTTGCAGATTTTTTTCCCAGAATGCTGCTGTGCACCACCCATGAAGTGCGAACGTTGACAGCAGCTCCGTGACAGCAGCTCCGTGACACCCGGGGAGTATCATAAATGGGGTGGTACCGTTACCATGACGCCGGCCGGCGTGGACAGCATTCCGCATTGCTCCACTCTTTGCCGTCTCACATTCCGCGCACGTTACGGTTGGTGACTAGACTTGTGGCGTCGACGGCGAGTGTGGCGCCACACAGCGTGGCACTGAGTTGTGTGGCGGCGCGTTGAGGCACTGGACCATACGTACGCACGTCAGATCTGCCGTACTGCTCCCCATTACGGTGAGCGCCGAACGGGCAGCGGGCAGGGGACAGGTCCGACCATTGCTCGTTTGGAGCGGCAATCGACACTACGCCGAGCGACAACGGCAACAGCTCGGTCAGCTCGGCTCCTGGCGTCAGGCGACGACCTCGGCGCACGGAGGTTCCATACAGGTCAAGGAGATTACAATGCCCCTTCACACCCCTTGAGATGCTCCCGCCGTCGCAGCCCATCAAGAATTCCATATCCCCAGCGGCGCGCACATCAAGAGCGGGAAGCCACACGTCTGCATGCCACGGGAGAACTGCCTCAGCTGGTGGCGAGGTCAACCCAGGCTGGAGCAGATGGTTGGTAACGCCCTTACGGCAGGCGTGACGTTCCTCGAGGCACATGCCAGTGGATTGCAAGGAGTCGTCTGTGCCTCCAAATCTCCCACCTCACTGGGATCTGATCCACCAAACCGAGAAGCAGGAGCATCCATACTTCCGCTACCCCATACGGGAAATCCACGCGCCCGTAGCGTGCATGGGGCAGAAAGATGCTCATTCCGGGACGAATTCTCATCATCACGTCCTTGATGTTCCCACTACGCTGCCGTCAGCGTCCCCAGTCCCTTCGATCTGTACGGCACGCAAAGCCCAGCTAACGACCTCAAATGTGACCACGAAGAGTGAAGTTACAGCTGTTGGAGCACACTCCCTCGACATCGTCCCACCCCGAGGAACAGGACCGGAGAAATTTGTGCCACTTGGAACTCACCGGATGCTTTTTGGCAGAGACACAGCTAGCTCCAGCTGCCCACTTGCCTCTTGCAGTCTGCAGACTGATCTCGTTTTCTCCCGAGAGCGCGTGAGTGAGGGTGCCCGGTGTGGGGCGGAACCTGGGCCTCGTGCCTCTCTTGCCGACTCATGCTTCGTAACCACCACACCTGTCGGTCGATATGACCGATACCCCGCCCCGAGTAACATGACCCAGAGAAATGAGAGTTCACACCAGAAGCCGGATAAGCCTGACTAGGTGAGAAACTGTAACGTTTGTATGCTCGGTGGAGCTTTTGTCATCACAGCGCTCGGCGACACGTCAGCTTGGCGAGGTCGCACCCGAGGTAGTCTTCGGTCCAGTACTCTATGCCTCCTCACCCTGCATTGCTGATGTTCTGGCCTTCCTTTAACCTGGGAGTAGCAACGCACGCAAGCTTGCCAAGGTCACCGACACTTTGGTGGCGCAAAGCTTGCTTTTAATGTACTCCTGGTCACGCACAGATGCGAGCGGCAGAGCAATCCTATATTGTGACGGGTGACCCGAACTATTGGCAGAGGCACAGGGAGTTGCCACATGCCAGGCGGCGTGCGTGACCAGGCAGAGGTAACGGTTCGATAATGTTGACAGGAGAGTAGTATGCTGCCCATGCGGCGGTGCATTCTCCGGTATGCGGGTACAATCGTCCAGCAGAGGACTGGGGCTTCTGCGTATCTCTATGGAACCGAGGGGAAGAGGATCGCTACTAATGCTTGTATGGTAGGAGGAGGTCTATTGATGTCGTGTGGAAAGGGTGGAGAATATTCGTACAGATCCAATGTCCAAAATGGATACCCAATGTCTTGTGATTAAAATCGTTCGATGCTGCCGAGCGGGCGTGTATATGCGTTAAACGAGGACTTGTCTAGTTCGTCGAAGTGGCCGAGTACCACACGTTCGAGTCGTTGAGGGTCTGGTCTTGCGCTGGGGGTTGGCGAGGAGCGTACTGGCCTGGGACGGCGGGAGTCATGCCGAGCTGGGGCGAGAAGGTCGTGGCGGGCGATATGGGAGTGTATGGGTATTCGGCAGAGACAGACGTCGCTGGCTCGGCTGAATCAGGTGTAAATGCGAAGACGGGGGAACGGAGCTCAGTCGTGTTGTGGTAGTAGGTGGGGTCGGACGGTGGGCGCGAGCCGGTACCCGAAGCCGCACTTGGCTGACCAGACTGCCCCGGAACCGCAAGATACTCGGCGCCGACAGGGGTGGGAAGGTGCGGGATGACCGTCGATGAGGGGACTGAGTAGGCGACTGGCGTGCTCTCGCCAGTGCCGACCTGGTGGACGTCGGTGGAGCTGTAGCCCTTCTGCGGCCCTGGTGGGGGACCTGTGGCGAAGCTCGGTGCAGCCCCCGGCTGTTCCGGAAGGCTGTGGCGGCGGCTAGGCTTGCCTGGCGCAGGACCGGGCTTCGAGACAGTTGTGGTCGACGTTGATCCCAAGGTGGGGGTAGTTGAGGTTGAGCCAGTATTTGTCCCCATGCCACTGTTCGCGGGCTGGGGCTTGTTAGGGCCACGCTGGCGGACCGCGGTCGAAAACTCGCACACGAAGCGGCGTTTGGTACAACGGTTGCAGGGATTCCCGCCAAAGCACTAAATCACGTCAGCACAGGTTTCATCTCGGTTTCGGGATTGATGTTGAATGCGATCTGAGACATCGCAGATGGCCTGCACCAGCCCGCCCAAAAGTCTTGGTTCACCCGGACTCACCCTTGCCTTGCGGATGCGGCAGCGCTCACAAGCCTGCGCAGTGCGCGAGCGCTTCTTGATCTCAGGTGCCGGATTACCAGCGGCATCGAGCATAAGATGATGGCCCGGCTTAGCACCAAGCTGGCCGGGAACCACTCCGTACATGTGGTGGGCGTGGTGGTGGTGACCCATCTGAGGTCCGCCGTGAAATCCGAGGCCTTCAGTCATGTCATCCCGCGCCGACATTGGTCCGGTGCTGAAAACGTCCCCAGACGGGTCGCCACCAAGCAACGGGGAGGGGGCATAGAAAGATGGCATAGTGCCATCATTGCCGATCGCAGGTGAGAGAGCCAGCGCGTTGACGTTCATCGACCACTGGGGTGTCGGTGTCCCAGCCATCCCCGGGTATCCCCCACCAGCAATCAGAGGTGACCCAAACTGGGCAGATGTAGTGGTCGGCGGCGTGACGAGGCCAAACGCTGACATGTCCGGTTGCCCCAAATACATCTGCTGGTGGTGGTGCGGGTGCTGCATAGCATGCGGGTGGGGGTGATGTTGTGGTGGGGGGTAGTAGGCGCCTGCGGAGTGCGGTCCAGGCATGCCGGGGGCTGCAGTGTTGATCCGGTAGACATTGCGCGACGAGCTGGGCGCCACACCGTACTGCGAAGGGTACGGCTGGGTGGCCATCATGATATGACCTCCGGTTGAGGTAAGGGGGTATTCAAGACGAATTGTGCGGTCGAGAAATGTGTGGACAGTGACAGAAACTGGCGTGGCAATGCACAGCGACGGACGCGACGTGATGAGGGCAGGGTGAGATGACGAAAGGCGAAGGTGAATGTGGTGGGGGTGGCGGCGGCGCGGAAAGTGATGACAGATGTGGGGTGTGGAGAACAGGAAGTCGACGCGCTTGCGCTTCTTAGCCAAAATCGGTGAGAAGGAAGAGAGCGAGTCTGAGCCGTCGACTATGTAGAGTGGAAGAGAATGAGGGGCCTGGCAGCAGTGTGGAGTAGTTATACTCGCGACAACTGCTCGCGCCTGTGGCCTGCAGATGGAGCAGGTCCCTACGGAAACCCGGTGGTGTCGAAGCGGCTCGCGCCGGGAAGGTCGAGCGACTGGCTTCTGCAGCTACTATGCCCCCCCAAAGCCTTCCAAACTTCGTTGCTGAGCAAGAGAGGCCAACTCTGGCGGTCGAGGCTGAAGCATAGGTCGTGAATCCCTTGTCGGGGGAGGCGCGCTCCTCGGCTCCTCCTAGGTGGTCATCCCGGGGTAACCTGAGCACGCGGGCTGGTGTGGGACCCTTGGTGTGTCTCATCCTAAGCGTCATCGTTTGAGCTCGCTCGTTTCTTCAACTCTCGTGATTTCTTGTCCCTGGGCTCATGCATGCCGTTAGTATTGGCGTCCACAAGCGTGGTACAAGCCCTATGGCCTATGTGGGGTATTTGAGCCGAGCATCTGGCACGACATCCACCAGGAGGCTTCCCCTCATGCATGCCTCCTGTCGTGTCGTTTCTGTTTGCGCTGCAAGCCATTGTCCCCCTGGTCCCGTCGACGTCGACTTGCCACTTGGCTACACCTTCTTAACGCATCAGATTGCGTCCTTTTCTCCGGTGACTGACCCGCTGGCCGCTGGCCAGCTGCTTGGGTTCGGTGGCGTAGGTTGGAGGCACCGCGGGCAGGTAAAGCAAGGGGAAAGCGGGGGGGTTGTGGCGAGGGGCAGTTTCAACATGGATCACGCGCAGAAGGCCTGAGGGCAATGACCGCGCGCCACAACACCTTGCTTGGATGTGAAGAGCACGACAGCTTGCCTTGGCCGCCACCACAGAGCTTCCTTGCGCCCAGCCAACCCAGCCCAAACTCAACTCCCAACTTAGCCCAAGCATTGCAGAGGTTCTCTCCAATCGCTGGGCCTGGTACCCGCGTCGCGTGTCCCCTGCCAGCCAACTTTTTACAGTGTCAGATTCGAGCGCCACCTTTGACTTTGTCGTTCCCTGGCAAAGGGAACAGCACACAGCCTGGAGAAAGTAAAGTTGCGAAACGTAACTGGCGTACGGCATGATTGACGTCGAAAGAGAAATGGTGCCGTGGTGAGGTAGGCGGCAAATGAACTCTCAGGGGTGGAAGAGAATTAGAGCATAGGACAGTCAAAACTATGAGGGTACTCTCGCCCACCACAACTCCACTGCCGTACACAAACCTGATGCTGGGTGTCGATCTTGTGGCGCACAGACAAGTCTGCGCCACTACTCTGTGCGCTTGAACGCAATGAAAATGGTTGGCTCGCTTGCCGAAAGCCATCCTGCTTTGATCAACGTCAGGAACGTACGCACGGCCATACCTGCCCGGGGGCAACATGTTCCCCCGGATTAAGCAGTTTGACCAACTCGCTCACAAGCAACAGCCACGGCCGTTTCACATGGCAGCCGAACTGTGTGCCACACTGCCACTGAGTGCCAGCACCGCCGCCCCAAACGAACGAACGTTTCGAATCGTACCGCAACCCCGTCTGTCTCGCAACGCGTCTCGGAGTGCGTTGTGCTTTCTGTGAGGAAGGGGTTTGTCGGTGCGCGCTGTCACCAGTTCCCCTTGCTCGGGACAAGGACGCCAACCTTCGTCTCGAAATGTGTCTGGATCTTAGCGTCATAGACGGACACCGGTGGGGCTGCTCCCTGCGGAGATTGATACCATCTCAGTTGGCCGAGATGGGGATCTGTTCTGATAAAACGGGCTCCTCCCGCGAAGGGGGTGTCCTGTGGATGCGGGGTGTGGTTGTCACGCCTGATGCAGCTGACGTTGTTGCAGCATGTTTCGGCACCAGGCTTCGCAGCCAGGCACCTGCTTTGCACTTTATTCACTCGTAGCATTTCTTAGGACCTGGTGAGAACGAGGGGAAGTAGAGGGAGGTGGATGTTCGATTCGACAGGTCGCGGGAAGCGGCCCCTCTCGTCAGACTCCCACTCACCCATGGTGAAGGGCATCAACATCGACCAGAATGTGATCGTTCCTGTCGGGCGCTTGTCAAGCAGCAATGCCGTACCCCGCTTTGGAGTGCCCAAAGCGCCCTTGAGTCCGGTATACGTGCTTCATAGAGCACGACGGCCCTCGGAGATTGATTGGATGGTGTTCCTGAATGAGTCTCGAGGGGTTCATCAATGCAGTCGAGCTGGACCAGCTGGGCAGCTTAACCTCCGGGTCCGATGTTGTCATGGCAACCGCCCGAAGCCAAGGGCAATAAGTTGCTATCCTGACCAGGACTTGTCAATGCCTTAGCTGCCACGCGCCGAGATCAATGTCGATATCAATTCAGCAGCAATTTAGCAATCGACACGGCACGCGTATCGCCTGCAACCTCATCCAAGCAGCAAAAATTGACTGATCAACGAGACCTAACCGTCCTCATGCTGCTTGCACGAGCTGTCTGAAGGTGACGGAATGTTGGAGCGCGCTTTTGCTGACCTAATCACACGGGCCGAGTCGAGGCCCTCCCTGGCTACTCACCTTTCCCGCTCTATACCAGAATCTTGGTGCATCTTCTGAACGCGTTCGCTAATGCTTGCCCATATGTCTGATCATGTCTCTGAGCCTTCCCGCTTTATCGCTCAGAACACTTATCGATTACCCCACTCACCGAGACCCGCTTAATGCGCGACACTCGGAGACTTTGCTCGGTTCCAGCCATACCTCGGTTCCGAACTCTACCTCTCAGCTTGGTGGTTCCAAGACCCAGGCAGGGGAGTGTGTGACAGAAAATACAGACTGCCGCCGCAAAAGTCAGCCTAGTTCGGTAGGCATTTAGTCAATGCATGCCATTTGCGCTCGAAACGAGCGAGGGAACGGGCATGCTTCAGCTCAGCAAGCATCCAGGCACCACCTGCAGACTCGCACGTGAGGTAAAGATGAAAGACGGGACACAGGGACGGCAAGGTACCGGCGTCTGAATATGCTGCTTCCCGGGAGCTAGGTCCACCTGAGGTCGAGTGAGCAAACGCCCACGCAGATTGTGCCTGCTAAGCTCCACGTCCATGGCCACTTGCCAGTTTCGTCTGCGAGCTTGGAGACTTGCCGGGATGACTATTCTGCAACAGTGATTCCAGTGTTTGGCCATCCTACCCCTTGAAGTTATTCGGTGCTCACCACCTCAGAGCGTGGGTTCAGCGTACGTGACCAAGTCTCGTAAACCTGCCTTGCCATGCGTAAGCGGGACGTCAAGAGAAAGTCCATCGTCCTGTGTCATTGTTCTTTTGAGCTTGCCGGGACGATTTGTACGTGATAGCCACGGACCACGACATGTGGCATGCATCATTCTGAACGTGGCGACTGCGATTCCGATCAATGATGGACGGGCCGATATTTCATCGGTCGGTCACGCCCTCTCCTTAATGCGTATGCGCGCGCGGGCCCACAAATCACCTCGACGACCCGCACAACCTTGCCGCGAGGCCATCTGGGTGGTGCCATGGTGCCCCATAATGGCATGTGCTTGAAGCTAGCTTGATCGCGGTGACAGTCCACCTTGCTACGCTCTTGTGTAGTTGGGAACACCTCGATCGAGGGGTCTCAGTGAGCTACCGCGCGACAATCTGTAGACGTAAAGTACAGTATCACTCTGCAAGTGGCGACGTAGCCATGTAGTATGGTGGACTGAACTCTTCTGAGACGCTGAGAACTCGCTACATCGCGGGGTTTTACCTGATTACGCAGAGAAACTGTGCAGCAGGTCTCGATACAGGACGACCTAATGTAGAATATGGCGAGGATGCCTCTCCATTTCCAATGAACAGGACTAGCTCAACCCGACGTCCGAAGGTGCACTACCGGACGGCGACTGGTGGCGATGGTTACGCGTCAAAATGTCAAGGAAGCAGGAATATGCCCGCCACCAGAGTTTCTCTTCCGCCATTTCGGACCTTCGGCCCCCCGTTGCAGTCCGCACCCACTTCATCGCTGTCGCACCTGGTTACAGGCTCAATTCGTCGCGCATCCTCTGGAGTTGCGACGCCTTATTTATTCTACTGCTTATGGCGCCAGGGAGCAGTGGAGCGGCGATGGAAGCGTCGGCAGCATGTGCGACAGTCGCTAGGGCGGCTGTGAGGCACGATCGCGAGGTGTAGCTTGTGGCGCGCTACGTCAGGATTTGGAAGTGCAACTGACTCATCGGAGAGCGCTTCTGCCACAGAACGACAGGTTGCGGGGTGAGTATGCGGTAATGGGCGGCGGGTATATGCATGAGCGAGGGGTCCGGAGTTTCTTGACACACTTAGAAGTCTTGACTAGCTGTCAACATCGCTTCAAATGAAGGAGCAGGATAGGGATGGGGCTGAGCGTACTTATCGCTGGCTTCGCCGTGCACTTCAGCTCGTGCGACCACTCCGCCCTTTTACATCGCCCTATGTTTCGAATCGGCGCTGAAGTGCTTGCGGGGCCCGAAGGGTTAGCGGGGCCCTGCGTGCTCCCTCTCATGCGTGAGGTGGTGCTCAGGTGAGTCAGCTGTTGCCGACGTGTTGACTTCATAAGTGTCCCCCATGTCTGCTTCCCACTCGGCGTGCTTGAGGCTTCCCGTACTGCGGGGTCAGGCTGACAGCTGAGCGCACGGGGGGGAGGATCCAGTTCCAAGCCGAGAGGGAAGCTCACGATGTCAGTCCCAGTGGCAGTCATCCCATACACGCTCTCTCTCCGCTGGAGGTGACGACCTGGGCCCTTTCGATGCGACTTCGTCCCGTGATTTCGTCTCCCAGTTGCACACGGGAAGATCCTACCCCTACACTCTGCGCTGCTCCCGCAACGCCAGGAGAACAACCGCCGACCTGCATGCACCTCTGATGCATAGAAGTATTTACAGATACAGGGGACAAAGCGATGTGCCAAGCGGTCCGTCGCTGTGTGAACATCATGCCTGTGCAACAGGCGGCCGTGGAGGCTTGGCATCCCGCACCCATCCCATGCGCGTCGTGCCGACGGCGGGATCCAAAATCGCATCCGCGTCCCGCTACCTCTCACGGCGAAACACGTCCTCTACGCATGCACACGGAGATTGCGGCTTCGCACATGCGAGGGGGTGATCAGGTGGACTGCGTTCTCGTGTCTGGCACTGTGAACAACAAATCTACATGAGTTTCCGCTCTGGTGCCCCAGGTCCTCCGTCAGAGCTCCGCATCCCACTTGATCTCCGTACTTCCCCAATGCCGAAGGTGAATACTCACTGTCACACCTATTTCCTCCACTATTCCAAAAGCCAGATTAGGGTGAGCTCATGGGTTTTCCTGATGCCAGGGGAGTGAGTGTCGAAAATCGTTCAGAGGCGACTGGCCGACAAGCTCAATGCTAGGTAAGCCGATAGCTGTCTCAACATCGAGCCACGGTCAGCGGGAAGTCGAGACGCCAACATCGCGTGCAAAGTCGGAATATCATTATTGTACAGGACGGGCCTGCAAGTGGAGTTCCAGCAGTGTTCCCTCCTGCTCTCCCAGAGAGGCGGAGACTATGCAGCCCCGATACGGAACTACATCATGTGGCAGCAAACAGCAGCGAGCGAGCGGCCGGTGGCGACGGGCAACATCCGCCCACCTACCAGCCCTTCTGTGCGCTGGGCACCTCCTCTAAATCCTGTCGAAATACTGTCGAGGGACCCTCTCTTGATTCACTTTCATCGCATATCACATGAAGAATCACCCACCAGGTGCTTCTGCTCTGCCAACCGCCAGACGAGCGAGTTCTTGGTCTTAGAATGTTGTTTCAAAAGGTTCATTTTTTCACCAAGGAGTAATTCCTCTGTGGCTCCCCCCGCTGCGGCATCGCTTTGACCCCCAAGTCATCAGTGGTGTTGGGAGTGGTGTTGGGGCAGAATGTGGATCTTGAAGTCGCTTACACAGCTGCCCAGACCCGATGCCTCCAGTACCTCGCGCAGCTGGCAGAAGCGTCCCAGAAGGCGATTGATCTCCTTCACAAGCTGTGCAGGATTCCCCGTTGCAACAAGCCCCTTGCGCCCACAAACACAAATTTCGAGCATGGCTTTGTTGCCATGATCAAGCATAACGGGTACAAGGGTGTTGGTGCGCGGTCCACGAAGCAGGTTGTCCTCTCGTCGGTTCCCGAGCGCACGGGCAAACAGCAACTTCCCGTCTATCTGCAATTGAGATGTGTCACAGCAACCGCGGCATACCTTCTTCACGCACATGTCTGTCCTTTTACAGTGATTCTCCTCTTTCTTCTGAATTCGGTCCCATGTCGTATCCACATGTGCGTTCTTGCGACTTGAGAGGGCGAGAGACCCGCCCGCTGTTCCGACTGTAGTCGACCCGACGGTCGAAACGGCCTCACGCAGGCGCCTTGTTCCTCAAGTAGACGACACACTCGTAGATCCTCCACCACAACTTACATTATGGGCGTCAGGCCGCCACGCTTGGACTCTGCGATATATCTGCATACAATTAAAGTGGGCATCCGCCTCGAAGAGAGTCTCGGAACGGAAGCCTGATGCCGCATGGGACAGCCTATGTTCCGCGTTTGAACTGCGCATCCATGCTTTCGCGAAGGCTACCACTAGACATCCTTCATTCGCAACCCAGAAGCCTAGTGCCATCTGGGAGCATGAGCACAACCGCCCCCCTCTGCGCCCATACACTTGTAGCCCGCAAACTGTTGCGGTGAGGCCGCAATCCGCCCTCGCTGGCAACATCCTATATACCGGTCTTCCTTGTCCGCGACGGTGTCCGTAGAGCCACTCACCACTCCCCAACCCGTAAGGATGCAAGATGCATGGCGTCGGAGAATTGAAGTGCTGGAAACTGCTTGACACACTCCTTCACTGTGATCTTCTCGGTGATCAGTGACGTCCACTCCAGACCCGGAATACGCGCTCCCGGACCAACAATCCTGGCCGGCGCAGAATACATCATAGTTGATTGGTAGACTGATAGCCCGTCACTGGATATTTGATTCCCTAAGCGACCGACTTGTCGTCGCACACTGAGGGAATCGCACTACCATGTCCCAATTTGCGCTGGGAGGCTCCTCGTGTACGTGTGCCAGTGGCGCACGCTCGAACGAGTCGCACTCGATCGTCATCATTCCTGGCGCTCACGTCCGCGGCGCCCGCCACAGTGCCACACCAGGTCCTCGGCTTACGGCAGCGCAAGAAGGATCCGCGGCGAGGTACACCGAGAAGCCGTCGCTTACGACACGCAGCAGGGTAGGTGGGAATCAAGCGCCAAATACAGCAACTTGCGGGAATGCATCGCGACTGAGCTTGTGGGCGCAGATCGAGTCCCGGCCAGCGCGGCGCTCGGCGTGCCTTCCAAACGAAATGTTCCGAGAAGCGTCGGCCAGGCCGCCAATGAACTATCCACAGGCATGCATAGCAACGAAACGATCCCCGACGCCCTTGGGCGGAGTCTCGTCTCATCCCTCGAGATCCAGACTGCCGACCCCTTCCCCCACTCCCCCACCCACCTCGCCCCTTCACTCGCTCAAACGCACACTCAATTACCGCGCAGGCGTGCTGCCGGCAGCCAAGGTCGGGCGCTGTAAGGCGACTGGCGCTGGCGCACTGCTCTGCGCTGCGTTGTGTGGGCGAGCGGCGATTACTGCTCGCTAACGATAGGAGAGTCATGTTTTGTCGAGCCGTGCACGCGGACCTGTACGGCATTAGCCTCTGCTGAGCACGAAAAAGATCGCTTGGAAAATGGGGTGGATGGCACACGGCACTCACTCGATAGATGCACGTAACCTCACCGCCCCAGTTAGACAGGACACGGAAGGTGGTGATGCGCGTGCTGATTCCAAGGTCCACAAACTCCTTTGGTACCGGGAATGTCTGGGTCGGCGTGGCCGAGTTGATGTCATAGACAATTTTGGCGACGAGGATGTTCTCCTCTGTCTGCGGCATAGAGGTAAGTCTAGACTCGATCAGCAATTCCGCGTATAATGGGCCCTGGCAGACTTACTCGTCGCGCAGGGGCGAGTTCTCGAGGTACTGGCGGGCCTTGGTACGGTCTTCCTCGCCCTCGATGGTGACCCACTGTTCGGTTAGCGTTATAGCTTAGGCGATCGGCGATCGTTACTCACCACCTCGATGTCTTTAGGCGCTGACGAGATGTCCGACGCGAGCGCTTTGGCGACGTGGTCGATCGTGATCGAAGAAACGAGGACGTCGGGCTGTGAGAGAAGAACACCTAGGTCGCCGATCGATCCCTCGAACGCCCAGCACTGCCCAACCGTGGTGTCCGGGTGCAGCGCAACGTGTGGCGGACGCGCGTGCACAGCCCTCTTGCCCCAGAGGCGGCCAAAGAGGCCAGGCTCTTCTGTGAGCTGAAGAGTTGGCGATGTCGTCCCCTCAATCACGCGCGCACCGGCCGAATACAGTGCGTAGTCTACCATGCCGAGCTTGTCGTTGCTGTACCGAAGCAGGCTTGCGTCCACAATGCCCTGCACCATCTCCGTAACATCTTCCCCCTTGCTGTTCTTGAACTTGATGGCGGTCGGGGACTGATCCGTGTTTTCTTGAACAGACTTGATCTCACGCCAGAGCTCCTCGGTCTTCTCCTCAAGAAGACGAACGAAGTCCTCACGGCTGATGAGAATCTCGGCGGTGTGGGACGCCAGCATCTGCTCGACGCGTTCAGTAAGACGTTTGGCGTCACCCTGCCAATCATCGGACCAACGCTTAGACTCGGTCTCGACGCCTTGGTTGACAAGGTGACGAATCTCGTGCTCGAGCGATCCGGTACCGTACAGCAAGCGCTTCATGAAGACGGCGAAGAAGCTGTCGTCGATGTCCCAGCCACCATTTTTGGCGCGTCGGACAGGCATGACGGCGGGGAGGATCTTGCTCACGGCTTCGCGGAGGCTGCCGTCGTTGAGGGCGTTGGCCACGGTCGCTTCCAACGACTCCACACGGCGCTCCAGCTTGTCGACACGGCCGATGGTCGCTCCCAATTGTTCTTTCGTGCGGCGATTGCTCTCCAGGACGGACGCCTGCTGCTGCCGAACGTCAGATTGCACACTCTGCTCCGCCTCGAGGCGGGCGATGCGCGTGTCGAGGTTGCTCCACATGCGGCTACCAACGTGGGATGACTCCAGGGCGCCGAGACGGGTGGCGAGCTCATCAAAGTTGTCCGGTAGAGGTCGCTGTACCGGAGACGGGGCCGCCTCACGCCGCGAGGAGCCTGATAACAGATAAGCGAGCCAGACCGCTGCAAATGCGACGATCAATACGGCAGGGTGTTTACGGAGCCAGGCTAGCCCAATGCGGAATCGCTGTTTCCCGTCGCGTAGGAGCTGCTCTATCGGCCTGGGCTGCCGGAAGGCCTGAGGTAGGCTGTTGGAGCTGGTCTCCAATACCTGATAGTGGAGAGGGCTGCGCGGTGGGCCGGGAGAGGCGTCAGTCTGCTGGGCGGCAAAATCATCCTCCTCAGCTTGAGCGAAGTCGTCGTGCCCGACACCCTCGTCCTCTATACCTTCGTCCTCGGGAACGACAGACATTGTCGTCCTGCCCTTGCCATTGCGAGGGCGGAATGGTTGAGCGTCATCAAACTCCGTTGTCGTGGCGCGATTGCGCGCTCGCAACCCATTGCGAGCAGCTACGCCGACGGTGGGATCCGGGTTGTCGTCCGAGTCCTCGCTGTAATCGTCGTCTCCTCGTCGGTAGGGCGCGTTGTCGTCGCGCTTCATGCTCTTTCGCTTTGTGCGACGCTTCGCGCGCTGGCGGGCCGCCTCCGCCTCCTCGTGGTAGAGGCGATCTTCCGTTGTATACGAATATGAGTCGTCGCCCCCGGGCGTAGCTGGTGGATGGGCAGGCTGGGGTCCTAGGCTGCTAAAGCTCATGTGGCCATTGGTTGGTGGTGGCGGGGACATCGCCGGTGACAGTCGTGGAGACCGCGCTGGTGGGAGATATGAGCCGTTGCCCACAGAAGGTGATGCGGAGCGCTGTCGGTCTCCTGTCGGGACTTGTAGGTTGTTAGATGCGGATAGGTTGCGCTCTGGAGGTGGAGAAAGGACGCCGCGAGGATTGCGGCGAGACATGTCAACTTGCGTTGCTGGTATTAAGGGAGAGTTGCCGCGTTGCTGGATCTCGTGCACTTGGCGCGATGGTCCGTCTGAGTACATGTCGTGTTGGCCTTGACGAGCGCGAAGCATGGCGTTGGCCTCGCTGTGGATGTCAGTATATGTGGACAATGAGGAGATTTGAGTGATGGTGATGCGATGCTGGGTGGATGGCCGGCGCCATCCAAGGCGAGACCAAACAATGCGGAGACATGACGCGACATGACAGGCACGAGACAATGGCCACTCACTTGGACGACGTGCCTGTGGGCAGGTGGTGTGATGAGAACGCCTCGTGGCCGCTGTTCGTCAACACCCTGTTGAGCGCATGCATTGGAAACCCCCGCCGACATGAGTTGGCCAGGAGCGTGACCCCTCTCCCCATGATGATGGGCGTAACGGGGGCACCGACTCACCTGAGGCTCTGGCTGCGTCCGAACGCCGATGTCTGGAGATACGGCGAGCGGCCGCCTTGCGAATGAGTTCGTGAGTGAGACATGAGACGAGAGGTCGAGTTGGACGACGCGCTGGTGGAGGAATGTCCGTCCTCGTCAGAACGCGTCGGGGAGGGGAGATGGCGAGGCTGCTGGCTGGCAAACGCGAGCGCGCGGGTGAGGGAGAAAGGGGGCGGGATGAATGGCCCTTGGTCGAGCAGCTGCTCGTGTCGTTGTCGGGGGGAGATGGAACGCTTGCGCTCCAGGGGGTACGACGACGACAGGATGGATGATGATGATGAAGTGTTGTTGAAGAGGTGCGTGGCCTGTGCGGTTCTTTTGGGTCACGTTTGAGGGAGGGTCGTGAGGGACCGAGGGGTGGGGGTGGGGAAAACGCGCTCGGAGTGTGGAATGGCGGGTTGAGCGGGGTTGATAATGTTGCAGGGAGCGGGGGAAAGTGTGAGGATAGTAATGGGATATGGATGGATGATGAGCACCGCAAAGGCCATGTGGATTGAAGCCGATTGTGTTGATGGTGAGGGCTGCAAGAGCCCAAGAAGGAGGGCAGGCGCGCGGGTCAAGCTGGACCACGCGAGATTGGCTGAGCCCTTTCACCGTGCCACCGTACGCGTCTTATTGCTGTTTTGGGTGAAAGAGTCGAGCCAAGCTTGGCCTGCGCCACCCTGCAGCAAAATTGATGCTCTGCAGCCTGCAGCAAAGTTTGCCCACATGCATGCAATGCAACTACGGATGTCAACTCTTCTCCTTCACGGGCAGGAGCACATCTGCCCTCACTACGATGCACAGCTTCTCGTTCCGCTTTATGTTCATATGTCCGCGCCTGTCGGCTGTTTCATTCATTCCTACTGGGCGTCATTGTCCTATGGCCTATGGACCTCTGTGTCGCATGACCCTCGAGCGCACGGCCAAGCGTCCTCGGATGCTCATATGCTCATGAGCTCATGGGCTCATGAGCTCATGGGACCGCAATGTGCCTCAGGCTATAGCGCCCTCGCTGTCAACTGCAACGAGAATCGTTCTGGCGAGTTTTGCGGATCGTTGCAGACGTCTCGCCTCACAGATCAGTCCGCATGCTTCAAGATCAGAGACTCAGCTCCCAGACTCTGCAGAGGCGCTCCTCAGTTGCCATCTGATCTGATCTCTGCGCTGGCAATCCTGCGCTTCCACAGACTCCCACCCACTGACACGAACAAGCTTTCACCTCCCAGCCAGACTGATTCGCACTCTCTTACGCCCTCCACTCGCCCCTCCCACGCTCCCTCCACGCACCACATCAGCCGCAAGGTCATGATATACATACCCCAATGCAAACACGCACCATCGCGCAGCTCCTCCGCGCGGCCTCTGAGCGCGGCCGGGGCTGGCGACGGCTCCGCCGAGGTGTTTAACGGTACGACTTCTGGCGACGAGCACGGGCACCGCGACCGCCGAACTTCTTGGGCTCGCAACGGCGGGGGTCGGCGACGAGGAGGGTACGGTCGTAGGCGATGAGGGTCTTCTTGAGCTCAAGGGCCGAGGCGGCGTCCTCGTTCTTGGCGTAGAATGCGACGAGGCCCTTGGCGATGGCCTGGCGGAGAGCGTAGAGCTGCGAGACGTGGCCACCACCCTTGACGCGGAGGCGGATGTCGATGTTGGCGAACTTGTCCGAGCCGGCAACGAGGATGGGCTCGTAGACCTTGTAGCGGAGGAGAGCACTGGAGTCAGCAAGGCTCTCGCATGTCCGAATGCCCGTATGAGCTCCATGTCTGCCGCACATCTGCTAGAGGCGGCGCGCAGCTTAACGAGCCGTGTACTTCACATGCGCGCTGCACACAGACCCTCAACTGCTCGCCACCAAAAACTTTGACCCTCCGGACAACGACCTTCCCTCCCCGTCCCGCACGGCGCTTCACGCCATTCCGCCTCCACTATCTCTCCTCCTCGCAGTCCTCCTCGATCCAGCGATACTCACGGCTCGACGAGCGAGATGGGGGAGCCGTTAAGGCGGACGAGGCCGCGGCCGGGGGTGACGTGCGCCACCGCGGTGGCGGTCTTCTTCTTGCCGAAGCACTGGACGGCCGACATTTTCTGTTACGCGAACGGGACGAGCGGGGGAGCGAGGAAGCGCAGAGTTTCGCGGGGCGCGCAGATCCGGGGATGAGAGTTGGTGGGAGGGAGGTGGAAATGGGGACGCAGAGAGGGGTCAAAGGCGATTGTGAATGGGATTTCGGCGCGATTCGACGCGGAGGTTCGATAAGAGTCGATAGAGGAACGGAGGATGGGCGCAGGGGAAGTTGGTGTCGTCGAGAGGCTCGGTCAGCACCTGTACGTCGTCGGCGGCGGCGGACTCACGATCTTGCAGACGGGACACTCGACGACAGCAGCAGTGACCTCGAATCCACAGGCAGGGAGGGGGGCAGCGGTGCCAACCAGTGGTCCAGGCACGTCGGACATTCTAACGCCGACAATTTTGCACGATTTGCGGAAGCATATTCACGTGGGCAATCAGTTTCTGGTCGTGTGCCCTCAGTTCCCGAATTCCATAGCTAGCCCTCAGCCCTCAGCCCTCAGCCCCACAATGTCCCCAGATCATCGATGGACGCCACTTCGTTGGACTTGCTCCAAACTATGCCATGCCATATCTCCTCTACAACATCTACCGAGTGTCTCCATACAGCTTGACGCCTAATGCGCCGCCCGATATGCCGCTGTTGCCCGCAGAATGCGGCGCAGATGGCGCGGCGGACGGTCCACCAGACCCCGTCCCTGGCCCACTGCCCGCCGTCCCCATGTCAATGCTATTAAGACGTGACGCGGGCGGGCGCATCGGCTCCGTGGCCGACCGCATCGGACTTCCCCCGCCAAGCAGGCGGGAGCGCTCGTGCGGCTGGCCGTCCTCGACGTGTCGTCGCCGTCGAGGGATGGCGCCGTAAGACAAAGTGCGGCGGGGCCGGTCAAGCGGCGTGCGCGGAGGCGGTAATGGAGGCGCGCTCCCGTACAGCCATGCCTGCAGCATGATTGTGAGATCAAACAGCAAGGTGCCGCCCGAGCCGAGAAGGTAGGGCAACGAGCGGAGCAGGTAGTGCGAGTACTCGTCTGGCTTCACGGGCATGAGCAAGATGCTTGCTACGTAGAAAGTGTTGCCGAGAAATGCGAAGAGGAAAAGTAGGATCGATAGACCCTCAACACTCTTGCGCTGGAACTGGTGTTAGTGTCGATCGGTGATCGGCAAGCTCACATTCTTCCAGATCTGTGGCAGTCGCGAGGAAAGGTACAGCGTCGTACAGCACCATGCCGAGATGCGCCCAATTGCCTCCTGCCAGCTAATCGCAGGAGGCTTGGGGCGCTCCTTCCGACCCTTGCCGGGCTCGGACTCGGGTGCATCGAACCACAGAAGCTGTGTGGTTGTGGCTTCGGGGAAGGGAAAAGGGATTGGATGGACGTGGAGGGGGAACGATGGCGACGCTTGCGGCGGGGCCTGCTCAAAGCGTGTGACTACATGACCTGTCCCTGCTGGTGCAGCGAACATCCGCACTGTCGGAGTGGTGCGCCATGCCAAAAGGCCAAGACTCATGAACGCCACTGTAGCGGCGCGACGACCTGTTCCTCTTGCGGCACGCGCAGCGCTCTGACTGCGGCTGGTGGAGCGCCGCCCACGCCGTATCTCGACCATGCCCGACTCGGGGAGCTCGTCGAGGCGGTCCTCACCCTCATGTATGGGCGTCGCGGTCCCGCTTGTTGGTCCGCGTATCCGGGTTAGGCTGCGCCCACGGTGCAGCAGCGAGCCTGTGCTTTGGGTCATGCGATGGTACGCGCGGTCATCGTCGTCAGTCGACGCGGAATGCAGGCTCGTCTCGGAATGAAAACTGTCAAAGAGCCCGCCATCCTCTTGTGGTGCTGTAGCAGCGTGACGCATGCGCGGGCGTCCCGAGTTGGAACGGCGGAGAGATACGCGCTCGGCCGCACGCGCGACGTCTAGAGCAGCGGCGTACAATGCCTCGACCGAGTCGGAAGGGCCCGCATACACAGGGCTCTCCGTAATGGTATGGGGGTGGCCATGCTGAGGAACGACGATCTGGGCGCGCTTGCGCCCACGCCCGCTGGCAGCACGCCCTAGAGAGGCAGTCTGTGTTGCCGTTGGCGAAGTGGTTGGTGGATGAGAAGCGACATGACGAAGCGCTGTCGTCGAAGCAAGCGGAGAGGCAGGCTTGAGCACCGGCGCCGACTTCTTCGTGTAGTAGAAGTACTGGCACACGAGAGTTATGTCGACAAAGCAGAAGTATGTCGCGAGATAAGTCTGTTATCGCAAACACATCGCGAATCGAGGGCGGTGGCATGACCCGCGTCGGAATGTTCGCGCGTGTGGAGCGCACAGGCGCGAAGATACGAGCAAAGCCGAACGCACGATATGGGTGGCAAGTTGGACGGGGTAGAAGGTTGCGTCGAGATGTGGACCGTTGTGAGGTGGGCGGATAATCCGGGGTGGATAATTGGATCACGGTGTCGTATCGAGGAAGGCACGAGAGAGTTCAGTTCACGTTTCTCGCTAGAGTCAACAGCAGCACGCACCTGGAAAGGCAGCTGGTCGGTGAGGATGCAGCCGACGAGGTTGGTAAGATCGCCTGGGGATCAGCTTTGCCATTGCTGGGGGATGGGGTCCTGGGGCTCGAGTGACATACCAAAGAGCCAGGTAATGAGGAATGGAAAGCTGAGGCCATCGCACGACCCGAGCTGCCAGTTCTTGATGACTTGTCTAGGAGTTAGCGCGCGATCGGGCTGGTGACGCTAGTGGCCTGATGGAGACGGTTAGTGGAAAGGAGAAGGTTGTCTTAGCGCTACGGAGACGGTGCTGCGGAGTCGCCGAGGCAAGAGATACGCACGGTAGCTGAGCGCACAACCAGCAGCCGATGCTCGCATACCCGAGAGCGGTGGCGACAGCGCCAGCGTCGAGCAGGAGCATATCAGCGCATGAGCCGGGGGTAATGGGAAGAGAAACGAGTGAAGATGAGATGAAAGAGGAGTGGCGCGTTGAGTGATGTTGCAGGAGGGGAGGGGTATAGGGGTCGCGGGTATGCGGGGACGGGCGACGAGGGTCGGTCAGTTGTTCCACCCCACTCCCCACTGTGGCGCAGGTAGCGTGGCACATTTGATCCCGCTACCTCTCCAGCCGACTGCCGAGCAAGCGTCCCGATAAGGAGGTCTAATTGAGCGGCAATGACCGATACGTATATCCGCAACTTCCCCTTCCCGCCGGCGTCACCCTCACACTCTCAGCGGTCAACGGCTCAGAGCGGCAAACTCAACCCTCGGCGCTCAACAGTTCATCTCACCGACGTCCTAATGCCCACCTCTTTTTCTTTCATCTCACCATGAGCACCGAACGAGCACCGCTCCTCGTACCCGGCCCCGCGCCAGCGTACGGGTCGCAGGCGAGCTCGCGCTCCGAGACGCCCTCGGGCCACCGCAAGGAGCGGCGGCACCACAATCTCGCGGGACTTTCGGCGTGGCGGTTCCATGCTGCGTGCGCGTCGGTGTGGAGTGCAACGTTCCTCTCGGCATTCGACAGCACCGTAGTGGCCACGCTGCTCGGCGACATCTCGAGCGCGTTCTCGGCGTTTCACCTCGCCTCGTGGCTGGGTACAGCGTACCTTCTCTCCCTCGCCTGTTTCACCCCGGTGTACGGGCGACTGGCGGACGCCTTGGGGCGGCGAGACGCGCAGCTTGTCGCCCTCATCTTCTTCACCATCGGAACGGCCGCGTGCGCCGCCGCACCCTCCATGCTCACGCTGATCCTCGCTCGCGTCGTGGCTGGAATCGGCGGCGCCGGCCTGACCTCCGTTGGCTCCATTTTGCTCTCCGACCTCGTCGACCTCCGCCACCGCGGGCTATACCAGGGGCTGGCGAACATGGTCTTCGCGCTCGGGGCCAGCCTCGGCGGTCCGGTTGGTGGCTGGGCGGCTGATCAATTTGGGTGGCGCCTTGCCTTTGGCGCTCAGGTCCCGCTTCTCTTCGGCTCCATCCTCGCTGTCTGGTGGTTCGTGCCATCTGACCTAGGTGGCCGCGTCCGTGACGCCGATGACGAGCACCACAGCTTGACGTGGCAGCAGAAGCTCGCGCGCATCGACTACGCCGGCTCGGCCGCCCTCGGCGTGGCGGTGACAGCGCTCCTACTCTCCATGTCGTTGAAGACGTCCGGCTCGGGGGGAGTGGAGTACAACTGGTCAGATCCCTTGATCTGGGGCCTTCTCCTGGTCTTCGTGGCGTTCACAGGTGTCTTCCTTCTTATCGAGGCGAAGTGGGCGACGGAACCTGTCCTTCCGCTCTCCATGTTCCGGCGCGCCACCCCGGCCGCTATCGCCGTCGGCAACCTCGTCATGGCCATGTGCATCTTCTCGCTCCTATACAACGCGCCACTCTACTTCGTGGCAGTCAAGCTGCGCTCAGCGACGGTCGCCGGTGCCCACCTCCTGCCCTATTCGGCATTCATCGGCGCGGGTTCGCTCACCGTTGGCCTTGTCATGCGCGTGACAGGGAGGTACTACCCAGCCATGGTGGTCTCGGGCCTGATTGTGCTCTTCTCGTGCGGGATGATGCTCTCCTGGGGCGAAGGGACACCCGAGTGGCTCACATGGGTCGCACAGTTGCCCGCCGGGTTTGGGTACGCGGGCGTGCTCACGACAACGCTCGTGGCGCTCATGGCGGACATTGCGAAGGAGGGGACGGGCGAGATGTGAGTCCGAGCGTTCCCGCGATTTACCGTGTCCTCTGGTTGGAGTGACTGACCCCAGTGCCGTCGGTACCGCCATGACCTACATGGCGCGCACTATAGGACAGGTTCTCGGCGTGAGCTTCAGCTCGGCGATCCTGCAGTCTACGCTCGAAGATGACCTGAGCGCACATATCAGCGACCCGGATCTCGTCCGTCTCATCAGGCGGAGCACGGACGCTGTGCGGACCCTGCCGCCCACGCTCCGCGATATTGCTGTGTCAGCGTACGCGCACGGACTTAAGCGAATCTGGGTATTTAATCTCGCGCTCGCAGTCATAACCGTTATCGCGCTCTGTTGTGCAACGAACGAGGTCATGCCTGAGAGCAGGCCTCATGACGACGAAGAAGCGTAGAGGTGATCTAATTATCAAGGGTCTTACTTCATATTCTTGTTTGCATGCATCATTATTTCTGCACGATCTGCAGAGGTGTCGTAAATTGATTACTGAATTGCAATCGACCGTTCTCCTCCCCTCCTGGCTAGTCACCATCATGACATCGGACGCGACCGACGTCAACGGGTCACGTGGGTGGAAGACGATGCGGCGATCTCGCCGAGGCCTCCACTTGACATCTCCACCCACATCCAGGCCTTCCCTTCAGCGCTCATCCGGTCGCGAAGCAATATATATGCTGATACATCACCGCTGCCCACTTCTAAACTCACAGAGAACGCGTATTCTTGTCCTAATAACTCTATCCCAGCGCCTCACGCCACCACGTCCTCCTCCACAGCAGCCGCAGACGACGCCCGGGACGCGTCCACTGGCACGACGTCGTCCTTTGCACCCGGCGCTCGCCGCCTTTACCCGTCCACCTCGGCGCCGTACGGCCCCACGCCCTTACCACCGCCAGCAACAGCGAGCCCTTTGGTGCCCTCGACGGACCACTCGGACTCGCACCCCCACCCGCTCCCCTCGCAAGCCTACTGTCCGCCGAGCACGCTCCCGTACCGTCCGCGCGGGAGCATGACGCGCGTGGCGGCCGTCCAGGCGACGCCGGTGACCTACGACTTGCACAAAAGCCTGCATAAGCTGCGCAGCCTGGCGTTCGCGGCTCGCGAGAACGGCGCCGAGCTCGTTGTCTTCCCTGAGGCATTCCTCTCCGCGTACCCCCGCCACCTGAATTTCAGTGTGGGAAGCCGCAGCCCCGAAGCGCGAGAGTGGTTTGGGCGCTACGTCCGCTCGAGCGTCAAGGTTCCGCATGGCGCTGAGGGCCGTGACTGGCTTAGTAGCAGTACAGAACAGCCGCCAGGCGCCGAGTACTACGCGTTCCAGCAGCTCGCGCAGATCGCGCGCAAGTACACCCTCTACCTGAGCGTCGGAGTCGTCGAGTGCGCCAACGTCGGGAGCACGCTGTGGTGCACTAACCTCCTCTTCGGGCCCACGGGTATTCTCCTGTCCAAGCACCGCAAGATCCAGCCGACGGCTGCGGAACGTGTGGTATGGGCGCAAGGAGAGGCGCGCAACCCCGCAGGGGCGAAGCGGGACGCAGACGGCGAGCCGAAGGAGGACACGGACAACCTCCCCGTCGTAGAGACGGCGGTGGGCCGGATCGGTGCGCTCATCTGTTGGGAGAGTGAGTGCGCACCCGGCGGCGCTGACGCAGATTACATGCCCCTCGCGCGCTACCTCATGTACAAGAAGGGTGTGGAGGTGTACCTCGCCCCCACGGCGGATGGGCGCCCGACATGGCTGCCCACGATGCAGCACATTGCGATGGAGGGCCGCTGCTTCGTCGTCACGGCGAACCAGTATCATGCCGCATCGGATTTCCCGCACGACTACCCGCCCCTGCGGGACGAGGGCAGAGGAGATGCCAAGCTCCCCGAGATCTGGAGCCGGGGCGGGAGCGCGATCGTCGGCCCGCTCGGCGACGTGCTCGCCGGCCCGTTGTGGGACAAGGAGGGTATTCTCTACGCCGATGTGAGTGGGGCGTTAGGCGCGCTAATCCAGATCGACACGAACCAGCTCGATGGCGCCAAGCTCGACTTCGACCCCATCGGGCACTATGCCCGCGAGGGCCTGCTGCTTGGCCTGCTGAACGATGCGGGGCAGCAATAGGCGAAGATCAGAAGAGTCAGTTGTATGCAACATGCTGGGTTATCTCTCCATGCGCCGCTATTATGTGCCACTATATCATCGCTCCTGCCCGCTATTGGCATGTACAACAGACTTGGTCGGAGGCTGAGATCAGCGGGATGGGAAGAGTGAGCGGACACACAATCAGGCCATCAGGCCGCGGGGCCCTTGGGGCCACGCCACGCCGCGATGCGCGTCTTGACCTTGGCCAAGGCGGCGACGAAGAAGTTCTTGGTGCTGGTGAGAACTGGCATGGTGATGGCTTGGAATGGCTCGAGATGTGTGCGGTGAAGATTAGAGTGCCGTTGAGGGTGTGGTGAGTGGTGAGTAGTGAGGAGATAGAATTGTGTTGTTTATATGCGTCGTCTTGCGATCTTGCGGCAAGTCGCCACCTTCCTCGCCGCCATTATCGCACCACTGGCACCACCTGTAGATTCCGCATCACCATTCGCTCCGTCCGCACAACCCGCCCCCACCGATGTAGTGGGCTCACTGCTCCACTCCCCAACGCTATCAGCAGTGTCTTCCACTCTCCTGTCAACACCCCACGACTTCGAGTCAGTCGCCCCTCCGCGCCCGCCGCACAACTTCAGCATGTGCGCCACTGCCCGTGCAACCCCTCCACCATCCACTCCTAGATCCAGTCTTCCTCGCCACCAGCAAGTCAGGCGCGAAGGTAGCTGCACCGTGGCTGTGGCGTGGAGCTGGGGTGAGAAGGCCAGAAGGCCGTGAGCAGACACGAGGCAGGAAGCACATGGCCTAGTATACAACACTACGACTTCTCGGGGACGCCATACGAGCGCACCGGGAGGAACTTGATGCGGTGCTTGTTGAGGTATGGCCAAGGGGGGATGCAGGCCTGGGGTGAGTGTCCACGGAAGGAACGAGCGACTCACGGCCATGAGCAGCACAAAGCCGATGGTGAAGATCTCCAGGCCAACGAGGACGGACGACGTGACGAAGGAGGCACCGAAGCCGACGAGCTGGCGTCAGCTGGGGCGGAAGGAAGAATGGCGCGGTGGAGGCGAGCGCTAACGGCCAGCCAGCCCATCGCACCTCGCACCTCGAACCACTCTTTGCTCCACCAAGTGCGCCGCGATATGGATCGCACGAGGCCAAGACGCGACGAGTGACGCGTCGGGCGGCAACCCTCTTGATATTCACTCACCACTAGCAGACACAGAAACACTTGCGAATACCACTCGACGAGGTGCTGGCTGTACGGGTCCTGTGGTCAGCCCGGCCGCCGCGTCGCTTACAATGCCGCCTTCGAGGGCGCGCTGCACGGGCGCGGGAAGGTATTCCATTGCGAGTGAGTGCTCGAGTGATCGTGAGGAGAGGACGGAATGGACTGACGCTGGACATGCTCAGTGGAGGTCGTGGAGGATGGGCGGGAGTATTCGCACGTGGTGGCTCGGAACGGAGTCATCCCCCTTCGGGGTACAGGGGTGACGCCGCCCTGGTCAGCGTTTTCGTGACGACCGCGGGCGCGCGGCGCGGAGGGGTGGGTGGAGCAGGAGCAAGCCGAGCCAGCCAGTGACGTCACGTGCGTCACTTGGGCGGGGAGGAATGAATGCTCTCGAAACGCTGATCGCCGAAAGACGCAAGCCGACAGACACAAATGGCCTCCTCTCCTCCCCCCCTTCCACTCCGAGGAATATCATGTTCTGCTCTTTCTGCTCTTTATCCTACTGACTGCAACACAAGCGAGCGACGTCGCCGTCATTTCCCCCTCCTCTCTTCATTTTATTATTTCTTGCCCATCCTCCCTTTCTTGTTGCCACCTTTCCTTCTCCCATTTCATCCATCATCGTGACTTCCACCGCCCCACTCGAGCTCGGCCTCGTCGGCCTCCTTTCCCGCCCCGTGCTCAGTGCCGTGTACCCAGAAGTGGCGAATCAAGGCGATTTGCCTACGCCGCCGCGCACACCCAGGTCCGTCCCGCTAAAGGACGTCGACACCATACAGTCCGACGCGGACTCGCTCCGCTCCCCGACACCTTACTACACCCCCGCCGTATTTGACGACCGCGACTCATACGTGATGAAGGACGACCTGACGGCGCGCACCGCCAACCTTTCCATCTCGGACGCAGGCCACGGCAGAAATGACGACACACACTTTCCGCCCATGAAGTCGGTCTGGCCGACGTCAACGCACTCGCAGGCCACGACGTCCCCCGCCGCCTCGTACGCGACGTTCGACGTTGCCGATAGAACCTTTGACAAGGACCCCAGAGTTCTCAAAGCAGAGCATGCCAGAGTCTCCCCCGCAATCTACTTCCGCGAGTCGCCCCTCCGCGAGGTGCCCCCCGTTACGCAAGCGAACGGTACCTCTAACGGGGTGGCGACGGGCGCCGGAGCGGGCGCAGGCACCCTTGCCGCCGAACACGGTCATGTACACCCGAGCCCGTCGCCGGCGCAACGCTCGCTTGATGGCCAGATCGGCGATACAAGGCAGACAGACCTGGGCCCGGTCCAGTCGAACGACGTCGTCAATGCCCGATCTCCGATCGAGTCCAGTGGGGCTCAGCCTAATGTCCCACATTCCTTCGCCGGCGTCCCCATGCCGCAACAGTCAACCAAGGCCTCTCCCCAGTCCGATGACCATTCAACCCCTTTGGCATCCCAGTCGGCCATGCCTCAGAGCACTGTATCTGAGGCTCACCCTCAGTCCATTCCAAATGGTTTTTCTCAGAACGGTGCCCCGAGCGATCGGGGTCTTGCTCAACAGAACCTGGCCAACGACCACGACATGGCTAAGGCGGCTGGCGTCGGCGCAGGCACCGGACTGGCTGCGGCTGGTGCCGCGCGCATGCTAAACAGTCACTCGGAGCCACAGCAGCATGGCGACTACTTTGGCAACGCCCGTAGCCCCGAGCCATCGGCGCAAATGCCGCCACCGCGATCTCCCGTCTCTCACCGGCGAGCGCTGTCGCCGACGCAGCAGGCGTTCCCCCAGACCCAACAAGCCACCCAGCCCAACGGCGATGCAATTGCGGCCCCCGCGCCTGTCCCAGCCAGCGGCGGCACATTTAGACGCCTGAGCGGCCAGCACGTTGAAGGAGTCGGTTCGGGCAGACACGAGCGCTCAGTCTCCGAGACGACGAGAGCCAACACAGCCGCGAATGCGCAAACCCTTGAGCGCCCACAGATGGTCGACGCCCCCTCACGCTCATACATCAAGGCCACGCCGCCACCCGAGACGCGGTACGAGCGCCCGCTGGACGGGGTGCAGCGGCGCCTAAGCAACCAGAGCGCGCAGCGCGTTTCGCGCTCCTCCAGCACCAAGTTTGTCGAGCAGCCGCCCTCAAGTCCCGGAGGCCACGCTGCCTCGCCGGTCAACATGGGCGGCGCGGCGGCCGCAGGCGCAGCGGGCGGTATGGCGGGCGGCGCCCTCGCGAACCACGTGCGTGAGCCCCGCTCCGACCCGTATGCGCGCCCTATGAGCGCCCACGAGTTCGGCCACCGCTCGTCGACGCAGCAAGAGTCCGATGGGCCCTTTGGGCGCCAGCGCCCCACAAGCGCCATGGCTGGTGACGGCGTGCTGAGACGCGACGCCTCGATGCGGCGCGACGGCAGCCATGGGAGCATTGGTAGCCGCCAAGCGCTCTCGCCCTCGGCCTCGATGCGTGGCCACGGCCGGCTGCCCCCCATCGCCGACGAGGCGGGGTACGCGGGCGTCGGCGCGGGCTCTGGTCTCGCTGTTGGCGAGGTAGCGACCCTCGGGCGTCAGCACGAGATGCAGGGGCATGGCCTGGGCCGCGCGCTGCGCGACGAAGGCCCTGTGCCCTATGATCGGCCATACTCGCAATTCGGTCACAGACCGGAGCCAGGGATCGGGGATTGGCAGGCCCGGCGGGAGGAAGGCCGGCTCGCGCGCTCGGGCACGGCGCTGTCGCGCACGACAGTGGGCCGGTCGCGCTCGCGCCGCTCCGGCGCCTTTGGGCGCGGCGCAGGCCTCACGGTCGGCACGCAGCCCGAGGATGTGCTTGCGCGCGACGACATCCACGAGCGCACTGAGGTGGCGGAGCGCGTGCTCTCGCCCGCGACGCTCAGAAAGATCCAGGGCATGGAGAAGCGCGAGGGCCGCGCGTTCGCGAAGATGCTCAAGGCTGAGGGAAAGGAGCAGGCGCGCGCGGTCGAGGCCGCGCTCGTCGACCTCAAGCGCATGGCGAAGATGCAGAAGAGCGCGATCGACCACGAGCGCAAGGCGCAGCGCATCCTTGCCAAGTGGACGGGGCGGGAGCACCGCGCGCGCATGCGCTTCCTTAGGGAGAAGGAGCGATACGAGAAGGTCGAGGGCGAGCTGCGCAATGCCGAGAACGACTACGAGGAGCGCCGCGACCATGCCGCGGGGCTCACAGCGCAGATCGCCGAGAAGACGCAGGAGCTCGACGACCTGCGTGCGCAGAAGGCTGCGGACGACCGCGAGCGCGAGGTCAAGCTCCTCGCGATCAAGAATCCGGGGCACGTGTGATGTGTGTGTTGTCTTGTTATCGTGCTAAATAGGAGTAGAGTTGCCGTAGTAGCTTTGCCTGATGCCGTAGTCGTAACATACATAATATGTATCGCTTGAATATAGCTTGCGGGTGGCGATCAGTGTGTAAATGAAGCGAGGGGAGGGGAGATCGTCAAAAGATGTGAAGAGACAAAAGAGAAGACTATGACGCTTGTGTGGATTGAACACACGACCGAACGAATTGGGCTTAAGCTTCACTCGCTCGCTCTCCCACTGAGCTAAAGCGTCTTATCTTCTCCGAAAGCGGTTCGTCTTTGGTCCGTTTTGTCACACACAGCGATTTCTGCCGAACTTGGTTCGTAGCTTCAATACCCACACACTTGTTTGCTATGATTTATTACCGAACGGACCAATGACCATGTGCCACAAATACATCTGTCTCTATCTCATCTATGTCAACCAACCCCTGAAGTCCTTAAGCCTCGGCCTCGGCCTGCTTCGCATTGCGGGTGAACACCTTGATGACGTGGAGGGTCGCGTACAGCGTGATGGGAAGGACGAGGAACCACTGCCCAAAGTTGAGAGCGGCGGTGATGATGAGGGGCGTAGGGATAGCCTGGACGCCAAAGCTCAGCGCGACAGCGGCAGTCTCGATACCGCGCAGGAGCGACGAGTAACGGATCTGGTCGCCAGGCGAGTCAGAGAGGTTGGAAATGCACCAGTAAATGTAGTTCTCGACAAAGGTGGTGGCAATGCGCTCGAACATGTACACCCCAAAGCCGCGGCCGAAGCCCGAGTGGGACCAGTCGAGGCGGGGATTGGTGAAGCGGTACTCGTTCTGAATGATGACACTCCAGATCCATGTGGACGAGTTGAGGGCGACGAGGACGCCGAAGGTCACGAGGGCGCGGGTGCGGCGGTTGCGCGTCCATGGCAGGTCGACGAGAGAGCCGGCGAGCCAGGTGGAGAAGGAGCCGACGATGGCGGAGAGGAGCGAGGCGAGAGCGCGCGACCGCACGGTGAAGTACGTCGCGAGGAATGTGCCGGGGTACGCCTGGATCCAGCCGTAGTACCAGAAGAAGGGGGTGAGGAGGAGGATGGGGCGGGAGGTGGCGAGGCGCCACATCTCGCGCGCCTCCGTCTTCCAGTCGATGCCGCGCGGCGCCTCGATGCGCGAGCCGTCGTCGCGCACCACCTTCTCGGGGTTGGAGAGGAGGAGGCCGAAGAACAAGCCGAGGCACTGCAGCGCGATGAAGGCCAGGTACGTCTCGTAGCCCACCGAGCCGATGCGGTTCGCCTTGTAGTTGAGTGCGAGGTTGATCGCGCCGCCGACCATGTTGCCGGCGTTGCGGAACGTGAACCAGGTCGCGATGTAGCGTCCGCGCTTGTGCTGCTCGGGGTAGCCACAAGCGACGGCACCCTCAACACTCCAGAAGAAACCGGCGGAAATACCGCACGCCACAGCACCAAAGTAGACGAACCACTCGACGTCATATCTGTTGTTCACGTACAGTCCCGCTGCGTACAAGGGGTATCCGACCGAACCGAGGGCGAGGGTGAACTTGAACCCGATGGCGTTGGTGATCCATGGTCCGAGGAAGCAGGTGACGGTCATGAAACCGTAGAGGATTGCATTGGCACCGTTGATCAATTCTGGACGGGCACTTCCCGCCACACCCATGCCATTGAGGGCCACCCACTGAGGTTAGGTTTGTTATTGCTGCGTGAAACTCACAAGACCTGGTGCCGAGAACGAGCACAATCCGACGATGATGATCTGAAACAGTGTCGAGCGGTAGAAGCGCTCCAGCCGTGGCCGTGTGTCGGGCGTAAGGCTGTTGGAGCGCCCGCTCGACGTCTCCTCGACGCTCCCCTTGCCATCTTCAAACTGAGTGTGCTGCTCAACCTTGTCTGCCATTTCGCGAGTGTGAGTCTGTGGGAATGAGATGGGCAGGTCAGTGCGGCGCTGGGCCTTTAAGAATCTTCTTCAGTCGTGCACGTCACAACCGCGCATTACCAGTAACAGTCTTGGCGACATGGAGCACCCTTCTTTATCGTCTAGCGCGCCGCGATGATAGGGCAGTCGTGCCGTCGCTCACACACGACAAGACGTGATGGGTAGTCATGGTTAGATGGCAGGAGGAAATTGGCCGATACGAGGTGCCGAGAGCGTCTTAGTGCGTGCGTGCCTGAATCCGATGGTGAGACCTGCGCCGGAGATGATGCCATCGGTGCATGTTGCAACTCTTCCATGGCGTCCATCACGACATCACGTGCACATGCTGCTGTCGCCTGTCGTTTCGGCGCTCGTTGTTGGCTAATGACCGCCAAGACGGTCCTTCTTCCAGTAGGGTATATGTACAGATGCACAGAGTGGGGTAATTGAGATCCTCATGCATCATGGCCACCACCACTGCTACCCTTCCACCGACGCTTGTGGCGCCGGACAATTCCCAGGAACTGGCATTCGAGCCTTTTGCTCTCCCGGCCACCAACCAGCGTGAGCTCGGCGCCCCGCACCCTCCTGGAACCGTAACGCCGCTCGCGCTCCGTCCTTCGGCGCCGACGACGCTCGACGAGGCTGTGGCGCACATCCGCTCCCTCCAAACCAACAACACGCTCACCTCGCTGCTGGCGACGCACGGCGCGCTCCTGTTCCGCGGCCTGCCGATCAAGAACGCGCACGACTTCTCCGCGTTCGCACACGCCTTTGGCTTCGCGCCGCACGAGATTGTCGGCATCGTCGTCGAGCGCGGCCTCCTCGCGCCCAACGTGGCGCCAGCCAACGAGAGCCCGCCCCATGTCACAATCTACAACCACAACGAAAGCCCGCAGGTGCCGCATGCGCCCGGATACATCTTTTTTTACGGGCACCGCGCGCCTGCCGAGGGCGGCGAGACGCCCATCTCCTCCAGCGCCGAGCTGTATGTGCGTGCGCGCGCCGAGGTTCCGCAGCTCGTGGACGATCTCGAGCGCCTGGGCGTCCTCTCGACGGTGCGGTACCGCCCCGAGGCACAGTACCAGGGCGGGAGCACGCTGCGCGAGGCATTCGGCAAGGAGTGGGCCGACGGCGACAGCGACGAGGTCAAGCGCCAGAAGGTCGAAGACCAGATCCGGCGCTACGGCCGCGACGGGCACACGACGTGGACGTGGGCCGAGGACGGCGGGCTTGAGGTTCGCCACGTGATCCCCGTGCTGCGCCGGCAGGTCGGCACCAACCTCCCCGTCCTCTTTACGCAGCTCGCGAGCGTCTATGTACGCACGCTGGCTGGTGAGGCCACCAGCCGCATCACCACCGTCTCCTATGGCGACGGCACACCCATCCCCGCTGAGTACCTCGCCAAGCTAAAGGAGATCACGGACGACATCCGCGTCCTCCACCGCTGGCGGGAGGGCGATGTGCTTGTCTACGACAATGTGCTCGCGCAGCACGGGCGCGAGCCCTGGAAGGGCGAGCAGGCGGATCGCGTCGTGCTCGCCAGTCTGTTCGATGGCGCGATTCCGGGCCCGTACGGCGACAAGCCTTGGGAGCAGTTAGTGGCGCTGCGCGATTAGTTGTACATGCGGAATTTGTAGGGAGAGGGAACAGTTGTGTGTTAGAAGTCATGTATGTCACAAATAGGGATGGAAGTCACCGGCGTTTTGCAGATCAAACGTGCTCCATGAGACTTGAGACTGACAAGGTGTCGGGCGCATTTGCAAAAACGTAAGGAGGGTTTCTGGTGCGATAGCAATTGCGACTGCTGTTGAGAGGTCGGCCGATGAGTGAAAGCCAACACCGGGGCAAATGGTAGAGCTCCACCGCTGTTGCGCAACTCCGAAAGGCCGGTGTCGCAGGAAGTGCGGTTTGACGCCGCGACATCAGAGGTCGCTGATTCCCACGATCGTTATCTTACAATATTGTTGACGTTTCGTGCCCGGGCAGCTTAGCGGAGCCGGCGGACGAACATGTCATCGGGGCTGAGATCAGCTTACGGCTTGTTGCATGTCACGGTCAGAAGGTCGCCGCGACAGAGCTGCTTGGCGACTGTCATTAGCACGCCAGCCAACTGCGGAAACCAGCCTTGTCAATGCATTGCGCGCAGGGTATACACATGCAGGGTATGATCGCTCCTCCCCTCTCTACTCCTCCTCGACCACCTCGTAGTCAACACCAACATACTCCCCGCAGCCAGGGCACCCAACGACATCGACACCCGCCTCGAGCTCGTCGACAGTGACGACGTATTCTTGCCCACACCGGCACTCGAGCGTGAAGCGCTCAGGCTCTTCGGCACTCGGATGCGCCGTAAACGCCTCGAGTGAAACGTGCTCACGTATCCGTGGTCCTGAGGGCGGCGGCGGCGCTGCGTGGTTGCTCACGCGCTGTGCATCGAAAGCGGCGCGCCGTACGGGATCAGAAAGGACCGCACGCGCCTCGTTCACAAGCCGGATGTCGGTCTGTGCGGGTGCGGTGCGTGTTTTATCAGGGTGTGACTGGCGTCAGCGGTTGATAAGGCGCCACGTCGCGCCAGAAGTGCCGCATCGGGAGTCGGTAGCCTCATAGTCGACCAAAGGACCTTCAGAGAAACAACTCACTGCCAGCACGAGACGGCGCCATGCGCGCGTGATTTCGTCGTCCGGGGCGGTGGGGAGCACTCCCAGTACAGCATAGTAGTCTGGTTGCGCCATGTCCCCTTTTGTGGTGCGGTGCCGCACCGAAGACGAGCGGTGAGAGAGATGTAGTGAGTGATGTGACGCATCGTAGTTCGCTGAGCAAAAGGAGAGAGGTGGATACCGTTGGGTGGCAAATTGACGTCTATCTGTGCCTCCCATCTAAGTTTTGCTGTAGCAATCAAACAATCCTGCGTCGTCAACCTTCCACCCCTGCCCTCTCATCATCATCGTCTTTTGTTCCACAAACAAACTCAACTCCTCATCGTATCTTGCCATTCAACTAGATTCCAATCGCCTCTGTCATCATCAAAACAACGACTCTGACGCAAACACACGCTTCCCAAGCCATCTCCATATTCTCTGCGCCCGTCCCTCGTTTCTTCTCGTGTTTAGACGCAAGTTCGTCATTGACCGATCAACTCGCCACCCAACTCACCCCAGTCTTCCATCCCCTAGTCACCGTCAACCTTCCCAACCTTCTTATCCCGCGTTACTGTCGCACCATGACCAACGTTACCGACCCAACCGCCGCGCCCGCCAAGACGCCCACCACCAAGCGCACCCAGAAGACCCGTGTCCGCCGCAAGGCGCGCCGCCGTGACGGCGCCGATTCCGAGGAGGAGGGCGGCAGCGCCTCGGATGCCTCGGACGCTTCCGACTCAAAGGCTACCCCCGCTACGGCAGCCAAGCCCAAGCTCACTCCACTGTTTCCTGACGAGAACTCGACCACGCCAGCCGCGTGGGCTGACATGACCGACAAGGGTGAGGAGATCACATTCGACGACTTCAATCGCGGTGACCCTGCACGCCGCGGCATTGCAGTGCGCGGACGTGGGCGCGGCGGCAAGGTTGCGCGGGAGCCGCGCGAGATGACTGAGGAGCAGAAGAAGCGCGAGGAGGAGACGGCTGCCGCTCGCCGCGAGAAGCTCAAGGCCAAGCGCAAGGCGAAGAAGGAGGCCGAGAGGGCGAGCAAGAGTGCTGCCAAGGCGGATCCTGGCGCTGCCACCACCGCTGTGCCCGCTGCCGCCCCTGCAACGGTCAACGCGGAATCTTCGCTCGCCGCCTCGACGTCTGCGCTCAAACTCGATGACCCCCCCGCCGAATCGACTGCGCCCGCTGCCTCCGCTCCTTCCGTCTCTCCTGCTGATGGCACACCTCGCCCTGGCATTCCCCCTCGCACCAACCGGAACGCGTATACGCAGCGAGTGGCCGAAGACCCCAAGTTCACCCCGCGCGTCGGCAACTTCTGGATGCACGACCAGCGCCATTATGAGGCGGGAAGCGTGGGCGAGGGAAGCTTCGCCGGACTCCGCGGCATGTCTGACTTTTGGCGCGGACGTGGCGGCATGCGCGGCATGCCCCGCGGCGGCTTCCGTGGAGTGCCTCCTCCCCGAGGTCGCGGGCGTGGGCGGGGGTTCGCCTTTGTCCCCCCCGTGCGCCAGATGTCCCCGGCCCCTTCGCCTTCGTCGGCGTCGACCTCCGCGTCTGGTCCAGGCCCTGCGCCTTATAGAGGTAAGGCCGTCCCGCCTGCAACAGCCTCGAGTAGCGGCCACCGTATGGCCGAGATGGACAAGCTGGAGATGGAGCTCCAGAACAAGGCGCGTCACAATCGCGCTGGAGCGAACGAGGGCAAGTGGGGTCACGAGGGCTTCGAGGAGATTGCCGCCCATGAGGACCCCATGCGGCATAACCACATGATCCGCGGTCGCGGGCGTGGCCGTGGCCGGGGAGGCTTCATGCGCGGTGGTCCTCCCCTGCGCCCCATGCCTCCTGGAGTAGCACATCTACCGACCCCCGAGGCGTCTCCCGACCGCTCGGCGTCCAAGACGGAGCCTAGAACTGAGGCCCCCACGACGACTGGCCCCTCCTCTGAAACTCTCCTGGAGGATTCAGGCGCTGTGACGGTCAAGCTTCCGGGCGGCGCCAAGTCCGTGGACGTAGACCGCCCGCCCAGCCAGCCGACAGAGGCTCCTGAGCAGCCCAAGAGCCCCTTCCCGCCCGCCTTTACGCCCTCCAACCCCTCGCCGGTACCATACGTTGCGAGTGACAGCGGCTCTATCAGCAGCGGGTACGTTCCCACGGGGCCGATGATGCCGATGCACACGGGCGAGTACTACAACCATGCGCCGCCTTTCCGCGCGCCTGGACCAGGCTTCTATCCCCCGTACCGCCCGCAGAGCTTTACGCCTGAGCCGCACTTCGTCCCGGGGCAACAGCCCCGCGGATCCTTCTCCGGGCCTGCCCCATTCTACCCAGGCGCACCTGCGCACGCGCGCCCCGGTTCTCCGCTCAACCCTTATCAGGCGCCGTATGGGCAGGCGGCTTACTTTGTCCCTGCTCGTCCTACGCAGAAGGTGTCAATCCGTTCTCCGAGAGGCAGCACCGATGAGATCAAGAGCCCGGCCACCGAGCCCGAGGCCGTTGGCACGCCCGAGTTTGTGCACGCTCAGCCCTTCTACCAGCAGCAGGGGTACAACCCGTACGCCAACGGCGAGGTGTACTACCAGGGCTACTGGCCCGGGTATGAAGGCGGTAGTGAGTATGGATATGCGGAGCAGTACCATGGCCACCCGTATTAGAAATGGCGCAAGCCACCATAAACAAGTATAGTGTGTAGGATACGAGCATAGGCATGTGAAGAGTTGGAGAACTGGATGTGTGGGTGCAGGTGCGGAGACGGTGACCTTGGACTGAAACACGAGCGGGATCAAATAGCGTTGGGTGGCGACCTCCTCAACCCTGGAACGCGTCGAACCACGTCCATACCACCACCTCATTGACCATGGCAGCCACCCCGCCGCGCCGCCAACCGGCCGCGGGACCCAGCACGCCCGCCGTGCGCTCACCAGCACCGCCGCCGCCGGCTATCTCAAATGGCACCCAAGACCTGTGGACCGATATTTTGCGCAGCGCGGACCGCGCAAAGGCCCTGCCGCGCAAGAACATTGTGCTCCTCAGCGAGCGGCATCGCGGCCGCGCCCATCTCCTGGACAAGGTCGTCGGCAAGCGGCGCGCACGCCAACCCCTCGCGATTGGATATGACCTGCTCATGAGTGATGACCGGGACGATGGTGAGTGCGGCCGTGTCTCCTCGACCTTGGTCTCAACGTCCTCATCGCCCTCCTTCCCACCTTCCCGTCCCGTCCCCCCTCCTCCTTTCCTCTTCTGACCCACCGCTGACTGTTCCAACTGACACCAGACACGCCGCCCGTGAGCGTTGTATACCCTCCATCCTCGCATCCCAGTCTCCTGCGGCTTGTGGAAACAACCCTGCCTCCCCATCCCCTCCCTGTATGTCGGATCGCCGAGCGTGCTGACGCCAGAACACGGCCGTCGTCATCGTCCTGGACTGGAGCAAACCCAGCACCATGGTCCGCGAGCTCCTTGCCTGGCTAGGCTGGGTGGACGCGTGGGCTGCGCGTGCCGCGCAAGCAGATCCCTCTTCTGAAGTTGACGAGATGCATGAGCGGCGTGGGTGTCTCACCTTGCCTCCCCGCCCCACTAACCCCAGTGGAATCACATTTGCAACACTACACGGAGCCGGCGGCCGCGTCCGTCCCGCTGACCAACTACGGCGCGGTCCTTCCCCTCGGGCAGGGGAGTTTAACGCGGAACCCAGCGGGCGTGCCGATCTTGGTCGTGTGCACGCGCGCGGACCTGATGGATGCAGTCGGCGACGAGATGGGCATGAAGGGCGGCGGATGGGAGGAGCGCACCGACTGGATCCAGCAGGTCTTGCGCACCGTATGTCTAGCGTACGGCGCCGCGCTATTCTACACGGCGCCGACGCAGCCACACACGTACGCCTTTCTGCGCGAATATCTCTTTCACCGGCTGTACACCGTGCCGCCGCCGCTCGGGGCAGAGGGCGCGCCGGCGCCCCAGCGCTTCCCGTTCCCACACCGCGCGAACGTGCTGGACCGGGACGCGGTCATGGTCCCGGCCGGCTGGGACTCGTGGGGCAAGATCACGATTCTGCGGGAGCCATTTGACGCGGCGCGGGTCGCGCGCGCGTGGGACGCGAGCGCGGCGCGGCGCGACGACGACGAGGGCATCGAGGACCTGTGGGCGGCCATGATCCCGGACACGGAGCGGCCGGCGGCCGCGCACCCCGTCGCGGTGGCCGTGACGAGCGAGGCGGAGCAGGCGTTCCTCGCGCGCCAGCTCGACGGGCTCGTCAAGAGCGATGCGAAGGGCGTGTTCCGCCGCGCGGCGGAGGCCGTCGACGAGCGCTACGGCGTCGTCGGGCCCATGGGGACCGGCGGGCTGTCGCTGCCAGGCGTGGAGCGGGCGATGGCGGAGATGGAGAGCGCGGCCGAGGATGTGGGAAGGCATGCGCGCAAGGTGTGTGAAGCTGAGGCGGGGCTGACTCCAGGACTCGAAGGCGGCGCCTGCGTCGCCAGACAGATCGACGGTGCAAAATGAGGCCCTGCACAATTTCGTAAGGCGTTGTGGGAGCACGCTGACATCTAGTTCCAGGGCCTGCTCGCGAAGAAGCAGGGCACGGCGTCGGCGACGCCGACGCCCACAAAGGCCGCGCCAAAGGCCGCAAAGTAGACACACGATCATTACACCGCATTGTGCATGTTGGTAGGCCCTGGCCGGGCGCAAGGCCCGGCGGGACGGCAAGTGTAGAGGCAGTAGAGTGCATATCATGCTAATGAATTTATGGCGCAATGTAGTACAGCGGAGATTTGCATATGTGCAGATGGTCGTGAGGTTGGTTGGCGGGAGCTTGGAGATTGATTGGAGCTGGAACTTGATGGGCGGAGCTGGACTATAGCTCGCGCCTGAATCGCGACGGGTATATGTTACTTCTACACGGTGGCTTCTACACGGTGTCTACACCTTCCACCTCCGGCCGATGTACGCGAGCCCGATTGCCGAAGCGGCACATCCGCCGGCGGCGACCCAGAAGCTCGCGTTAAAGCATCCGCGGCCATAGCACACGGTAGCATCGACGACGCTCTGCTTCGTGCTGCGGTCGGGGCTGGCAAGGAATGCGTAGAGGTACTGCTGTCAGGTGGCTCTGGCCTAGGGCCATGGGTACTCACGGAGAAGATGGCGCTGCCAAGGGCGGGGAAATAGGAGATCATGCCCCACGAAAGACCAAAGCTCGTGGCCCCGAAGTGGGTGGAGACGATGGCGGGGCTGAGGGTAAAGAGGGCGCCGTAGAGCGCACCGACGCCAAAGCTGAGCACCCAAAGCGCGGGTTCTGCCGCGAGCCACGCGGCGGCCCATGCAAAGACGAGGGCGAGGAGGGCTGCGCAGATCGCCGCGAACATCGAGCGGTGCATGATCACCGGCTTCTTCTGGACGAAGTAGTGCGTGGGCGCGTCGGGGTCGTCGCTGTGCGGCGCGGGTACGGCGACGGCAGCCGGTGCGAGGTGGTCCGCGAGCACGCCGGTGACGAGGCGCGAGAGCGTGGACGAGATGGAGAGGATGAAGACGTGTTTGTTGCGCAGCGAGAGCGCTTGGTCTGTTGCCTTGAATGTTAGTGCCGCGGGGTCAAAGAGGTGGAGGGTTTGGGCGGCGGCCTGGCGAAGGGCCGAGAGGCCGAATAGTGCTTCGGGCGGAAGGAGGGCGGTGACGATGTTCCCGAACGTTGCCATGACGGTCTCCGAGGGCCCGATGCAGCCGGTCATGACGGCACCGAAGGCCCAGAAGCCGGGGTTGCGGAGCAGACCGAGGGCCGTCCAGCGCGAGGCCTTGCCAAGCTCCTGCGCTTCGACGTCTTCGCGCGCAGCCTCAGGACCACCGATAAGCAGGGGGCTGCGCTCGTCCAGGTGCAGCGAGGCGGAGAGGTCCGCGTAGTCGTTGTACGCGTGGTCCCAGCCGTCTTCGCTGTCAGTGTCTACGTCGTCGTGCAGCACCGGCGGGTCGGGGGGGATGACGCGCATGAAGACGGCGGCGAAGAGATTTACGGCGGCGGACAGGAGGCCGAGGAAGGTGAGGTAGCGCACGGGGTCGAGCTCCCCGCCAACCTGGAAGACGGGGATCGAGGAGAACGAGGAGAGGAAGAGCGATGACAGGCCCATGCATGCCAGCGGGAGGGAGAGCGACAGTGTCGGGTGCGACGGGAAGCTGAGTGACGCTGGGTGAGTTTAGCATGGGGTGGGGACGCACCGGTGGTCAGGGCCGCAAAGTAGCTGCCGACGGTCGCGGCACCGACGAGGAAGAAGGAGGCGGTGAGGAGGAGGTAGGTGCCGGGCGCGGCGCCTTCGCCCTCGTCGAGCTGGACGATGGCTGCGAAGGAGCAGTATCCAGTCGCTGCGACCAAGGCGCTCATGAGCGAGCCAGCGCGCGGCCCGTGGCGATCGACAAGCGCGCCCATCGGCGCCGCGCAGAGGTAGACACCGAGGATCCCTCTGTGACGGAGCGCATGGACGAGTGAAGCGGCAGCGTAACGAGGTGTGAGGGTGGGGCAAGGCGTGCGTCAGCTCAGCCAGTTTTGCGAGGAACGCTCGCGAGCAGAGGCGCCGGAGAGCAGCATCGATGCGTGGCAGCTAGTGGCCATCAAAACCTACCCGACGACGATTGTCTGCGCCTCGGTGGTGCTGAGTCCGAGCCGTTGCTGGACGATAGGGCCGCTGTGGTCAGCGGGTGTAATCTTGGATGGTTGCAATTCAGCTCTGGGGATACGCGGCGGAGTGCATGCGCTTTTGCAAGCGCACACGCACGCAACGCGTGTGCATGTTGACACGATGCCGCCATCGCAATGAAGCACGTCGCCACCGCTGCGGCCGTACACATCGGCGGCGGCAAGATCGTCGGCATCGGCTCAACGCCAATCCATTGTCTTATCGGCGCTCGTCTCTTCCTTGCTCCAACCCCGAGCCTTCCACCTTCTCCGTCGCCTTATCCACGTCCGCTTCCGCCTCCGCCTCCTCCTTCCCCCACTGTCGCCCTCCCCTTCTGGTCACCCCGCTCCTTCCACCTCCCCCGCGCCACTCACTAAGTCGGCCAGCAATACACCCCGTTGGCCTGCACAGCACTCATGAGCACAGCGACACACATGAGCGCAACCCGCACGCCGCGCGTGCGCAGCCCACACAAGCTGCCGCAAGTGCGCCGGCGCTTCGCCTCAAGAATGGCATGCACATCGGGGGGAAGGAGCGAGTCGCGGCGCGTCGGGTTGGTGCCGTAGTCGAGGTGGCGGGAGCGCCGGCGCGCGGGGGTGGAGGGCGCGGGGTGCGGGCGGGCGGCGAAGTAGCTCCGCTCGCTGTCGTAAATGATTGTCGGGCTCGAGGGGGGAGAGAGGGAGGGGGAGGGGGAGGGGGAGGGGGAGGCCATGGTGGGTGGCGGCCGATGGAGAGATGGAGAAAGCGAGTGCCTCGATCGGCGTGTGCCGATGCGACATGCGACATGTATCACCCGACGATCGCGAGTCACGTGAGCCCGCCACGATGTCATGCGATCGGCACGCGACATTGCGGCGTCAGAGGATGCCCGGAGGCGGTCAGGTGATGTCGGCGCTGGAATCAGGCCTTGCGGCCATGCGTGTGGCGTGACATACGCACCCAGCCTGGCAGTCGCTCTCTCATCTGTCATCAGTTAGGGGCGGGATCGTATCTCCGCGTTTCTGCGTGGTCATCTGCGTTACGTGTGCGAGTGAGGTGAGCATGACGGGGGTGGTTGCTGAGGTGCTTTGAGGCGACAGCTGGCGAGTCTGGCAACGTCGTGTGCATGTCTGGCAGCGGCAACCAAGGAGTGGCCACGCGTGCATCCTTGATCACTTGAGCTTCAGCTGCGCACTTGCCACGACTTATGTGGCCATGTGGGCTCGTTGGATCGACGGCCCGACGTGGCCTGCGCTGTGCCATGGGCCACTGCATGCATTGCAACTGGTCATGCTGGTCAATGCACTGAAGATGGACATCAACCACGTTGACCCCAGTCATCATCCCTGCCCCAGCTGCCCCCAAACATGTCACACACCTCATCCACCTCATAGGTCATATACTTCCCCACAACTCGACCCCTCACCCCTCAACCTCTCCCCCCACTCCCATACATCTCTTCCGTATCCGCCGGAATATTCCAACCCTTCTCATCTCCTCCATCTTCTCCTTGCACCTCATCCTCCCGCATTCCATGCAAATCGGTATAACTGACGCGCGTCGCGCCGCGCGTCGCGTCGCAGGTGCCCTGATAGCTGCGCCTGGGAGCGCCAAGTGCTACACGCGGAGGCATTCCGCTGCTGCCAAGGCCGGGGCGGGGCGTGGGCCCGGGTCGTGCGGGGCAAGGGAAGTGTCACGCGAATTGCATGCGGGCCCGAAAGAGACGGGCGGCGGGCGAGGTGATTGAGCGAGAGGTGAGGCACAATACGGGAAACAGAGATGCAAACAAATGGTGATGTCAAGTTGCAGTGCTGGTGATGATGGACGTCATCGCTTCATAATCAATGCACCATGACGAACATTGAAGAAGAGCAGAAAGCGAGATGGGGGAGAAGAGGAGAAGAGCCGTTCTTTTGTTCTGCGGCGCATGCGATGAGGGCGATGAGATGCATGCGATGGGCCATGGGCCTGTGCAGCGTGCGGTGTGTGACGGGATGCAGGGGCGCCGCTTGACTGTCCATTGCGACGCGACATGTCATGCGCGGTGACTCTGGCTTGGGCTGGGCAGGGGAAGACCCGTCTGGCAGTCTTGGTGGCGTTAAGCATAGCGTCCTGGGGCGGTGGGACTGCCTCGAGCTGCCTCCTCCAACGCGGCGACAAACGCGGCGCGTCATGCACACTGGACTCTACCAGCAGCTAGTCAGCAGCCGTTCTGGACCAAACATGCACAAATCTGCAGAATAGAATTGCACTCCCCCACGCATGCCACGCATCGCGCACGAGTGCAGAGGAATGACTCATCGAGTAAAGGGGGACACACCGTGTAGCTTGGCAGGAATTCAGGGTCTGAAATGCTAAAGGAAGATAGACCCCCTTTTGCTACAGACCGGTCCCGATTCCGCGAATCCCTCCCTCTTGCGCCCTGGTTGCGCCCCTTGCCCGCGTCTGTGCCTGGGCTCTGGTACTGCAGGCTTCTCAGCCCTCTTTTAGCTTACTACTGCACTTATGCACTTAGCTAGCAGCTAGGAACACCCCCTTTCCCTCCCTCCCCTTGTCAGGCCCTCTTCTGACCCCCCTGAGAAGCGGCCCGGGCGGCGGCAAGGGGATGGCAGGCAGTGTAGAAAAGGAACAGCCGGGTGTCCGGGCGGATAGGGTTGGTTCCCCCGGAAGTGGCGCCTCGGGGATTGCTCCCGGGTACTGCACGAGAGCGCGTCGATTCAGGATTTGGACGGAAGACTTGGCGTTTGTTAATTCCTGAATTCCTGAGCAATGCCTGATGGAGTCAAAGCTCCCAAACATCCACACACAAGAAAGGAAAAACGGGGTGCTTGCCACCATCACCTTGGCTCGTTCATCTCTGCACGCACACACCTCGTCCATGTTTACTCGCTAATCTCCACTCCCCCCTCCCCATTCTTCTTGCCCTTCTCGACGACGCTCGACGCTCCTTTCTCGACGCTCGACACTCGACACTCGCTTCAACCCCTCCCTCGCTCGCTCATACCCCTCGCCCTCTTCCTCTTCTTCTTCTTCTTCGCTTCCCCCCCCCACCTATCATCCAAAGCCTTTGTGCATCCCATCCTCCTCTTCACGTTCCTTTTCGACCTCTCTTTACTCCTCCTTCGCGACAATGGTCCCCGCCTTCGCTGTGGCGGCCACCGCCGCCGTCCTCGCCGCCATCCCCGTCTCCGCTCAAGGCTGGCAGCTGGCTCTGCCTCCCCGCCCCAACGTCGCCTTTGACGAGACCTTTTACCCCAATGACGGAATCTTCCACCTCAAGTCGGACATGGTTACCAACTGCATCGGCAACCAGGGTGATGCCGGCTGCACCGCCGTCGGCTCGTACGGCGCCGCCCTCGGCCTCAACTTTATCGGCACTGCCGTCAAGGTGAACGGCGCCGCGTCCAACTCGAACTCTTCCGAGCCCCGCCCAGTCGGCTCCTTCTCTCTTTACGACGGCATGTGGCCCGTCTCTGGCGACCAGCAGGTCCATGTCGGCCAGGGCGTCCTCGCCGCCCGCCAGGGCCTCGAGGCCAAGCCGTACCGCGGCAGCATGAACATTTACTGGGCCTCGGACGTGTCCGTGTCCTCGGTCTCCGTCTCCACCGGCATGTACGTCAACGACCCCAACGCCAAGAGGGAGACGGTCCAGTTCGAGACCATCCCCGCCGTCCAGGGCTCGGGCCTGCACCCCTTCTACCAGCTCGACGGCTCCAAGTGGAAGGCGAACGGCAGCGGCAACGACTGTGAGTGACCCTCATCCTTCACAACTAACATTCAGCCTTCGCCGCCGGCTCTGGTAACGCAATGGTGCGCGTCACCGTGCCCCAGAACACGACGTACGTCAAGGTGCGCGGCCTGACCGGCCCCGACGCCGGGCCGCTCACCATGTCGCTCCGCACGCGCGAGGGCGCCACCAAGCCCGACCTCGCGTCCGGCAACGCGACTCTCGCGTCCCACCCCCAGCGCGAGTCGACGACCGGCTCGACACTCTTCGCCCTCCCCCTCGACCCCACCCAGACCTACTACTTTGAGATCCACGCCGACGAGGGCAACTTTTACCTGCGCGACATGAGCTTCTGGAGCTCGCTGCCGTGAGTTGTTCCGGGAGTTGGCTTGGCACTTTTCTCCGTGCCTTTCCGACCATCCCTCCCCCCACCCCACCCCACCCCACATCCACACCGCTGACAGACAGCAAGGGCGGCTCTGCCGGCGGCGCCGGCGGCGTCTTCAGCGCCGCGGGCACCATCGCGCCCAACCTCGCGGTCCTCGCCGCCGCGCTCGTGTACTCGCTTCTCTGATCCTTTCTGTGAACACTTTGGCTTATTTTCGTGCCCGGCAGCTGTGCTTGGTTGCTGGCCCATGTGTTAGATTCGATCTCTGGGGTTAGGGCTGGCCCTATGCATGGTTCATATTGTGTGGCATGGGAGGAAGGATGGGTTGGCAAGCGTGCGGCCGAGTGGGGAGCGTCACCGTGCGTTTGCTCGGCAGGGCGTCGGGATCTGAGGCGTTGTCAGCGCGCGGCGTGCAGCGCGCTTCAGGCGGGGAATGGATCGATGGAGTGGGGAATGGGGAATGAGCGGGCATGGGCGAGCGAGGGTGGGCGAGTGTGGGGTGAGGAGCGGAGTGAGGAGCGTGGGTGAGGTGAGCGTGAGCATGCGTAAGCGTGAGCGTGAGCGTGAGCGTGAGCATGCGTGAGCGTTAGGAATGGCGAAGAAACTAAGAGTGCCGGCATGATGCGGTGGGCGATCAACGAGGCCCAGGCCGACCGTGCATCAGTACAACGAACATACGAGCATGAGGACGTCCGAGTTATCCTTGACCCATCCTGGGACGGTGGATAGCGGCGTTGAGACTGTTCGTCACTCGGCTGGGTACTCGATCCACGGACGATCGTCTTTCCTTTTTGCTGCCAAGCTTCCAGCGATCCAGCAGCGAATCGAACGGTGGCCCAGCGACGGAACCAGACTCGTACACCTCCCGATCCCACCAGTCATTACCCCGATGACGTAGGGATCGGCGGGCCGCTGGGAAGTCGTCGCGGCCTCCATCATCTTGCCACGTCTCTCAGCAGCTCGCTTCACACTGGCGCCTTCCTCGTCGCTCTGATCCATCTCTCGACCTCTCGCCACTCGTCTTCACCACTGGTCACTTACCACTCGCCACATCGAGCTCGCCACAGAGTCCCAATCACACTCTCCAACCCCCATGTCCCAGCACATCGAGATGAAGCCCCTCGGCCCCGGCCCCGGCCCCGGCACCAGCCACGGGGGCAGCTTTCCGCCCCCGCCGCGCCGCGATGCCCCGCTCAGCAGGGGATACCGCGAGGCCGAGGAGCGCGCGCGCGCGCAAGCCAGTCCGGCGGAGGGCGCGATGGACGCGACGAGCTACTATGGTCTTGCGGCGGCGAGCTGGTGAGTCGTCGGGTAATCGCGAGCGAGCGAGGGAATGCGTGGGCCTCCTCCAGACCCCCACCAACCTCCGCTAACACCAGGTACACCCTCCTTTCCCTCCCACTCCTCCTCTTCCCGCGCCTTGTGCTCTTCTTCGCAGCCGAGGACCGCGCGACCCGCCTCTCGCACTCGTCGATGGGCATGGTCGTGCCCGGCGTCGACCGCGGCAGCATCAGCAGCTTCGAGCGCCCCGCGCGCCTCACGAACCTCGAAGCCCTCGCGCTGCGCTGCATGGGCGTGGGGCTGCTCGCACTCGCCGCCATCACCGTGTTCGTCGTCGTGCCCGCGTACAAGCCGCACGCGCCCGGCCGCAAGGCCGTGACGACCGTCCTCGCGCTGCTGGGCTGCGTCACCGCCGCTGTCGCGTACAATGCGCCACTCGGCGCGCTTGCTGTCGTCACGGGCGTCGGGAACGGGATCGTCGGCGCGTGGGGGTGGTATGCGATCATGTTTGGCGAAGACGAGTACAGGTTCGGCAAGTATCTCAAGGACGATAGCAGGCTCAAGAAGCTCTAGATGGATGTGTTGTGTGTTGGAAGGAGGGAGGGGCGTGGTATGGCACTGACGATCTGACGAGCTGACGCGGCGATGAACTGACACTACAACCTAACGCGTAGAACTGCGATCTGCGGATCTGCGGAACGCGCGACCGATGTGACGCAAGCCCCGCCATGGTTCTATCTTTGGGGCACACTCCACCGCGCGCGCAGCCGCAGTCATGCGACCCGTCCATCTACTTGACAGGTTGCCCGTTAGGGACCGACATCCAGAGATCCCCGAGAAAATAAAGAGGCGTCTGGGTGCGACCGAAGGTTCCATGTTGATACACCTTCCAGCATTGTTTGTTAGGGACATCCAATCCATATTCCCGCAAGAAGAAGAGGTTGGATGGGAACATGCTGGCACGCTAGCACCCCTCACCCGGGGATTTTGGAGCGAAAAGGCAGCAGCCAGCCCTATTCGAGGCAATAGCAATGGACAGGTGACTACGAGATCGGCCCAGCTCACTGGGACCTGACGGCGACATGAGTGTCCGCTGAAGGCGCTGTGTCCTACCGAGCGCGGCGCTGTCTCGAAATGCCAGCACCCTCAGCATAGCATGAGATGTTGCATCTGTCAAGTACCGCCAGCATATAGGGCAAATTCCGGGACGGCCGTCACGGCGTTCAGCTTCGTAGCTTCGTCAGGGGTCGCTGTTATACGCTGCCGGACGCGACAGTCGCATCGCAGGCGTCCCGCCATTGCCGCAGCCACGCTCCACCCATATCCGCCGACGTGCCACTGCTTCATACATAGCATAACATACGATCTCGGACGTAGATACTGATTACTGGCCAGGGAGGAGGTTCGGGTGGGCTGCCGGTGAGACTTGAGGAGCCTGGCCTGGGAGGAGGTTGGGGTGTGTGGGCTGCGGAACTTGCTGAGGGATCTGCTGCGGCACCTGCTGCGCGAACGTCTGCTGGGGAACCTGCTGAGGAACCTGCTGCGCGAACGCCTGCTGCGGCACCTGTTGCGGCACCTGCTGCTGGAACCCGGCCTCCGGCTGCGCCACCGCCCTCGGCGGCAGCTGCGGGGCCGTCTGCTGCACTGGCGAGACGTGCGGCGCCGTCGCGTCTGCGACCGGGTGTCTCGGGGGCGGCGCGTATCCCTGTCCGAGGGGGCTCTGCGCCGTCGCGGATCCCAGGCTGCCTGTGTCACCACCCACGCCTGTATCGATCGGGCGTGGCGGGAGGTTGGGCGCCACGCCAGCCTTCTCGCTGGGAAGCTCGCCCTTGCCCGCAACAGGGGAAACGGGAGAGACACTCGATCCGCGCGACGAGCGGCCGGCGAGCGAGCCCGCCGCTGCGCCTGCACCCGCCGCAGCCGGTAGCGAGCTCTGGCTCCCATTGTCGGTGAGCGCCGCGAGCCGCTGCTCCCGGCGCTCGGTGTTGACTCGCGCCGTCTCCTGCGTTCTCTCCAGCGTCACCTGCAGACGCTTGACTTCGTCCGCGAGCCGCGCGAGCTCGTCCTGCTTAACAGCCACCTCCTTGGCGAGCGTATCCTTCGTCGCGATCGCACTCTCGTGCTCTGCCATTAGCGCGATCATGGCCACACACACCATGCTGCAGCTTGATCAGCTCGGCGGCGAGCTTCTCCTCCCGCCGGATCGCCTTCTGGTGGTCCTCGACCGCGTCGTGCTCCGCCTTCTGCGCTTTGTGGTGCGCCTTGTGCGCCCGCTCCAGGTCTTTCAGCGCCTGCTTGACGGCTTTCTCGTCATTCTTCGCCTCTGGCGTCAGTAGGGACGGCGCGCAACGCACCCTTGTGCAGGAGCTTCTCCTCCTTCTCCTCCGGGGTGCTGCTGCTGAAGAGGCCCATGATGAGTGGGGAGGCAGCCAGCGAGGGCGAGACGTATATATGGCTTCGCATGGGTACATACGGCTGTCTGGCTGGCCTCTGACGTCAATTGCACATCCCGTGTTATGATTCGCCCTTCATTTCCCCTCTCGATCGATACCCCCGTACCGGTCCCGAGCACCTGTCCCATGGGGAGGGGTGCGTAGCATGCATCGCATGGAGCGTACACATGGAGGAGACAATGGGGTGTGGTGTGTCCGAGGTTCTGCCGATCTCGCCACTTTGGAAGCTTTGGACTGGGCTCGGCGTGATCGACTGCGGATCTCGGCGATCACTCGCACGTTGATTGCACGCCACTGCCCGGTGTCCGTGCGGGGAACTCCGGCCCCAGGCCGTCTTCCGACTCTAATCATAATCCTAATCCAGCATTACGGACACATAAGGTATGCGGAATCAAACCATCCCTCCATCCCTCTGTGCCCACTTTGCGAGAATTTGTCTCCGCCACTCTCGTCTGCAAACATCGCTCCTCCGCCCATCTCTTCCGCCCTCGCTGCATACGACAATCGCCTCCCCATCTCGTCCAGCTCGCTCGCCCGGCTCGTTATCGCCAGGACCGCAATGGACGCACAGGCTTCCGCTTCGGCTTCGCCCCAGAGCGGCATAGACCGCAGCGACGGGCCCCTGCGCATCAGCCAGCGCGCCTCCAACTCGTGTTCTTTCTGCACCAAGCGCAAGTGAGTCGTCCGTTCGTCCGTGCCCCACCCGTCCGCCCGTCCGCGGCCGCTGACGACAGAATCAAATGCAATAAGAAAATCCCCTGCGACAACTGCATCCGCCGCGGCCATCCGGAAGACTGCACGCGCGTACCGGCGATCGTGCGCGGGCGGCTCGTGAACGCGCCGAACGCGACGCAGCGCGCGCCGCTTACACCTGACGAAATACGCCTGCTGCGCGAGGGCCAGCTGCAGCGTGAGAACCTGGGTCTGCGCCGCCGCATCACCGAGCTTGAAGCGCGCCTGCGCCAGCTCGAGGGGCGCGCCGGCACGCCCTCCCACGCTGGGCCAGCTAGTGTCGGATCCACGAGCTCGCCGGGCGAGTCGCCCAGCACCGCGAACGCGTTCGCACACCTCCTGAATGCCGCGACCACGGCGCGGTCTGGCGCAGAGACGGAGCGCAGCCGCCAGGATGACCCCGACGTCCTCGAGCCGTTTGTGCATGTCATGGCTATGCCGCTGAACAAAAACGATCGGCCTAGCTCGCCAAACCCGCGCAGACAGCAGGACAATGCCACGCCGGGCCCGATCAGCTCCCTCCCCGATTTGCCCAGTCGTAAAATGATGGATCTGGCCCAGGCGGATCTGCTTACACTTACTCCGACGCCGCCACAGAGCATGGCTATCATCAGGGCCAGCCTCAAATATATGAGCTTCCTGCACTACTCGTGCCACATACCCTCTTTCATCGCCGAGCACGACGAGTGGATCCAGGCCGTGAGCGAAGATAGAGAGGGCGGCAAGGGCGACGCGTGGCTGTCTTATTGTGAGCGACGTAGTATGCTCCCGCTAACAGCAGACTTTGCCCTCCTATCCGTCGGCATGTACTTCTGCGGCGACCTCATGGCGCCGGAACTTAATCTCTCGGTGGACGAGACGGCATCTCTGTCGTCTTTCTGGTTCGATGTGTGTCTGGAGGCCCTTGACCGGTCCAAGTTCATGTCGACCAACCCGACGCTCGAGGCGCTGCAGACGATCGTCGTCCTCCCGATGGTATCGTACAACTTCGGCGCATCAGCATACACCGAGTCGCTTCTGCACGTTGGCCTCCGCCTCGCCCAGCTCCTCAAGCTGCACCTCCTCACCGCCGAGCCGGCGGACCACGACCATCTCCCTCGCGGCCTGATACAGCGCGAAGTAGGCCGCCGCGTCTGGCTTCTCCTGCGCCTCGGCGAAGGCCGTCCCGACTTCGTCAATACCGGTGGCCTGCGCCTGCCCCAAGGCCAGACGGCCGAGCCCTTCAACGCAAATCCCGAGGACTACACAGACACGAGCGTGAACGCGCGTCCCTTGACGCAGTTCACAGTCGTCACGCACCTGCTCTGCGCCGGGCGCCGCTACCGCATCTTCCGCCAGTTCTCTGAGGCCTTCGCGGAGGCCGGCAGCCTGCGCGACCAGTACGCGATCGCGCGCGCCGCCGACACCGAGCTGCAGAACAACTTCGCCGACTTCCCCTGTCTCCAGAACAGCGACAACGACACGTTTGAGGAACGCTTTGACCTCAACGGCCCGCACGACCACAGCCCCCACTCGCGCTACATCTGGTCCCTCCTCATGCCGGCCGGCACCATTCTCGTGTATCGCAGCTTCCTGGGCCGCGCCTACTCCGACGAGCGCTTTACCGAGGTCCGCGAGGTACGTTTGCATTCCTCCTCCTTTCGCTGACATCAGACATGTCTTGCCGCCGCGCGCGAAATTCTGAGGCAGCGCCGCCGCCGCGTGCCCCCCATGTTCCAGCGCACATGGTACGCTCCCCCACAACTTCGCTAACAGCAGGCCAATCGCGTCGTACACCGTCCTCGCGGGCGTCGTGCTCGCTACCGAGCTCGTGCACGGCGCCCCGAGCCCCGCGATGCACGCCAAGCTCGTGTCTGAGATCCAGGCGATCATCGACAGCCTGTGGCTGTGCGGCACGTCGTCGCTCGTTGTGCAGCGCGGCGTGCCGCTCCTCCGCCGTTTCATCGACTCGAGCGAGCCGGCTGAGTACGCCGGCGACACGAAGAGCGCCGCCAGCGTCAGCGACGCACCGATGGTGCCAGCCGCGCAGGAGTTGTGGCCCGGCCTGCCCCCCACCGGCACGGACACGCTCATGCATGCCGGCGAGGATGTGTGGTCCAATGCGCTCGTGGCGCTCGAGAACGACGAGGCGAGCGGGTGGTGGACGACGCTATTGTAGGCCGCGTGATAGATTCTTTGATTATTGGGTTTTGGGGTCATGCATTTGCATAAGTTCTCGCGTCAAGGGTATGAGAACGAGTACAAGAAGCGTGGCTCGGGTTGCTGTTACTCAACGAGAATGCGGTGACAAGAGGATACATCTGGCATATATCGGACAGGGCGTGTGCGGGGTAGAGGACATCACTCATACTCATGTCCGGATGCATCGGCGCCGGACTCTTGGCCCCGCCCCCGCATCGCCGACCCCGCCGACCCAGCCATCCCCGCGGTCCGTCGTGATCTCAGGCGACTTCGCTCTGCGGTCAAGAGCCAATTCAGCATGTGCTGTACATCTGCAAAGTGTTTCAGACGCGACGTTGCGCGCGAACTTTTCACCTCTGTGCATGCAAGGGTCGACGCGCGCAATAAGCGGTTTGGGCGGGCAGGATGGGCAAGATCCGGCGGCTGAGGCCGTGGAATTGCGGGCAGCCAACCGGGGCTCGGCACCTCCGACCTTTCTGCGGCACGCGGGTTCCAACTTCCCGACTCTATCTTTCGTCCTCTTCATCCACCACTCATCACCATGGCCGAGACCGCAGGCAAGCCGCTCCGTGAGTGTCCTGTGCACTAGTTGTGTTGGAGTAGCTTGCTCATCCCAGCCCTCCCCTTCCCCTACACCTTCACGGCAGGCGCCATTGCCGGTACGTTGTTCTATATTTGCCAAACTAACTTCAGGTGTCACCGAGTTGCTGGTACGTGTCTTTTCCTCCAACTCGCTCTCTGCACTCTGCACTCTGCACTCTGCACTCTGCACTCTGCACTCTGCACTCTGCACTCTGCACTCTGCACTCTGCACTACGCACTCTGCACTACGCACTCCGCATTCTGCACTGGGCTCTGCTCCCCGTTGCCGCAAGAAGTCACCCGAGTCGGGATGAGTGGGCGACAATGATGCGGAACGGGATTGGTGCGGAGAGGCGCTCAGGCGCAGAATGTCGAGGGAGGGCCTAATATCGCGCTATCGCGATCCTGGATGTTGCGTGCTGCCGCCGGGCTGGGATGGCTTGAGCGGCGCGCGGGCACGGTGTCGCGTGAGGTGGGCGAGTGGCGGAAGCAGCGCTCCGTCTCGGAGCTACCATGGCCTCGCTCGCTGCCTATGCGGCGCGAGGGTATCGGCCGGCTCGTGTGACTCTGCCCGCTTCTCCCGACTAGCTTCTGTCCACCCAAGCCTTGCTCCGCGAATGCCTCAACCCTCCCTCTGCGCCCTTTCATTTCTGGTCCCACCTCGCTCACCGCAGCTACTCTACCCCCTCGATGTCGTCAAGACGCGCCAGCAGCTCGACACGAGCAAGAACCCCGCCGGCATGGTGACCGTGTTCAAGAACATCGTCACGCAGGAGGGCCCGTCGCGCCTGTACCGCGGCATCATGTCCCCCCTGATGATGGAGGCGCCAAAGCGTGCGATCAAGTTCGGTGCCAACGGCTGGTGGGGCTCGCTCTTCACTAACAACGGCGAGAAGAAGATGACCCAGGGCCTGGCCACGCTCACCGGCTGCTGCGCGGGTGCTACGGAGTCGTTTGTCGTCACGCCGTTCGAGCTCGTCAAGATCCGTCTGCAGGACAAGGCGTCGGCCCACCTGTACAAGGGTCCTGGGGATGTTGTCAAGCAGGTTGTCCAGCAGAAGGGCGTGCTTGGGTGAGCGACCAGAATGGGCCGTGCCCGGCTCCGCGGACTCGCTAACCCCAGCCTCTACCAGGGCATGGAGCCCACTTTCTGGCGTCACTGGTGGTGGAACGGCGGCTACTTCGGCTCGATCTACTCGATCAAAGCCCTCCTCCCCAAAGCCACGAGCAAGAACGGCGAGATGATGAACAACCTTGCGGCCGGTACCGCCGGTGGCTTCGTCGGCACTGTCATCAACACGCCCTTCGACGTCGTCAAGTCGCGTCTCCAGCTGCACGCGACCGGCGAGTGGTGAGTGCCCGGTGGAATGAGCGTGCCACTGACCCCCAGGACCTACCCCGCACTTATCCGCATTGCGCGTGAGGAGGGCATGGGCGCGCTCTACAAGGGCTTCGCACCTAAGGTGCTCCGTCTCGCCCCCGGCGGCGGTGTCCTCCTTCTCGTCGTCGAGGCGCTCTCCAGCGTGTTCCGGAAGCACCTCGGCCCTCCCTACATCTAGAGCGATGGTAGACTTGCCCGCGCCCCGGCGCGGTTGTTGTCCAAAAGGCTACATGCCACTGTCATGGATCATGGTGCGACGAGTATATGTCTGAGGAAGCGCATCGTGGTGGTCGTGGCTCTTTCGGGACAAGTAGTCACCATACACGCCGAATTCTGGGCAGAAGTGGCAAGTCAGCTTAAGTCAGAGCATGATCCCGCGCGGCGAGGTGTTTCTCGTTTGCGGCATGCTGGGCTCCTGCCATTGCCCTCTTGTTGCAACGAAAGCAAGAGCGCCAATGCGAAGGGCGTACCGCTCTCCTTGTATGTTTGCGAAGTCTGCATAGCTGTAGTACGGACACTGTGGTCTACATAATCGGCAGCATGGTTGCCGATCTGTCGCAGCTATGTCGGGAGAACCGAAGTGACATTGGAACTTCGGCCTCTGGGAACGCACACCAAACCGCACGCCTTCCGTTGAATGAGGCCAGCTTTCCACGAATTCTTGTGCTCTTCATGTACACGCTCGACTTTCGCTAATTCCGTGAATGCCTTTCACACCCTCGAGATAGCGAGAAGGCTTCCGCACTGACGTTGCCCTACATTGTTTCCCACTGATCTGCACGTGCTGTGCCAGCCCACGCTCCTCACGCCGAGTCTCGGCCTACAGGCTAGCACTCGTGACCTTGCAATAGCACAGCACTCTCTCCAAACACTGCTCTGGCACCCAAACCGGCACAGGCTGTGTGTCCCACCTCCGGTCGCTGGCGTCGTGAGCGCTTACTGGTCCAATCCAAACTCCTATTGGGGGATGACTGCGACACAGCCATCGAGATCCGCTCTTCAAGTCTCGCGATATTCAAGCGTACGTCCCGAGCAGGCGCCCGTCCCAGTCGATTAGGCGCAGGCATTTCAAGGTACAGTTGTTCGGTCATGCCGCATGCCCGCATCATGTGACGCAATAGCGGTAGCTTGAAAGGTGTAATAAGCTTGGTGTCGACAAGGTCAGAATCCTCCGGCACCATGCTCACAATACTTGCTCTTCTCACTGTTGCGAGTGGGGCCGTCGTCGAGCGCGAGCCGCTTCGCATCGGCCTGTCTCGCCTACCGCTCAGCCTCGAGAAGCGCGGCGAGCCGTGAGCCACGCCCATGCGCCCTACTTATCGCAGACTTACGAGCACGAATTACGGCTCTACACTCCACATGAACATCTCCGTTGGGTGCGACCCACTCCTCCGTCCCTGTTGAACTGATGACAGCACCCCCGAGCAGAATCTCCTCGTCCCGATCGTGATCGGCGACTTCTCAGACATGCTTGTACTTGCCACGCCCGCTGTCGGTGATCCCAATCCCAATGCCGGCAATCGGACGCTTTTCGACCCATCGGCGTCGAGCACATTCGAGCTTGGCGGCGCCACCGTCTTTTACGGCCTCCGATCGCAGCCGTCCGTTGGCACGGCAGCGCAAGATACTGTAAGAGTTGGCCCTGTATCACTCCCAAAGCAGCCAATGCGTGGGTGCTTGGACGCGAGAAGTACTTACGGTAGTCATGGCCAATGTGACAGATTTCGATCAGGTGATGAACATCAAACGAGGCACGCTTGGTATGGCGGGCTTTTCTCCAACTTCTGGGTTCGGACTCGATCTTGCGGCGGCGGCTGGAGGAAATGAAATCGGTCTCTTCGTGACGCCAAGTTCGTCAAGGCTGGGAGCGTGGTCGTATGGTCTGAACGCCGGCGAAATGAGCTTGGGGTGGGTACATTTCTATAGTGAGGTTAACCACAGGGGTCTCAATCGCTACCTCTACACAGGAAACATATCCTACTGCGACGTCGTCAACCCGGAGAATTGGATTGTGGCCTTGGAAGGCTTGAAGGTGAATAACATCTCTGTGCCGGTGGTGCTGGATCCTCCGCCCGCAAAAGCCCCGACAGTATGGCTCGCCCCCGACTTCAACGGGATCTTCTTGAGAAAGACGCTGGCCGATCTCGTGTTTGCGCTGATCCCGGGATCGAGCTCCGTTTACGATGCTCCGCTCGAGGAGACGCGCTGGTATGCGCCTTGCGACACAACTGCAACTGTATCCCTCGTCCTCGGTGGACAGGAATACGCACTGCCCGCGAAGCGTTGGCTGACCGGTGAGGTGTTCGGCTCAAGCGGCTCCTGTGCGACACTCTTCCGGTCATACGTGCAGTCAGCAAACAGCTCAAGCATGCTGATTGGATTGCCTTTCGCTTCGACGGTCTACACTGTTCTGAAGTTCGGCACAACGCCTCAAATTGGATTCGCCCCGCTCTCTCCCGCCGCACTCGCACATGCTCCAGAACAGGCTGCCAACCCCGGCGACAAGCCCACCGGCGCTATCCCCAGTGGGAGGAGCAGCACAGCTTCTGCGGCTCCCGTATCCACAGGTGCCGGCGGCACACCTGTCCCATCTGACGGCACGAGGGCACGCGCGCTCCAGCTCAGCTGGCTGATTGCCGTCGCGTTGACACTCCATTTCCTATAACACAGGAGCAAATCATGCAGGTGTTCTTTAGGAAGCTCGCCGGCATCCCTGACCCGGCGCCGATACGCAATAGCGGCTCGGCCGAGGCCCTGGACCGTTTTGTGTTCACCATGGCCCAGCTTGCATGCAGACTAACGTGGTCATGCTCACCCTTCCGTACTTTGCAAGCACCGACGTTGAATAGACCCTCAAATCGTGTGACGTGATATTTCGGATATCGCCGCATATCCGCTAGATCCCGCACATGTTCCGCTGCCCACCGCCATTACGGCGTGTCGTCTACGATATACGACGCGTTGCGCTTCTAAATTGTTTGAACAGAGTAGTGGCTCTACTTTGACAACTCGCAACCTTATACTTCTCACCGCGTCTCACCACATCTTACCAACATGTCTTCTCCTCGAGTTGCGGTCGTCACAGGTGCCGGGTCCGGCTTCGGCGCTGGAATCGCGCGGCGGTTCGCCAAGGACGGTGTTGCGGTCGTCGTCGCTGATGTTGTGAGTAAGGAAGCGTGGTGGGTATGGGAGGAGCTGCAAGGAGGGCGGAATACACTTGCGAAAGGTGGAAGGCTCACACCAGGCCGAGGAGGGCGGCAACAAGGTCGCGCAGGGCATCATCTCAAGCGGCGGCCAGGCCATCTTTGTCAAGTGTGAGTGCGGGCGCAGCAAGATGTGTGAACACGACGGCTTTCAGAACACTACGTAGCTGACCTCAGGCGATGTGACGCAGCGCGAAGCGTGGGAGCATCTGCTCGCCGCGACGAGGGCAGCTTTCGGCGGTGTCAACTTCGTTATCAACAACGCCGGCGCAACGTACGCGTCCAAGCCTGTACTTGAGACGACGGAAGACGACTTTGACAAGGTCACCGCCGTGAACCTCAAGTCCATCTTCCACGCTGTGCACGTCATGGTCCCCGCGCTTCTGGAGACGCGCAAGGCGGGCGGCCCCGCTGCCGTCGTCAACGTAGCCTCGACTGCCGGGATCATGGGCCGCCCCGGCCTCACATGGTACTGCGGGAGCAAGGCTGCGGCTATCAGTGTGACCAAGAACCTCGCGATCGAGTTTGGGCCGAACCAAATTGTAAGTGGGCGGCGATGGGCACGTGGGGAGCTATGCTTGTTTCATGCTTCATGCTTCATGCTCCGTGCACCGCTTACACCAGCGCTTCAACGCCATCTGCCCCGTGTTTGGAAACACGGGTCTCAAGCACATGTTTGTGGGACAGGCGAGCGAGGAGCAGATCCTCAAGACGATTCCGCTCGGTCGCGCTTCGGAGCCCGAGGACATTGCGAACAGCACTGTCTTCCTGTGCTCGGACGAGGCGGCTTTCCTGACGGGTGTCGCCCTACCTGTGGATGGCGGGCGGTTGGCCTAGACTAGCGGAGTGGCGAGTGGAGGAGCAAAAGCAAAGCTGTCTCCGTGGACGACGGGTGGATAGAGTTCAGCAGAGTGGCGGATGCATGTCGGCGAAATGGGCCACACACAGCCAAGAGCTGCTACTGAATGCGTGAGCAGCGCTGACGATATACAGTGGCGCGCGCCAGAACTTGGTCAGGGCGCGGCGTTTGTCACCAGGGATGGCCCGGCCGCCGTCTGTTTCCCAACTCTGCAGATTATCAGAACTGCCCGAGTGAATGTAAGTGTCTGAAACTCCCCGTTAGTACACCCGCGTCCCGCCATTGCGACGCTCTTGATCTCTTGAAGTGGAGCTGGTGGACATGTGAGCTGGCGCATTTGAGAGCGCCAGTTTGCCAGAAGGCAGCTCCGGTGGTAGCCACGAGCATGTTCCAGCCAGGCTACGTTCCGCAGGAGGGTTGTGTTCAGGATTCTCAGATTGACAGAAACGAGCGCGGCCCGACGCCGACGTACCGAGTCGGATGCTTTCCGTCTCCGTGGGTGTCGCTGGTGGGTGAACGGAAGGTGGACAAGGGTGGATAGGGTGGTGGCTTGGACGCACGGAGGGTGTGAAGGGGTCGGCCGTTGCCGCTCCAGCGTAGTTCTGGCAGGCGACTGTCGCCACTGGTGATCTCTTGTCTGAGCTCAGCAAAATTCTGAAGTTTCACGCTGACTTGTTGCAGGTACGCAGGCCGGTGTTCCGCAGATCTGATCGCTGGATCTGACGGATCTGATGGCTGGAATGGAGGAGAATCACGCACCGACGATCGTGATCGTCATGGAACAGCAGTTCAGGCAAGCGATGCAGGGACGAGGGTGACGAGTTGAATGGTAGGCAGTAGAAGGGAGAGAGGTATGGGGGGGGGGGTCTACGGCGGAATGTAAATCAGCCAGTGCGGTAGTCCTACCAGCCCAAAGTTGTGGAACCGGCGCGCCGAGCGCCGTGGCCCACAACCTCGGCACCTCCCGCCGAGCCCTTGGCGCCGCCGCCTTATGGCTGCCCTGCAGCTCATCCGCACTTTGCATACATCATCTCCTCCCCGGTGCGCAATCCTTCGATCTCGGCCGTCATGTGCCCAGCAGTACGTAACTGTTCCTAGGAGTTTTAAGATGTCACCTCTGCACCACAACTCAAATACTCGCAGCCTCCCAGCTCACCGTTGCCTGATGGGTTTACCAGCGTTGCGTACACTGCACTGAGCCAGCACCTTCCGATGTGCGAGACGAAGCGACGGACGTGCGAGATCGCGCACATCTCAAACAAGCGGCAGCGGTGCGATTCCAACTCCTCTTGCACCTCCCCGTCCACTCCACCACTTCCGACTCCCGCCCCCTCTCCGTTGAACGAGATGCCTCCAAGAGCACGCATATTTACCCTGCGCTCCACGCAAGGCGTGCTGGACTTCTCATCTTTCCCGCATATCCGGGACGCTGTGGTAGGCGCCGCACCGCGCGCATCCCTCATCGCGCTTCGCGCCGCCTCCCGCGGCTTGCGAGACATGTGCGACGCCCGCCTCGTGCGCCATATCATATTCACAGAGAACGGCGCCGAGACGCCGTGCGGCCGCATCCCTTCCGAGGACTGGTACGAGAGGCCTGAGGTCGCACGATGCGTCGCCGTCGCCGAGCTCGCAACCGTACCTACACGCCCGGCGGACGTAGACCCCGACATGTGTGTCTGCCCCGTCGGCGCACACACATGCGGCTCCGAAGCCCTTGCTCCCTTCCTCTCCAACCTCGAGCTCGTGCGCCTGAACAACGCAGGTGTCCAGGCCGACTATCCCATCCTCACGGCCCCACGCCTCTCAATGCACCTCGACGTCGTCCCCGACAGCCTGGCTGCGTGGGCCGCCGCCCCTGGCAAGATCGTGCGTACAGCGTGCGTGAGCGGCGCAGACACCGTGACCATGCTCGTGACCTATCACCCCGAACACGAGCTCAACCACTTTGGGTTCTACTACTGGCTCTCGTTTCCGCCAAATCTGAAACACCTCGTCATCCACTATCGGCCGCGCGTCGACTTGCCGCCCGCCCCGCACCCACGCCCCACGCCCGACGCACGCGAGCTCGAGCGCCCCACCCTTCTCCAGACGTTCGCCAACAGCCTGTGCCGAGGCACGCATGGCGGACTTAGATACTCGCTCGTCGGACTCGACCAGACGTGGTCGGGCATGTATCGAGCCCCGGAGCGGCGCGACGACCCCACACCGCTCAGCGCCGAGCTTTTTGCCGCGGCACGGGAGGAGGGTAAGCGCCTCCTTGGGTGGGACGATGAGATGGCCGATGCGTGCTTCGCCCGCGTCCGCTTTCCCACCCTCGAAGAGTACCGGGCCGAAATTAGCGACGATCTCTTCGCATGCGAGATGAGCGAGTGCTTCTAGCGCCGCCTCGCCCAACATCTGCATAACACACCGCATCTGACCTCTGGCATCTTCTCATCTGTATCGACTTTGCATGCACCACATACACGCTGGCGCGGGCTTCGAGGTGCAGACGAGGGGGGCTTAGACTCCGGCGTTGGAAGGTTCTGCAGGTTTGACAATTCCGCGGCCCGTAGCAGCCAGCAACTGACTCGAACATCAGTCACTGCAACTGTTAAACATGAAGCGAGCCATGGATCGCCAACAGGGAGGATCGGCGGCCGCATCGGCGACTTCCGTGACAGCCCGCATGAGGAAAACATGCAAGCGAACTCAGACGCCACATTCTAAGCTCGCGCCGGCGCTCAGACCTCGGGCGTCTTGGCCACCTAAATTTAAAGATAAACAGACGCGTGGTGCTAACGCCAATTCGGTCCCGAAGGGGTGGCAGCCCGACGGGGTGGCTGGCGAAAGCTCGCATTGGATCCGCACTTGACCGAAGCTGGTGGCGGTGGACGAAACGTCCTGGCATCGCAAGCCCTCTGCGCCGCCATCTGACATGGAACTGCTCAACGTCTATAAAAGCGTCAGTCTCATGAGGCAAAGTTGTCCGGTCCTGAAGGCGGTTCTTTTCTTCTTCTGTAGATTTGTATCAACGGTGGTACATATAGCCTCGCATTTTCATCAGCGACACCGGCCCCCGCTAGCCTTCCACTATCTTCCGATGCCTTTCTACGCACTTTGCGCGCACGATCATGGCGCCCGGTCTCGACGACGCAAAACAGTAGGATAAGCATATGTTGCGCGACCAAAGGCCCTTCCTCACAAGGGAGTTGGGTCTTGCATGCCGCCTCATTCTCATGCCGTGGCGGGGCTCGTGCATTTCTCGACGCGTCGCGTCTCACGTCGCAAACTCCAGATCCATATCTTACGGTCGCTTCCCCCACCCGCCTGCCCATCGGGTCCTCGTTCACATCGCCTTACTCTGCCTCCTCTGGCCGATAACGCCGCTCTACGCCGCTCACCAGTGAATTGCATCCCAAGCCGGCGGCCAGCTCGCCGGAACCTACATTCCGCGTTATGGCATAAGCATGTTCTGCGCGGCACGTCGGAACGTGCGGTACGGACCATACGTGTACGTCGAGTGGACCGGAGGTGGGAGTGGGGTACTGGGCACATTCAGCCTCTTTGTCCGGAGGAAAGTAGCGCCGGTCTCCGCGCCGTCTGGCACGTCTGGCAGGCGAGCCCGGTAAAGCGCACGGGAAAAGGGCGCAGGAATTGGAGGCCGTTGTGCCGAGAGCATGCCGAATTCTCGGTGCCCCAGCGGCCAGCGGGCATCAGGCATTATTCATCAGGGAGAGTAACCGGCCTGCGAGGTGGGCGAGATCGACATGGAAATAACGAGGAATGCGATGGTCGCTCGCTTGGACAGTGGGCAGCGCGCTGCAGAGGAAGAGGTCTTCACCACCCGAGTTGTCGTCTTGGAAGCTGACGCGAGTGCGACGCTTGTGCTGATGCTGCCACACGGAGGTGTGCGTGGGTGTGGCGGCGGAGGCAGTGAAGAAAATACTTTGACGTGCCTTGTGAAGTGCAGTGTGCCTGTAAAGAGATGAGAGAACCCTGAATTGGCCCGAGAGGACCCTGGGTTGTTTGGGAGAAATGGGTGGACAAGTGAGCTGCACGTGACCAAGATCCGACCGCACAAGGATCGACAGAGCGCACACAGAGTGGCCCCAGCGCGGAAGGATCTTCTCGTCGTCGCCACACTCGCTCTTGTCAGCCGACCTGGCATCGACTTTGTCTCCACTCTCACCCACTCTCACCCACTCTCACTCCTCCTCTCCGCTCCGTTCTCCTCGTTGTCCCGAGACCCTCCCGGCTCCACTCCCCCACCCGGCCCTCCCCACCTGTTCCTGCCATTACATCCCCCCGCATCGCTTCTCGTTGCATTCCTCTCCCTCCTCTCCTGCCCATTCTACATCCTACTCCCACAATCTCTGCCACGATTCCGTCTCCATCGCACCCTCCACCACCAACCTCCCATCTCATGCCGCCCGAGAGGAGCGTTCCTATCGGCACGCCGCGCGACACTGGTCGTCGGCAGTCGGTTGTCCGCAGCTCGCTCGAGCTCGTCTTCAGCTGTGCGTCACCATGCCGCAGCGCGCGCACGCCCCAGTGACTCACTGACACACAGACTCGCGCTCTCAGCAACGCTTCTTCGCTGGCCTCCCTTCCGCCCCATCCTTCGTCGACTCGCATTGGGGTGATGTCGCGACCGATGACGACGTAGACGAGGACCGCGAGTGGGACACGGAGGCGGGCGGCTCAGGCTCGCGCTCGGGCTACAGCTCCGCAGACGAGGCCGAGCCCGCTGTCGATAGCGCGAGCGAGACGTCGGCATTTTTCCCCGACGATCCCGTGCGCGCTGCCGCCGAGAGCCGCCGAGGATCCCCCACGGACCTCACGAGCATCCGCGAGCGGCGCAAAGAGGACGACGCGGCGCGCAGCTCGCGCGCCTTGCCCACCAAGCGCGGCGGCCTACTCCAGATGTACGGCACCACGCCGACCGTGCCCCTCAGCAGTTCGGTGACGTCGAGCAGCGGGTCTGGAAACAGCAACAGCGCCGGCGCGACGCCGCGCGCAGGCGCCAAGCCGCTGCCAGAGGATCCGCCGAGCCGGCGCGTCAGCGTACAGCGCGGAGTGGGCGTCGGGCACGCGCCGCCCTCCCACCACGCGCTCCCCAGTGAAACGACACCCCTCCTCCCTTCGCCGAGCAGGAAGAACTGGGCCCCCGAGCGCTTTTCAATCGTTAGCTCGCCTGCGCGCTCCCGCCGCTCCAGCATTGCCGGGCAACGCCGCGTCTCACGTCGCCCACCAGTGCACGTTGGTGAAAGCAGCGACGGCCAGACGGTGAGTTGTCGGTGGGTCATATCTAACGCTAGCTCTTCAATGCCACCGCTGTGCTTGTTGGTATCGGCCTCCTCTCCATGCCTCTCGCGTTCAGTTACGCCGGCTGGATCGGCGGCACTATCATGCTCGTCGGCTTCTCGTACATTACCTGCACGACGGCCAAGCTCCTCTCGCGCCTTATCTTCGCTGACCACTCGTTGGTTGGCTACACTGACATCGGCAAGGCGGCATTTGGCCCCGCGGCCGGCGGAGCCATCAACGTTCTGTAAGCACTGCGTGCGAACTCGCTGACGCCAGCTTCTGTCTCGAGCTGTTCGCGATCGGCGTCGCGCTCATGGTCCTTCTGGGCGATTCGCTGAACGCACTGTTCCCCTCCATCTCATCGGACATGTGGAAGGTTATCGGCCTGATCGTGATCCTCCCCACGACATTCCTGCCGCTCTGGCTCCTTTCGTTCCCCTCCGTTCTTTCGACCTTCTGCACCGTGCTGCTGATCGGCATCGTCGTCTTTGACGGGTTGTGGAAGACGAACGCGCCGGGATCTATCATTGATCCGATGCCGACGCACCTGGGCCCCGAGCTCGACGGCGCCAACTGGCTCGGCGGCGTGGGTCTCGTGCTCGCCGGATTCGGCGGCCACGCCGTCATCCCCAGCATTGCGCGGGATATGAAGCACCCAGAATCCGCCAACCGCGTGTTCAACATTGCGTTCACGATTGCAGGCGCCATCGCGTTTGCAGCCGGCGCGACAGGCTACCTCATGTTCGGCGACGAGGTGTCTGACCAGATCACGCGCGACCTGAAGAACCCGTTCTTCGGCTACCCCAAGATTCTCAACACGTTTGCCGTGTGGATGATTGTGTCCGCGCCGGTATCCAAGTTTGGCCTTTGCTCGTGAGTCACGATGATGGGTGAAGCTGACCACAGACGCCCGCTAAACATTGCCATTGAGGGGTTTCTGGGCCTCGCACCCAACCCCGCCGTGCACCCGCCGCGCGACCGCCGCCGCTCGGTGGTGGAGCAGGTGTCGTCGTCGCTCGGCACGAGCTTCGCGGCCGCCGGTGCCTCCGACTACCTAACGGATGACACGTACGATGACCGCCCCAAGTCGCCCGTGACGCCGCTGTACGACCCGAACGCAACGCGCCGCGGCGAGGGGTGGAAGGGCATTGCGCGCATCGCGAGCCGCACAGTCATCACCATCGGGTGCACGCTGACGGCGATCCTCTTGCCCGGTTTCGAAAAGGTCATGGCATTCCTTGGGTGAGTTGATGTGACGCGCGCGGCTAACCCTCAGCTCGTTCAGCAGTTTCCTCATCTGCATCATCCTCCCCCTCGGCTTCTACCTCCGCCTCAGCCCCAAGCTGCTCCAGCTCGACGTGACCGACTGGAACGTGCGCGTCACCCGCTGGATCCAAGTGGGTGTGATCGTGCTCAGCACGATCATGATGTGTCTCGGGACGGCGTGGGCGTTCCTTCCCGGCTCGGGGCGCGCTGGCGACGAGTAGTATCTTAGCATCGTTCGTATCCTTCTCGCGTAATCTTTTATGGTGGTCTCTGTATGGTGTTCCGATTTGACATGCGGCGGAGGTGATTTGAGGCTGGCGGATGGCCGGATGTAGCCGAGCAGCGGGCCGACGTACGCGACGTCATGTCGAAAAGTCGATCATCATTGCACTCACACTCACCATGCTCGGCCTCGCGCGCCTTCCATCTCGCGCGCCAATGCTGAGGCGGCACCTCGCGCGGAGCTTCTGCGCATCCGCCTTCCCCCGCAGCCGCCGCCCCATCTCCGTCCCCGTGGACACCCCCGTGCCCGACTGCTCGCCCTCCTCCGCGTCGCCGCTTGACCTTCCCCCGCCAGCCGGGTCCGACCCCCTTCCCCCGCCCCCGCACGAGCGCTCCATCGCCGCGCGCCGCAGTCTCCTCCTCTTCGCGCTCCCCATCCCGCCGTCCGCGTGGCCTAGCCACCTCGACTTCGCGAGCCCCCTCCTCGCGGAAGCCGGGAATGTGCTCAAGCGCGCCGGCGTGTCCGTGAACGCGGTCTATGACGGCGTGGGGAGCGGCTGCTTCCCCCCGCCCTCGAGGAAGCGGGATCCATATACGCCGTCTACGAACTCGGACGCCGACGACTCCGCCTCCAACTCGTCCACCGCCGCGCCAGCCGCCGAGACCTACCCCGCTCGCCTCCTCTATCCCGACGGACGCACGTTCCACTTCCCTGAGTTCAACGAGGCCACGCTCGACTCGCCCCAGCTGCGCCGCGCGCTCATGTATCGGCCGTCGGGCAGCGTAATGGGTGCTGGTGCGGACGAGGTTCCCGGCGAGAGCGAGATGCCGAAGGAGGTGCTGGTGTGCACGCATGGCGCGCGAGACTGCCGCTGTGCGGATTACGGCACGCCGCTCGTCGCGGCGCTCCGCGAGCTGGGCGTGGCGGTGCGCGAGATCGCCCATGTGGGCGGGCATAAGTGAGTGGTCCTCCTTCGAGGGCAATGTGGAGGAAGGAAAGCAGGGAGAAGGAAGGGCACTAACCCCAGATGGGCAGCCAACGCCCTCCTACTCCCGAGCATGGACATGCTCTCGAACCTGCGCGCGTCCGATGCGCCCGCGCTCGCGGCCTTTGTGCGATCCCGCGCCCCCACGGACGCGATGTGGGCACACTGGCGTGGGCGGATGGGGCTTACGGAGGAGCAGCAGGCGCGGGTCTGGGCGCGGATCCAGCGCAATTTCGCGCCTGCTACTCCTGGGGCTGCGGCTGCAGGCGAGCGCGTACCGCTAACGTTCCGGACGTATGAGGGCGAGATGCGGACTGTCGAGGGGCGTATGGGGGATTCGCTGTTGCACGTCGCGCACGAGAATGAGTTGCCGGCTATGGAGGGGACGTGTGGGGGAAATGCTGGTGAGTGGGGTAGAGCAAGGATGGCAGAGAGGAGAAAGAAGAGAGCAGAGGCAGAAGCAAGGTGCTGACATCAGAATGCGCTACGTGTCATGTCTACCTCGCCCCGCGACCGTCGCCGCCACCAGTGCCCGAACCGAGCGAGGACGAGCTCGATATGTTGGACTTTGCGCTGGACTACCGTGACGGACTGAGCCGGCTTGGGTGCCAGATCAAGGTCACGCCCGAGCTGGCGCGGTGGTGTGCCGAGGGGGGCGTGATTGATCTGCCCAGGTTCTAGCGGATCGCGGAGAGGGTAGACAGCGCGCATGGGAGACCGCGACACAGCGGCAGGATCACGCAGGAGCGCATGGCTTGTCCTCTCCAAGAGAGAGGCGGCCGGACAGGGAGAAGCGCCCCCCAGCCTGCATAATATACAATGCATGTATGCCCTAGTGTACATGAATCATGCGGCGTAGCGCGCAAGGTTGCGCACCTCCTCGAGAAGGTGCAGGAGTTTGTCCTCGTCAGCGTCGCCGTTGGCGTAGCGTTCCAAGCTGGTGTGAGCGGGAGAAGAGGTGGGGTGCAAAGGATTGACGGGGGGAAACAAGAGCGCGAAGAGCGACGAATAATGCTGATCTCCTGCAAAGAGGAGACGAAGGACTGTCCTGTCACCAGAGAGACCGACTCACCTCGGAATCAACGACACGGCCACTTCAACGTTCTCTGGGCGCAGGTGCATTATCTGCGCCACCTCGAATGTGTTAAGGAAATCTCCAGCCGTAGTCTGGAGCGTTCTGGTGTGAGCCCTTCATCTTCCCCCCTTCAAACCCCCTCTCGATGCGTTACTCACTGCCGCATGCTCTCTGCAACTCCCGGCTTGACATTGTTGAACTCCTTAACGTACTCGACAGTCTGCTTGTACACACTTTCGTCAGTGCGTCCCCTCCGCATCTCCCACTTGTTGTCTGGCGGAGGCGGAGCGCCTGTTCCGTGCCGCGACATCTCGAGCAGGCTCTGCACCTCGCCGATGGTGAGTGCCTCCCCGCCCGCAAATTCGCCGAACTGGAGCTTGGTCGCGTCCTCCTCCTGGTTCGCCTGGCGATGGCGCGCGCGCGGGCGTGCGGGCGCCGAAGCCGCGGTGAGCTGCTGCGGTGTGGGTTTTGTGTCGACCATTTGGGAGGGGAGGAAGGGGGTACTAAGGGTGAAGATGAGGCTGGTGGAGCCGCTGCAAGCACTCCCAGGGGCCTAGGTGGGGGAGAGTAGATTGGCCCTTCGATGGAGCAAATATTAGAGCTTGTTGGAGATGGATGAAGCGAGAAGGAGGAGATCGAGATGAACAACAAAGTTGGGTTTGGAATTGAGGATTGACGAGGTTATGAGGTAGAAGACGGAATGGAGACACACTTGGAGTTGGGTGAGAGCGGGAGCAAATGTGTACTGGTGACGGAGTGGAGGGCATGCCGAAAGTTAGTGCGAGCCGAGATTCGACCGGCTCTGCGCGGGCGCTCACCGCCGTCGCCCGCTCTCCCCGAGTACCTGCTGCTCGTGTGCGGACATGACTTTGCCAGTCTCCAGCCTTTCCCCCCGGTCCTCGGTGGTCGTCGTTTGCTCGCAGGCCACTCACCGCTTCTGCCACTCTCGGCCTCTTCAGCCACCCTCCAGCCACACCAGCCATTCATTCATACATATGCATGCATCCGACCCAGGCTCTCGGCCAGCGGTCCTCGATGCCCGTGGCCGGATTAGACAGTGGCCAAGGCCGATGCATTCCAAAGTACATTGCATGCTGCGCGCTGCGCGTTGCGCGTTGAAGCGGGCCGATTGATTTCGTCCACGGCATTGCACCTCAAACGAGCCCCGTAACTGGTAACCCCGGCCCCCTTCCCCCTCCTTCATCCCGACCACCACCATCTCTCTCGTCGTTTCTCCTCCTTCTCCTCATCTCATCATCATCCACTTGCATTGCTTCGTCTCATACCCCCCTCCTCTTCCATTCCCCCGAACACACGCTCCGCTTCCACGCATGCCTGCGCTCATGTTGAATCATCACTCGCCCGCCTGAAAGACCACCGCAGTCGTGCCGTCTCTCTGCCTCCACCGGACCTGGCGACCCGACAACACCACACCTAACCCCTTCCCGCTCCTCTCCGTTACCTCACCTCACCTCACTTTACCTCACAGCCTCCATCTATCCCCAAGGGCTACCATCCCTCCGTACCGGCCCCACTCTGGCGCAGTCGCGCGCAATGATGGCCCCTGCCTTGACAGGCTCGACCACCACGGCCACATCGTCACGCAGAAGCTCAACCTCATCCATATCCCTTCCCTTTGCGACTCCTCCCACATCCCCAAAGTCCGCCACCAGCCGCATCCCAAAGCCCTCCTCCTCTTCCTCTCTCAGCTCATCGGCAAGAGTATCCAGCGGTAAAGCACGTTCAAGATCAGTTTCCAACGGTGCCGGTAACGGTAGCCCAATAGCTTACCGTGCCGACCGGCTAGTGCTGCCCTCCGTGTCGCCCGCCCCTTCGTCATCTTCCACTCCCAACGGCCGTCGTCCATCGCTCCCCTCATCTCGTTCCGAGGGCAAAGATCGTCTGGTGGGCCCTAGCGGCGTCGCCGGCCCGAGCCACGTACCAGTACCGCGTGTACCGTCAACGGTGCAAGGCTTGGTTCTAGTTGGCAGTGCCGCGGCCACCAAGATTCCTGCCGCAGGGCCGTCTGGTTACTCGTCGTCGCCCACATACACAGCGCCGCCGGGCGCACGTGAGTGGAATCGTTCCTCTCCATCTCCGGCGGCGACCATGCAGCGCGTGACTTCGGCGGAAGGCTCGGCTCGAACTGCAATGTCGACCAATGCGTCGGGACCACGCCGTCAACGGTCAGCCTCGTCGTTACCTCGCCGCACAACTGCCTCGCCCCATATGCCGGTCCCCGGCCGCCTTCCATCGAACGCCACCCCCCTTCCTCGAGACGCCCCCACAATCGCCGTTTCACAAGCTTCTCCTGCACGGTCACATTCACGGCCGTCCTCCAACCCTTCTCACTCTTCCTCATCACCACACGCTGAGCAGGCGTCCTCATCGTCAACAACACCTCACCGAACACCTCGGCGGCAGCAGCGATCTCGTGGCTCAACGCCTCAGCCCTCTCACGCGTCGTCGTCTCCCTCTGGCAACGGAGGGAATGCTCGAAACATTCCTGGCGATCGCCCTCCTCACACTAAAGTTAACGGTGTCGGTTACCGCCAGAGTTCTACTCCTCGGTCATCTGCACCAGCAAGTCGCGCAACGTCACGCGAGTCGTCCCCATCCCGGTCGAAAGGCAGGCAGAGGTCGGCGCAAGGACAAGCGCACGCGTCGCTTCGGCGCCAGCGCGGCGAATCTGCCTCCGGGCCTTCATCCGGGCGAGGGTCTGCACAAGACGACGCACGCTTCGTGTCGCTGTCTACAACGCCCACTGCCTCCTCCTCACGGAGCCGCATCCCGCGGAGAGAGGACGCATCCCCGTCGCGACTGATGATGGCCTCTCGAGAAGTCACCGAGCCACCACCACGATTAACGGCCTCGTCACCCCCTTCACGCGTCACCTCTGACTCGCAAGGCTTTGGGACCGAATCTTCACACAATTATTCCACTCCTCCACCTCTATCCGGATTACCGCGGCGTGGTGGGTCGTCAGGCAGGCAATCGGGCCGACAGCCCAAAACGCCCCAACCTTCCCCCACCCCCAACTCCCCTATGCTTTCGACCGGTCCACCTCCTCCGCCTATGTCGAATCGCCGGCTGAGCGTTCCTCCACAGGCTCGACAACCAGCTGTCCCCAACTCGACCCCGCCAGTGCCTGCGAAAAGTCCACTGAGAGCCCTCAATGTCTCCGTATCCTCCAGCGCCGTTGCTTCAAAACGGCAGAGTCGCGCGGTGGTCGCTTCTGAGGCCCCCCTCACGTCACCGGTACCGCCCGTGCCTCCACTCCCAGATGGTCTGTGTCCTGCACCAGAATCATCTACACCGCTTGCGCATCCTGCCTCACCACGAGAAGAAGCATCTTCACCAACTGCGCTGGAGGATGTGCGAACACCGCGCCCGAGCGTTTCCGCACCGAGGACTGACGGCCCACAAGGGTCACCTCTGGCCGCGTTAGCTTCGCTGTCAGTTGCTGATAACGCCGTTTCTCTCAACTCCGGACCGCCTTCTGACTCTGGCGGCGACACCACGACAGGTAGCACCAACGGCGGCCTGACGATTCCACCAAGGGCATCATCGTTTGCCAGCTCCCCTGAGCAGCTGCCTTGGTCTCACTCGTCCAGAGATGCAGGGTCGGTGGCAGCCACGCACGGCCACTCAGACGATCACGCTCAAGGAGCCACAGCATTCCCAGAGCCATTGGCTGAGACAGCACGAGCGCTCGCACCTTATTCCTCGCTAGGAGATGCTCATGAGGTGCTCCTGGCTTCACCGGATCAAGCCAAAGCACGCCTGTCCGTGTCGACATCGTCGACCTCTGCACCGGTCACGCCCGCGCCCTCCATTCCAGGGAGATCGATGCAACTCGGCGATTCGCGTCCCACATCCGAAGTTGAAACTACATCATCCGGCGACTTCCCGTCGACCTACAGCCCCGATTCGGCTCCACCATCGGCTCCAGCGTCTTCCGTCAATCTGTGGGCTGTCGGCGCACGGTACGAGAGCCCAGCTGATGAGACGGGGCCGGCCATGCACGTCCGCGGCGCCAACGACCATCAGGAGACGCTGATAGATGGCGTGTTATGGGGCCAGAAGCGCAATTCCTCCCTTCAGCTACCACCGCCATCCAAGGGGGTGAGCTCTGAACGTGACCTGAGCTAATCTGCAGGATAACCCGACTACGCCTGTGACGAACACCTTCGTCGACAAGGACTTGCCGGCTACTCCTCGCACTCCAAGGACACCAAAGTCGCCAAAGACGCCAAAGACGCCGAAAACAGCCCAGCGTCCGGGCCAGCACCCCACAATGCGCTCGCCTTCCATGCCTCAGATAGGTGTCAAACGAACACAGAACGGAAAGGTTGTGGAGGTTGAGGCGCCTCTCGGCTCACCCAGCTTCCCGCGGTCGAACACCGGGCCCGTTGGTGTTGGTCTTCAGCCGCCTATGTTGTCCCCTCGGCCCCAAGATGGTTCAGCTCGGCCGCAGAGCATGCTCATTGCGTCGACTCCCGTCACCAGGTCCCCCTCGCCCCAGCACATGTCGCGCCGTAGCCATCTCTTGCGCGAGATTGCGCACACAGAGCGCACGCACGCCACGGATCTCGCCCTCATCCGTGACGCTTACATCGGGTCATTTTTCCGCCCCGATTCGGGTTTCCAGCTTGGATCCGAGGCCAGCACGCCGCCCATGGACTCGTCGCGTCACTCTAGACGCAGTTCGGCATACGGCTCGCCAATGGAGGAGCTAGGCAGGCGCATCAGCGCTCAGCAGAGTGACATGCCTCGGCGGACAAGCGGTCATGACGGCGGATTGCGTACCAGTGGCTACCAAGTTGATGGACCCATGCGCCGCACCAGTGGACATGAGCGGAGAGCCAGCGGGGCCGACTCTGCCTGGTCCAATACATGGAGCGGTATCATGTCGCCAGTCATCAAAAGCCCGCGCACAGACATGGGAGGCAGCTCAGTGGACTTGTCGTACTCTGCATCAGGAGCGGCGTCATCATCAACTTCGCTGCTACCCTCGCCAAAGGTTCCATCGACCCCATCATCCATGAGTGGGGTGGCCCGCTTCGGCGCCGGTATGGTTCGGCCGCTATCACAGGCGGACATCAAGACCATCTTCCTAAATATTGGGGCCATGGCTGCCGTCTCTGACACTCTTGCGACTGAGCTTGAGGCAGCTCTCGGCAATGCGGAAGATGAGACCGCCACACCGGGTGGAGGCAACGGCACGGATCGTGTGGGGGAGGTATTCCTCAAGACACTGCCTCGGCTTCGTCCTCTGTACACGTACTACTGCTCGCGGCAGGCACAGGCGAGCGCGCGCCTCCAGGAACTGCAAAACGATCCGTCGTACTCGGCGCATCTTCACGAGTGCTGGGCCAAAGTCAAGGCACACACCCATGCGTGGAATCTCGACTCGATGCTTATCAAGCCTGTCCAGCGCGTGACCAAGTATCCGTTGCTGTTCGAAGACCTGTTGTCGTGCACTACTCCAGCTCATCCAGACTATTTCGCTATCCGTCAGGCCGCTGAGGGGGCCAAGTCGCTCGCATTGGAGGTTGATGAAGCCAAGCGCCGCAAAGACGTTATTTCGAACGTCATGAATGGCCGTTCGAGCGTCATTGGCGGACGGTCGTCGTCGTCCGTCAACCTCGTGAAGGACCCGAAGCGTGCCGGGGGAGGTCGTCTGCTCGGGCGGTTTAAGAAAGACAAGGCGCCATCGGGGCACGACCAGAACGCGATTCTTCACATTACGCCGTACGCCCAGTCGCAGCTCAAAGACTTGGCTAAGCGCCTGTCCGACTGCGAGCGCAACGTGCGGAGGTTGCTTGTGGAGCTCCCGGACTGGTGTGAGGCCGCTAGGTTGCTCCTGCGCCAGAAGATGGAGATCAACATTTATTTTCTCAAGTGGTATGCTCTTGGGCGAAGAGTTACGAACGATGATAGAATCGAAAAGGTCGCTCGTTTCTCGGGTGTGCTGGACAACATCCTGACGGGGGCATGGGAGGAGCTGGTGAGCAGGCTGTTGGGAAGTCAAGCTAATCTCAGAACCAAACAGTGCGCAACTCCATCCTCGTCAACCTGGAGAAGCTCCGCGAGACAACCAAGAACCCGCTGGCAATCATCGCCAAGCTCGACGAGAAGTCGGACGTGTACTCGCGCTATGTTGCACACCGACAGGCGAAGAAGTCGATTGATAAGGTCTTGCTGCAGGAGGCAAACGAGTACGTCACAGTGCACTCGCAGTTGCTCGAGGAGCTGCCAGCGTTTCTGGAGGGATTTACGCGCATCTACGAGATGTCGCTGGGAGCGTTCGTCGGGGCGCAGAAGAAGTACTTTGAAACTCTGCGGGATACGCTCGCACTGTTCTCAGCGCAGTACCTCAGCGAGCCGATGGAGATGTCCATGGTCGGGAACACATACAAGGAGGTACGCATGGATGTGTCGACACCGCGCGGGATCCACAAGGCCTGGCTCGAGCGTCACAGGGAGCCGAACAATATTATGAAGAGCCTGCAGATTACCGGCGGCGACGGAGCGCGCGACGCGCAAATGCGGGCGAACAACCTCAACGCCGGTCACATGAGCCGAGCTAGCGGCGGAAGCAGCGGGAGCGCGCCTAGCTCTCGGCGCTTCACGGCATCCTCGCGACCGCCATCGCATCGGAAGATGCCCTCGTTTGATGCAAGATCATCGACTCTGCGCAACACCCCTACCGGCACCGCATCGCAGCACTCATCAATGGAGCCCCCGTCGAGCGCGTCCAACCCACGTCGGCGGTCTATTAGCTTGAACGTTGACACGCCGCCAGGCTCAACTGGACCGGAGCTGAGACCCGACTCTGGCTCGATCTTCGGGAGCTTGATCAGAAGAGCAAGCCACCGTGAACGACGGCGCGAGAGCAGTACCAGCCTTCTTGATTCGCGCAGTGGTAGTGTCAGCGGCAGCAGCAGCAACCCGAGCGCCCGCTCCACGATGATGATGAAGCGCCCGTCGCTGCGACGCGAAAAGAGTACCAGCGCGAGATCGTCGGCAGCTCAGTCGCACTCGGAGGAGAATGACCGGCTGTCGTTCGGGCTGCCGCGGATACCCACCACCAACGACAGGTTCCTCTTCGACAACCTGTCAATCGATAGCCGTAAGAATGAGCCGGTTTACGAATCGCCAGTCACGTATGAACGCCAGGACATCGGCCTCTCGGCGCTAGGTTTGGGGAACACCACGCCCCCCTCGGATGCGTACTACAACAAGCGGACCCCGCCCGACGGGTACTTTCTTCAGCCGCCGCGCGAGCCGCACAGCGAGGATGCGACGCCCGAGACATACACGACGCCGATGGGAATGGACGAGCCCGACGCCGGCGAGACATGGCGCAACGCGCGCGTCCTGTACTCGTGCTGCGCCGTTGCCGACTTTGACCCAATAGAGCTTGGAGACCTGCGTTTCAACGGCCTCCGCTTCCTCCCGCTGCTAGCGGGCGACATGGTCGACGTCTTCCACGAAATTGGCCGTGTAGCCGAACTGCGCGACTTCCCGTACTCACAGGCAGGGGTAGACAATGATGGTGCAGTTGTGAGTCCCGCCACCGGTGACGGTATCAGCTAACGGCAGATTGCACGCTCAGAGAATGGGCTTATTGGTGTGGCGATGTGCAGCTTCCTGGAGCCGCTGCGCTCGTAGCATGAAACCTTGTAGCATGTAGGACAGTGGAGATCAGCACTACATTTGTATGCGATACGCGATCGGTGATGTAGCAGATACGCAGATGCAGCGGGATGATTGAGAGACGATTGCGATGCCACTCGTCCAGCGTGGCTCAGAGCGGTGGCGTAGCGGGATCTAGCCGGAGGCGAGTTCAGCGTCCACGGCCGACATCAAACACGATGGAACGGGACACACATCCCTCGGTATTCACTCGTCCACTCAGAACATATGCAGTTCTTTCTGTTCTGCCTGTTCTCGTACTCAATGTCGCAAAAGCAATCGTGCTCGTCATCGGCGTAATCGTTTCCTCACTCGTGCGCCCCGCACGTCGCCACCCGATTTGCTTCCGCCTCTGAAACTCGCTGTCAAAGTTGACCGAACAGCCACCTCAAGTCTTCATCTTGTCTCTCTCCACGTCTGGACCATCGCCATCATCCCAGCCTTTCAGCTCAATCCAATGGGATCGGTCACATCAAGGATGGGTGCCGATCCCCGTACGTCGGAAAACCCCTCCCCCGCCGTCTCTGCTCCTTCGTCACGCCCCTCATCGCCCCATTCGAACAATGGACGAAATCCCCGCACACAGAATGTCCCACACATCCGACCCCCCCACGCCCAGGCCGTCGCCAGCGCCTCCCAAAAAGACATAAATGCACTCCGCGCCGCTGCGCTCAAGAGCCGCATCAAGAAGGCGCAGGCTGATGCTGCAGCAGCGCAAGCTAACATTGCAGCTCATCATCGCGCAGCGCACAACGCCGCGGCCGCAGCTGGATCTGAACGCGAAGAAGGCGAGATCAGCGACGGCACACCTCCCCCTGACACCATGCCTGTGGTGGTGCACACGCAGCCCGCGGAGATCTCTAGATCGACCGTCGTAACCTTGTCACCACGTCAGTCTTCGTCCAAGCCTCCCAGTGAGTTATCAACTTCCGGCCCCGCTGAAGGCAGTGTCCAAAGAAGAAGAGGCATTGTTCCTCGAAGAACTGCGCGACCTCGTCCACGTCCTCGAGGTAGATCCCAATCAGCTTGTTGCTGGCGGCGCGCCTCAGCACCTCGTCAGGCAGGTCGTGGAGGAATACGTTGCCAAGCAGAAGGAGCGAGACACGCGGGCTAAGAACAGCGCGAGGCCAGAGATATGGCAGGCGCGTTCACCACTCCGCGAGAACAGCGGAACACCAGGCATACCCGACGCGCTTTCGCGTGCCTCGCGCGCAAACTCGTCCCGCAACTCCAGTCCCGATGTCGAGGTCATCGTCCACACCACTGGCACCAATGGTGGCGGTGGCCCACTCAGTCCCAGCTCCGACAGCTCGATGGAGGCTATGGTGGAGCGGATGGTCCCTCCTCTTCCGTCACCCCGTCCCCAGCCTCCCCTCCAGCACCCTTTGCCGCCCATACCACCACCCGCCGCTCCTCCTACCAGCTGGCCCACTCCTCCGTTCTCATCTCTCCGTCCTCCCGTTCCACAAGCTGGCCCCCCTCGCTTCGCTGTCCCCATCGACACGTACCGCCCGAACCCTCGCCCATCCACCGTCGCAGCCTCACCTTCCGTCCCGCCCCCTATTGTGCAATCACAGCAAATCAACGCTAGACCAAAGGGCCGCAAGCGTCGCGACCTGGATAGCGCAGCGCTGGGGCCCGACACCCTTGACTATGGAGATGACGCGGCGGACGACGGCGGGCCGAGCAATGCGCGTTCTCCAAGGCCCGCAGTCGCTCCACCTGCACCACTGCCCAAGACAATCCTTTCGGCTCCTCCTGCGACAGAACCTATTCCAACAAAGTTCAAGCCTACACGCGTCCCATCGCCGCCATCGCCGCCATCGCCGCCATCGCCGCCATCGCCGCCATCGGTCCCTCCCCCTCCTATCCCTCCCCCACCCCCCACACGAGTGGATGAGCTCGCTGAGGCTCGTCGCCGCCTCTTGGACTCAATGCGTCGTAAGAAGACAGCCACTCCGAGCTCCGCGGCAGCCACACCCGCTCCCTCTACCGCGGCATCTGAACAGCGACAGACTGGACAAACCCCACAGCCGCCCATGGATGTGGACAGCGAAATGGAGGAAGGCGAGATAGAGGAAGCTGAGGAAGGCGAGGTTGCTGAGACTGCCCCATCGCTTAGCTTTCAGATGACGACGTTCTCGCAGGTGCCAATACTGCCACCAGCCGCAGAGCCGACCCGATTCTCGCCACTGGAAGACGGAACGATGGCTCCACCTTCCGTGCAAGCGCCCGTCCCCACTCGTGCCCCGTCTCGTGCTAACTCTCGTGGGGTGAAGCGCCCGCACGCCGAGGACCTCATGGACCAGCCGTCACGACCACCTAGCGCGTCGCGTCCTCGCCGCAAGATCTTTTGCGTTACGGCGCAGCGCCCCACTGCTCTGACACTGTCCCTTGACGACGGAAGCGACAGCGAATCCGAGGATGAACAACCCGCGCCTGTTGTAATCCCAGCCCCAATAGTGATGCCGCCAGATTGGGAGACGATACAGAAGGAAGAGGAAAAGGCGCGCGCAATTGCAGAGAAGGAGGAACACATTCGTCGCCTTCGAGCGCGCATCGCCGAGCTGGCGGAGAAGAAGAAGTCCTCGTCGGCGCAAGCCACGCCCACTGGTGCGCTGACCCCCACGACTGCGAGCAGTATCGCCGAATCGGCCATCAAGGGGACGATTGGCGACCCCGTCCAGTTGTCGGCGTCAACCCCATCGCCTGCCACGGACGAAGGGAGCCAAGGTTTGCATACCGCCGTTTGCTCGCTTACAATACAGACAATGGGATGGACGTAGACGAACCGGGTAAGTACGGACGCTCCGGCTCTGCGGGATGCTGACGCCCTTGCCACAGAGTCAAGTTTCAGTGTGGAGACAGGTAGCGTTACAACTTCTTCTGTTCTCATGCCAGCTGCAGACGAAGCGCCCGTGCCGAGCGTACGTTGAGCGAAGGCTTACAGCTAAAGGGGCAGACGTTCCGTCCCTACAAACCTCTTCTTACACAGTACCGCCAGCTGGCGTTCAGCCCACCACCTGACGCTGAGCCGACACTTTCCCTGGACTGGGCACGGATGTCGTCGATCGTACTAACCCACCGACTACAGCGAAGCCCCGACATTGAGCTGTGCCCCTTTGAAGCAGCTGGGGGCCGATGCACCGATAAGAAGTGCGAGCATGTGCACTTTGATCGAGCTGAACCAACTGGTGCGTCAATGCTTGCCTCTCATACCCGCTCGTCAACTGATCTTGGCCTGTAGACGACGACCTGATCGTCTACATCAGTCAGACTCTTGCCCCACAAAAGGGACTGAACGCAAAAGTTCAGGAGCTTGACCGAATCGCCATCATAAATGCGCTCAACGCGTCCCGGGCTGAGCTGTCCAACTCTGGCAAGATCACGGAGCTGCGCGGTAACAAGAAAGGCATGAAGAGGAAACGCTCCAAAGAGCTGGCGCTTCTGCTTGACTTGACCGCTCAACGCCTACGAGCCAGGTGAGAGTGATCTTTCAAGTGTAACCGATCACGTGGCCTTCGGAAGTTGCCCGTCTGTCAGTTCCATCTTCCCCCAATGTTTGTACTCTGGCACACTTTGTGCAAATACCATCCCCTCTGATGCAGCTGCTTGTGTTTGACTATGACGGCTTGGCATGCCGTGAGCAGCTGACAAGCTGCCGAGCGCGAGCCGATCTCTATTGCTTCTAAATTTGAGGCTGTGAATGTCATTAAATCTTGATCAGGTCCAGGAATGCATTAACAACACATTCACGCTTTGTCCGACAGCCGACCCGCCGGCGCTTCGCGGCCCGAGCGGAGTGAGACATCGATGACGATGCCACCCGCCTCCCCGCGAGCACCGCGACCTTCGCTCCCACCATCCGTCGGACTCAATTAATTACCAAATGCGCTACGCAGCGCCGCCAACATTCCGCTGCGAGATCCTTGTGCGCCGCCACGTAGGCACTAGCATACGGGGTCTGGCGAGCAGCCGCGGCTGCTCGCGAGTCGCCGGGCGCCTGCCGCCAGATCGCTCGCGGTCGCGGGTGCCGGCACGGCGTCGGTGCCGACGCCGGATGTTCGAGTTAGGGTAAGTGGATCTGCGCCGATGGCGTGATGAGGCTGGCGATCTGGCAAGGCGTGCAGGCTGACACGTCAATTGCGCCGCCTGACATTTCATTTTAGCATGTTTGTGCCATCAGCCAGGGAGCGGCAGGGAGCAATTGAGGCAAGGGTCGAAGGGCAGGATAAACCAAGTTCCGCTTCTCCCACGACGAGATCCGCACGCCGCTGCGCCTCCGCATTCAATTCAGCCTCGTCCACGTGCGCACGATCATGCTTACCGCCGTCAGCAGGCCGTCTGGCCGCCGTCGTGATCGCATTCATTAGGTGCGCCACGGCGTGTACGCCCGCGACATACAGGACATGCCAGGAATTTGGGCAGCTCTTGCTGCTCTCCAGCGTCCGCAGACCGCGCTCTGCGGCGATGCCGCGCGCGCACGCTCCAGCACTGTGCCTGCCGTGCCGCAGCGGAGAGCAGCAATGCAATCGCAGGCTAGCTTCCAATCGAGCCAGCTCGGCCTGCGCTTCGCTCCACTCAACCACATTCCGCAATTGCCTCCGGTGGATGCCGCCAAGGCCAGAACTACGTAGAGCCAGAGCCAGAGTGCCTGAGATTATGAGGATCATCCTCGTCCCTGTCCTGCGGCGACGCAGGCGGGACCGTGAATAGAGCTATTATCCATTGTTAGCACCATGCGTGGGGTATGCAGGCCACGTGGGCGGCATCCTTCGGGTGCGAGCGGGGGGTCTGCGTGGCTGCGGCATGCGCAGGCGGCACCCGTGATGCAGTGACGAGGCACTGTGGGCATGGCCAGGCATTGCAGGCAGCCAGCACGCTTGGCACATAGGCACCAGCGCTCAAACCGGCCCGTGCGGCCAGACAGGCATGGCCATAAAGGCCCCATGAGGATTGCGTGCCTCGCATGAACGTGCGAGTCGGAGGGTTGCATCCGCGGGCCAGCCGGGTCGGATGTACCTCTGACGCCGCAATGGGGTCCTGCGTTCGGCATGCAGCGTGCAGAGGAACAGACGTGCCGTGCAGGTATGCAAGTGAATGAACATCACGTGGCCCAGCGTCTCGGCGTCTCGGCGTCTGGCTTATGGGGCGTTGCTGTCGGAACGCACCATCTCTTGGCGCCCTCGTCCGCGGGTGGCAAGGGTGACCGCCAAGCCACGTCTCCGACCCGTCCGGAGAGAGGCGAGGCGTAGGGCAGCCCCGTAACTATGCAGCGTCGCGTCCGAAGAGCGACCTCTGAGAAAACGTCCAATTTTGGCTACTGCGCTGTGCTCAATCTTGCGTCCGATCACGGCCGCCGTCATGACCGCTCGCACTCATCCGGCTAACTTCTGAGCCTGGTCTGGCCAGTGGGCTATCTCCTTGCGCCCGATTCTGGCCTTGGCCTGTACTCGAGCACACAGCGATCGGCGAGCTAGCTGCCCATTTTCCGCTGATGAACGGAATGCCAACGTACCTGTATACCGCGGTCAGCGCGGACCACCGCGCCCACACGGGCGTGGCCTGGACTGTGGGTCATGGGGCGGAGAGGGTAGTGTCGAGACGTTGGGCCGCTCTTATCAGGCGGTTTAGATAGGCCCATCTTCTATCGCCAGTACCGATAGTGTGGCGGGCCTCACGTTGCGCCCAAGATGCGCCCGCCGTGATATGCAACCATGCGGATTTCTCGGGCTTACCAGTGGCAGGCGCTTGTTGAGCTGGAACGGTCGAACCGCAACGTAGTAACCAAGTCAAACACTTTCGCCGGTTCACTGCTTGGACGCTTTGTTGGTGAACAACCACGGCGGTTCTCCGTCGTCTCAACAGGAACAACACTGCCACGCTCCGCTCAATTCCCACCTCGCTTAGTAGCACGCAGAGAGTTTGTGGCAGCGACGCGGTATGCACAGATACCGAGGGGTGCGTGGCATTGTTCGGACGGCGTTTTGCGTCGATTGTGTGGTGTTTGTATGGTAAATGGGTAGGGTGGTCAGAAGGGCGTTGAACCGCGTGGGCGGAATTAGACATGAGTGGGGGTGTAGAAGACTGGAGGAGCCCACTCCGTGGCGTCAATCTGGTTTAAAATGCCCCAAGATCTGGATTATGAGACTAGCGAAAGGAGAGGACCTGCATGAGATCCATTTGGAGGACGCGTCGAGATCAGAAGGGGGGAGTGAGGAGTCCAGGATGAAGCACATTACCACTGACATTGGCGATTGAGATTCGGGATAGGTCCTGGACCCAAGACGCCCTGTCCAGCTCCACTCACGCGCATCACTCGGTCGAACTTACGAGTGACAATAAATGGAAGCATCGCGAAGACGAAAACATGTGGATGGTGGCGTAGAAGCTTGAGGGTTCGGCAACGCGGCAGGCAGGTAGGAAGCGACACTCCATCGTCGTTTAGCCGTGAGTAGTCACTCTCCCTATCCTCACCCTGATTCGGTGTTAACACTGTCATGTTTTTACCCCGCATGCATTGAGGGCCATCTCCCTGTGGGCGCCCGGGTTGCCAAATAGATCCACAGGCTTGATGGAGCAACGAAGCGCTGATAGGGGAGGTGCGAGGGTGGGGTTGTGGATTGGGGCACCAGTACCCGCAGCAATGAGTGGACGATGACTGGATAGCCGAGGCTAAATGAGAGTTGATTGCATGGATGATGTGGCGCTCGTTGTGTGTGGCGGGCTTTTCTCCGACGATCCCAGGAGGGTTTGACTTACGGTATCCGAGTTGCCATCCGAAGAAGGCGAGGCAGCAGCAGCGACGGGCGTGATCGGCCGCCGCCAAGCCTAACAGCAACATCCAGGCAGATGGTATCGCACGCTGTCGGACTGCACCCTTGTGACGCGCGAGAAACGCTTCACACGAGAGGGGGGTGCCCCTAGCGCTGTGCACGACATCATGTTGATCACGGGAGCCACAAGACGTGGGAAACCGCAAACCGGGTTCGGCCTTCCTTGGGTTTCGAGCTGCGCCTTGCACCAGTAGCATGCATGTGGTGCAGGGTGCCGAAGAAGCGGCAACGTTGTGTACACCGCCCCGGAAGTAGAGGGAGGTCGCGCATAAAGGAACGGCGGCGCCCGTCGTGGTTATGAGACGCCAGTCACCTGCGCCGATGGTGCCCCGATGTGCTTGCCCCGTGCCCGTATCGCGATTGTTTTGGGTTGGTTCTGGTAGAGCGCCCGGAAGGCGCGCGAGTCGGTCGCCGTTCCTCTCTGGTCTGTTACACTTGAGAGGCGCATCGCCGAGCTGCACGCGAGATCGGGCGGCGGCAGAACCAGTGGGGAGGGGAATAGGGCCGTGTTCCATGGCCGTCCAACTAGAAGATGGCACATGTAGAGCAGAGTGGAGCAGAGGAGCGGCGATGAGGGGCAGATGGGCGGCGGGGCGGAGGCGCGGAGGGACGGGGAAAGCAAAGTGTTGAACGTATGACCGAGAGACGATTGGCATGGATAGCGAGAGGAGTGGCATGAGTGGGGAGGGAGGTGCGAGGAATGTCGGAGGACTGGACAGTCGTGTCCTCGTCGAGCAGCTCGATAATGATGTTGTTAGATGGGATTACAATCGTCATTTCACTTTATCCCATCTTTCCTTCTTCCATCCATTATCCGTCCATTTTCATAAATACCCTTCCTTCCTTCCTCTCCTCCTCTCATCCTCTCACTCTCTCATCGTCGTCAACCTCCTCGCCGTTGTCGCCCTCCTCCTCTACGACTCTGCTCCTCTCACGATCACACACATCATCCAAATTACTGGTCACCTCCTTACTGCCATCACCGCGCGCGCCTTGGTGCCCCTCTTTTGTATCTCGCTTGGCCTCCACCCCCACCTCTCCTCCAACAAGCGGAAGCTTCCTCCTGTCAACCTGCCTCTTCACTTGAGCGCGTGTTCTGGTTATCTAGCTACTAGATTTCTTGACAACTTTTAACGTGTCCGTCTCCGCCGCTCACGCCTCCCCCCCATACCTACCGGTCCTCGTTACGACATCAGGCTGCGATTCGAGGCACCGAGTCATATTGGCACTTTCTTCTCCGTAGCCTGGCGTGAATCTCACTCCATTAGGCGGGCTCGCCTGGTCGACCAAGCACTGTCGGTCGGTCAAGCGTTCGAGACCAGCGTTCGAGGCCAGCGTTCGAGGCCAGCGTTTGAGGCCAGCGTTCGAGGCCAGCGTTCGAGGCCAGCGTTTGACTGCAGGAAGTCTGGGGACACTGCAAGGAGGGAAAGGCGCGTAAATCCGGTAGTGACACGCCCGAGGCCAATTGGACGCAAGGGGGAGACAAAAGGGGTCGACACCATCATCCAGGGTCACGCCTGCACACGCTCACGTTGACCAGTTCGAGATTGTCTGTGAATCAGTGTGTCCTCTTGGCCTGCAGTGGTACGGTGAGTCATGTCTCGACAACACTTGGCCTCCGGCGGCCATCACAACACCCTCCCTCATGCACATGCTGCGCACAAGACGTACCGGCTTCTGGGGTGCTCGTATGCCATTCCCCGCCACTCGCATCCATCATCACACCCGCGGTGTCTCATCACTCCGCTCTCCCTTCTCCTCATACCACCGCCCGCCACCGCCACCGCCACCACCGTCACATCCTCCCTCCAGCCCTGTCCATGTACATTATCAACTCCCCCTTCCTATTTCCTGCCTCTGCTCCACAACACGCATAAGCAGGTCTTGCCTGTGTTGTCCGCTCCATGTCGATGTGCACACACGTTTTCCACATCGTGTCCTTCCATAACCCGCCTCAGGCCTTCGCTAATCTTAGGTCGACCTGCAAGTTCCCTGATCCTCGTCACAGGACTTGCCATCGTTCAAGCTCGTCCGGGGGCTGGGGTTGTCACGGCTGTTCAGAAAACAAACTTGCGGAGGGGTGAGTCTGTCTGTGCGTGCATACAAGTCCTCGTTTCAGTGCCGCTGTACTGCCATCCCCACATCTCGTGCCGGCTATGTCCGCGCGAGGAATGGCCGATGGCGTTTCAAAATCAAAGGTGATCACAGTTCAAGGTCTTGTCCCTTGGGCCTTATGAGCTGGGGGCACCGAGTATGATCAATCACCACTGCACGATGCCAATCTGCCTGTGTTATCGCCCTCCCTCTCGCTCGCATCTTGTTCGGCAGCATATGCGCTATTCAGCCCGCCCATCACTGTGCAATCGTCAAATGCTAAACATTCCAGTGCGCTGTACCGCCCTCGCCAGGTAAATCCGCCAACTCCACTGTCGGCGGCGGCGTAGCTCCACGCCGAGACTGGAACCATCAATCAATCCCCAAGCGACCTAGCGCCGATATCACTTGACTGGCTACCGTCGGCTCAACAGCGTGGCATTCCTCATTTCGCGACTCGCAAGTGTAGCCAGCGCAGGACCTGCACTTCTGTCCAGCGCCGACGGACACCCGCACGACTTTACGCAAGCCGCACGTAGCAGAGGAACGAGGCTATCGTCATCACCAACTCCGAGGTTCGAGCGCCAGGGCACCAACCCTGAAGGTCCGCACCCAGGGCACCTTTCCCTGATCAATCTTCGGTCTCATTCCTCTGTCGTCGCGCTTAGTCGCTCTCTTCAACCGTTCGTCTCCTCGGCCGCCGACTCGTGCAGTCTTCCTGCTCGCCAGCGCGTCCGCGCTTCACAACGAGGCCGTCCTCGACGCTCAACCCGGCTCTTCATTGTAGTCATCAGCCGCTTCCCACCCACGACTGCAACGGTTCAGCCGGCCTCCTCCCCATTCCTCACTCTAAGCTCACCCTTTTAAATAGCTACCGTCGGCCCGATAGCTCGTGCACATCATCCGAGACCCAGACCTTCAAGCACGAGCCAATTACAACAATACTCTCGACCCGTGTTCCCACAATTACTTTCTCACACATTGGCGCCGAATTGTGCACTTTGTGAGTTTAGTTATTGAATGGGAAGAGATCCACTTGAGACGTGCAGGGGAGGCGAGGACACGCGTACTTACAGTGCGGAGTATTTAACAACGGGAGGCGGGCGAGGGGATCGGGGGAAGCGGGGGGAAAGCGGGGGCGATGTATCGCCAGAGCGTCAGGCCCCGTCCTCGTATTGATGGTCTGCAAGCCCAAAGCCACTCATCACCCGACACAAACACTCCCACATGTGTCTCACCTCATGCGCTGACATTAGGCTGCAGATCCGGCGCCAGACATTCCGCTTTTGCCGGCCAGCCAATCATCCCAACACACACTGCTTTCGATTCGACCGTCAAGGCCAGCGAGCTGGTCTTGCACGTTAGACAGCGGGACTAGTCCTGACAAGCGCGAGGTAGGCCGCCCTGCTGAACCTGCCGTTCAGAACCGACCGCGCGGAATTGACCACGCCCCCCAGCAGGTTGCCGCCTTGGAAGTCTCAGGGAAGTCTGCGCATCGCCGCCGAGCAGGCCGCCTCATCAAGGTCAACATGGCGCGCAGGTCAGACAAGGTCGCCGAAAGTCATGCATTGGCAGGTTCTGCAGCTGAGACCAACGCTCCAGACCTAAAGGCTGCACCCAACAGTCATCCAGCGGGAGAACATAACAAAACTCCGCGGTGGTCAACTGTTCAGCACGCATCCAACCACTTTCATCGTCACCCAAACTCTCCCTCCCCTGCCTATCTGCACGGAGATTCGCCTCGCAGAAGTGAAGCAGATCATCCGCCTGTAGCAGAACTGCATACTAGGATGCCCGACGACACGAGTCCGCCCAGTTATCGCTTCCATCAGGGCCAAAACCCACCCCACCCGTACTTCCATAGTCGTCAACCCTCGCATCATTACGCGTCACAACAAGCTCGACAGGGTTCCTACGCGACCTCCTCTGGCGACCGGTCCCGCTCCCGTGAATCCACCTCACCCACCGGTTCGCCCGACCACTCTCGATCTTCCCGGGCTGGAAGCCATGCAGCGGACCTAACGTCCGGTGGCGAGCACCGTGTTAGCCCAGCGGGGGCATCCGCTTCGACCGAAACTCTGTCTCCCAACCGCCGCCGGACTCGAGTCCTCATGACAAGAGTGCAGTCCGAAGCTCTCAACCGTCTTTGGGGCCTAGTAAGATCTGGCGACGAGTTTTCTAACATAGCAGACTATGTTCCCATCCACCAGCGAAAGAGAGACCTTGGCGCAGCAAATTGGATTGACCTCTCGTCAAGTGCAAGTCTGGTTCCAGGTGAGTTCCATGTGTGGCTTACTTTTATGCTCGTTGCTGACATGACTATCAGAATCAGCGCCAGAAGCGCCGTCGAGAGCGTGAGACCGATGATGCTGTTCATACGCAACTCCTTCCCGACTTGCTTGGGCACTCGATGGGATGGCCAACGTCTGCCATTCCCGTTCATCCTTCGCAGGCACGCATCACACGGATTTCTGCGTCGTACCCCCCGCCCCCACACGGTCCTCCTCCCAACTACCATCTAGCATCTCAGACGATGCTGCCGACGAGAGCTCTGACGCATCCACCTCTTTACCGCCACGAGCGACCGCCTGACGACTTTCAACGTGGACTGAGCGACTCGCAAATACCCCTTGCGGGGAGGCACATTACTTCTGATGTCCCCAGCGCTTGGCGTCATCCCTCGTCTCGCAGCGGTAGCTTTAGCGGCGCACACGCAGCGTTTAGAGGATACGACAGGAGCGATGAGTTTGTAGGAGCATCCGCAATCCACGAATCGCACATTGGTCCGCTTCGTCGACCTCGCTCAATGTCCACCTCCCAGCAACTCTACCGATGGGCATCTCAAGTGGACAACTCACCACCTTCGTCTCGGGATGCCATGTTGGGCTCAAGCATGCCGGCTCACTCGGCATATGCTCACGCAGACGGTCTTAGCACCGAGCAGTGGCCTCAAGACGACCGCTACGACCGCTACGTAGGCTCCACGAATCCAGGGATACGCGATCAGAGAGACTCAAACTCAGCTCCAGCTCGGGAGTCCCAGCTACCGCCTTCTTTGATGCCGATGGTTATTGACTCGCCTCGAGCGGGGCCCGAAGCGATCACTTTGCAGCCCCTCCACTTCCGCGCAAGTCAGGTAAACGAATCAATGGCTGCTTCCTCTCCCTTGTCCGACCGCGCCTTCAGCCCTCGCGCACGGCCACGGCCACATCGACGAGCGAGCAGCGATTGCGACGATGGCCAAGGATCATCTCAAATCAGCGTCGCAGATCTCATCAATTAATTCACTTCGCTCACCTGTGTCATGCGCTCACCCACACGCCACAGTCTTCACTGTACCACTTAACGCACGTGTCTCCATGATTCCGATTTCTCCAGGCGTTTTTGGTCATCCTTTATAGTCGACGTGAACTCGTTCGAGCGACATCGTTTTACCCAGCCTCAACGTTTTCAACCATCACGCACATCGGAGCAGTCTCTTCATCAAAAGTCTTTTGCTGAGGGGTTACTCAGTCCAAGCAAGACCAGATGTATCATAGTGTCACAATACACCTCTCTCCTTCCCCAGTGCTTGGGAAATATCCAGGAAAACCGCCGCTCTACTCTGATTACCTTCTCTCACTCTTACCCGCAGATCCGCCACCAGCTGACATTTGAAACGTATGGGCGCACGACTACGTTGGGTCCCGTCATAGATCCCTCGTCGTCACAGGGCCGGTATTCCTCGGCCTCTGCTCAATTAACTCCCGTGCTGCGAGCGAGCGATATCCGAGCCAGCTTCGCTGACGCTCCACTTGCCGGAAGAACGCGGGTCAACTTGTGCAAAGATTGCGGGAGCTTGCGCGTCGACGCGCTCGCGCCACACTCGGCACGCTGAGCTGCAGAATCAGTTGGTCGGTTCCTGACATTCCGAGCTGTAGACGTCACGAGCCAGCAAGCCCTGAAAATCTCTGCAAACCGACCCACCCACGATGTGCGGACAAATCTTAAATTTTGGTTCCACCGAGCGCTGTCTGTGCGTGCGACCGGGACGCGAGTGACCGCGCTCCAGACTTCCCGAATCCGCCGGGCCGATTGGCACTGTTGGCCGTTCATGCAATCTACTCGTGCTGTCCACGACAATGGTGCCGGTGCCGTCATCCGACCGCTCCCACGCCCGCAGCACAAGGCAGTCAGCGCATACCGCAGATAGGTGTGTCGTTACGTCGCATGAAGCTCAAGGTCTCAACAACAAGCGCACGAGTGCCCGGTCTTCTGATAACGGCATGTGGATGTAGCGCCCTGTTCGCAGGCACACTCGCCCTGCTGCTTAAACGCTTACTGGAGTCGTAATCTCCGAGCCTTTGCATGCCTTGTACCCCTGGGATCGGAGCAGAGATCGCAGAGATGGTCACGGATTGGCGAAGGCGACTTGACGCAAATCATCCTCCTTACCATGCGACGACAGGGGCTGGAGAATCTGGAACTGCCCGGATCAACCCAGCAAAAAGTACAATGACGCGGACAGCTGACAGCGGGCTCGGCTAGAAGCCCTTGCCTCGCCTCTCATGCATGGCTGCGACCGTCACGCACTTGAAGATCATCCCCAAGGAGCGCGCAACACTCTTGCGTAAACAAAGGTCAGCTGGTCAACGAGCGCTGTCCCTGCGTGCACAACCTTGCGTGCGTGAGTGCGTTCATCCGCGGGCGGGCGGCTGCGCATATGTCGGGTGCATGGTCTGCATCCCTAAAGCTGCCAATCAACACATCCTCCGCAGCGGGCGGCGGCTTCGCCGCACGCCATCTACCCCTCACGGCGGATTGGGGCCGCCTCCATCCTCCATACCTTGATTACCCCAGATCGGTCGGCGGAAATGATACAGCTCGAGTAGGGCGTCTCGACCAGCCCCAGCGCGCAGATTGAATCATAGTGTGGCCGCAAAGGTTGCCGCTGTGTGTTGACCGCGTGCTGGGCTCGATCCAATGCCGAGGATCCTCCCGCGACCGAAGACGATGCCGACGCGAGCGGACGCGCTACAGGCAGAGTATAGAAGAGCTGCGGGGTCCCACTGGCGATTCGGAACGAGACGTCCTTCTCGCGCTGGCTACCACACACAACAAAGCCTTCACTCGGGCGCGCGACATCCCAGTACCTAATGACACGATCTGTTCCGGCGGTCACCATCCAACCAGGGCGTATTTTGTCCTGTGCGGTCGGGTCGTCTTTGTCCCTGACGACGGGCGAAAGAGATGAAAATGTCTCGCCGACGAGCAGAGCCTCCACGGAAGGCAGATCGTCGCCGGAGGTGGAAGGCAGCCCACCACGTCCGCCGGCCAGTTCCGCGATAAGCTCGGACTTTGTCTGCAACACATCTCGACCGAGAGCGGGCGCCCGGGTGCCGGCCTGAGGCCGAGAGGTGCGTGTTTCGTACTCCTCAACCAACTTGCCTGTTTCGATGCCGTACGTCTCAACGAGCGGCGTTTCAGCTCCCATGGGATCGTCGGCGTTACGCTTGATGGACGCCATGATCCACCGCCCACGACCACGAGCTGGATGCAATGCTAAAGACGTGATCCCGCCTCGTGAGGACCAGCTCTTTACGAGCAGGCCAAACCGCAGATCCCATAAGCTCAGCGCGCCTGTCACCGTGCCGACCATGATCCAATGTGTAGTCGGGCAGATGGCAGTAATGGGTCCAAGCTGAAGGGGGTGCTGTAGCCGCTGTTTGAGCACCATTGTTCGGAGGTCTAACACCGCGATGACGCCCTTGCTTGTGATGATCAGCAGTGACGACTCTGGGTGTCAGCGAAAATGCAAAAATTTCCTGGATGCCTACCATGCAGATGCGCGATGTGGGTAATGTGCCCGTCTTCCTCGTCTGCTGCCCAGGTACGGATGCACTCGATGCTCTTGTACTTAACTGAGGATCCGGACGCGTGCACGTGAACGCGGAGGATATGAAGCGAACGATCGGACGCTGCGGCAGCGAGACAGTGTGTCTCTTCGATGCGGCACATCGCTGTAACACCCGCGTCCATGCGATACGTGAGCCGCGGACGCGCTGCGACCGTCCGCTCAAGGCGTGCACTGTCCCATACGAGAACGCACGTGTCCACGGACGCCGAAGCAAAGAAGAGCTGATCTGGCGACGTAACGAGAGCCGTGATTGCTCCACTGTGCTGCGGCAGGTGAGCAATCATGGTCGCGAACTGAGGCGACGAAGCCTTGATCCGTGGTCCACGCTTGCGTTGTCCGGGATGAACGCGTGGGCCAAAATCCAATCGCGGTTCTCGGTAGTTTTCCAGGTCGACGTGCTCCAAGAATGCACGAACACCTGGATCTGCACCATCATATGTACTGCCATATGGCGCCAGTGGGCGATGGGCTGGTGTCCCTGTGCCTATCGCTGGAGTGCTCCGGCCTGAGGGAAGGTCATCGTGCAGTGATGTTGTCCCAAGAACGGTCGCTGTCGTCGCCTTGACGGCTGGCTGCGCTTTTGAGTCGACCCGCACGTGGCGAGATGCTTTGTTCGTACCAGTCGCATCTACAGTTGATGAGATTCCAGACTCTGAAGGGCTGGCCACCTTCGGCACGTCTGCAGGACGATCTCGCTCTCGTTCCCGTTCTGGTAGAGTCTGGCTCAGCGGTTCAAGAGACGACAAGCGTTGCCGAATCTGGTCAAGAGGACTGTCGCTTCCACGGTTACTTTTATTAGCAAAGGAGGTTCGCCGACTCGGCGTGTCTGCCCCGCCCAGGTCAGGTCGGAGGCGCCTCAACTCATGGCGTGCATCAATGCCCACCGTGCGTTGGGAGATGAATACCGTCTGCGGCGTTACTCCCAATTCCGTCAGGGAGATCGCCTTGCCAGAGGTGAGCTCGGCTTCTGGAGGTGTGCTCCCTCCAGATGCTTGCCTCCTGTTATTAGTACAGCATTGACTAGATATCACTCACGCTCGGGCTGCATGTGCCTGCTTGAAGATAAAGTCTTTCAGAACGATGATTCTCTTTTCATCCTTGGGGGAAATACCTTTGTCCTTCAAGAGTCCTTGCATGGAGTCCGAGGAGCCCATGGTTGCGGCCTTGGTCAAGCTGGTCTTGGCGCTGGAGCGGGAAGCCGATAGGTTCCAGAACCCAGGAGGCGAATTCTGGAGTGCTGCAGCTTTCGCAGCCTGAAGCGTAGCGTACGATAACTGAGGTTAGCTGAGCCAGATGTCTCCAATCTCACTGGTGGCACCAGGGCGCTGAGGATGGAGTCCTCCTCGAGAGCGACAATGTCGGAGCGTAGAGCTGGTCGAATCGTTGGATACAGGATACACCAGACGTCTGACGGGGGGAGGTGATTCGCAGCCTTAGCGACGAAGCCAGCAGCGCCTTGGCGGGTCCAAATGTTGGGATGGTATAGGAATCCATGCACAGCGGAAAAGACATCCCAAAGGCGCATGCGCTGCAGCAGTCCCAGCGATGTCAACAGAGTGAGGGAGTGAATGACACGTGCGACAACGGCGTCCTCCGGATCTGTGGGTGTCAGAGGGCAGCGAAAGAGAGGACGTACCTGCTAGTGCCTGCAGCATGAGGGGTAGGACGTATTCGTCGATGGCCCTGATACCGATGAAGGCGCCGACGGAGACAATGCCGTCGAAGAAGGCGAGGCGGAGCTGCCAATCACGATCATTCAGGTAGGTCATGATATGGCTTAGCACCGTTTCACTGGAGCGCTGTCGACCAAAGAACAGACACAAGTCCGAAATGTCGGCCAGCACGCTTCGCTTAACGTTGCTGGAATTGTCGACCAGCAAGATCGAAGCGTGCTCACCAACGACGTACCGAATCTCGTTCAGCATGGCGCTATAGCTCGACTCGGGATTCTGTGGTGTGTCTGCGACGTCTGTGGGCTTGGCTGCCTCGCTGAGTTCCAGCATACGCACCGCCGCATCTGCGATGTGCACTAGCGCCCTTGCGTACGTTGCGCGTACAAAGATGTCAGAGTCTCGCAGAAGCCGTGCCATCTGCGGAAGGAGATACTCGTGGATAAAAGTGGAGTTGTGAGGTGTGATGGACGTGATAGACTCGACCTGAGGTGAGCGGGTGAGATGAAGCCGGGCTCGGGTCAGGAAGAACACTTACGACAATGACCAGTGTGCGACACGCCTCGGCTCTAACGATGGGAACTTCATCTGATAGAAGCTCGACAACGAATGGCACGATACGGTCGACCTTATCCTCATCCATCAAGTACGGGGACAGCTTGAGGAAGAGCTGCAGGCCATGAAGTCGTGAGCTCGGCGAGAGCGAGTTGCGGATGGACGAGGTCACAATGTTCAGAAGCAGCAAGGCTGGCCCATCTGTTGTTATTCATATATTCAACAGGTCACTCACTGTCGTTTGTGCTCTTATCTTCCAGATGCACTCGGATCGACTCCCACTGCTCAAGCATCCGATCAATCTTAGCCCCTGGCAAAATCGAGGAGCGCTGCAAGAAGTCTGCATCTTGCGACGGTGGCAGCTCGTTGAGCTCGGAGACGTAGTCTGTCAGGAAAGTGTAGAAGTACTCCGGGAAGATGGTGCCGCGATACGTTGTCAGAATGCGGTCGAATGTAGGGCGATCTGTAGGCTCGCGTGACAGCATCTGCGCGATCATCGCCTTGGGTCAGTTTCGTCAGTGCCCAACTCACCTTGACATTAGCGTCCTCAAGGTTATCCAGTATGCCTTCGAGCCCTAGCGAGCCGTTGCGGTACGCAAACAGCTCGGACAGGTTGAAGACTGTGCGCCCATCCGTCCAAGTCTCCGCGAGCACGCAACCGGCGGAGAAGACATCCATCTCCTCGGTCACGCGTGCGTCGCGCTTCCCCAGCGGCTCCGAGTCGCCAGACTCTTTGAGGCTCTGCGCTGCAGCCGCGCGCTCCTGCGCAATCGCTGAGTCAGACTCATAGAAGCGCTCGGGGGCAATGTAGCAGGTGCGTCGGGCCGACGTGTCAAAGAAGAAGGAGAAGTCTGAGGGGTCGTCGAGGGGAAGGTGGGTTGGTTTGAAGCTCGAAGAGAAGTCGGTGAGAAGGACAGTGAGGTCGGAAGTGATGAGGACATTGTCCGACTTGATATCGCCATGGGCGACCTGATGTCAGCCGATGAGTAAGGAGTGGCTCACCTTCTTGATGCGCGCGTCGCGCAGACATGTGAGCAGCTGGAACGCTACCCACTTCTTCTCTATGTCGGTGAGATATGGCTGAGTGCTAGTGTCAGAGTGGGGAGCATGTTGCGCGGGAGGAACACACCTGAGGCGATCATACAAGCTCGACCCGACCCATTGTCGGATGAGATAGCCCGCCTTCTCCGTCTCGATGAAGGTGGCATACATCAACACGTTTGGCATGTTTGATAATGCATCGCGCTCCTCTGAAAGTCAGTCCTGGCCCAAGTCTCCGAGCGTACTGTTCAGGCGCCGCTGGATCACGCGCAGCGTCATGGAGGGATCGGGCTTGATGAAGATCTTGAGCACAAGCGGTCCGTTCTTGTGCCGCGCGACGATGGACTTGAGAAAGCGCGACGATGACAAGCTGACATTAGCCTCTGCACATATATCCATTCAGTACACGCACCTCTTTTCGTACGAGATGTCGCTGCCCAACTCCGAGACATAGGAGTCCAGCGCGGTCGAGCTGGCGTCAGCTTGCTCTTGGACCAGTGAACTCACGCCCGCGCCATGGATGAGATGTTGCCCATGATACCGCGTGCACCCGACGGTGCTCAATGCGGAAATGCTTATGCAGAGGAGGGGAGGTCAAGAGATGAGATGAGTGACAGAGGAAGGGAGAGTCAGCAGCGATCGATGGCCATGACGTTCACTCCGGCGTACCTCCACCCACCTCCACAACACGCGGAACCAAATGCGCCAGACGCGATCCCATTCCACTGCGACTGAGCAATCAAGCGAGTCGTTGATGTCTTGTCATGCATACATGGTAGTTACAATTGGGAGTGCAGAGTGTTGAGGGTTTGAGACGTTGGAGACCTCAAGGCACCGCACCAAGAATGCTATTACGCGGCTGCAGCCATCTGCCCGTGTACAGGGTCAACCATGGTCTTGACAGCATCGACGAGAACCTCGGCGCCACGCTGCACGCCCCACAGGCTAACCTGGCGGAGACGCTTCTGGTTGGCACCCTCAGCGGCAACGTGGTGCGCAAGTGCCGAGTAAATCTGGTCCGAGATCTTCGTCATCAGGCCAGTCTCGAACAGTGTCCACGATCCGTCGAAGTCAGCGAGGTCAGCGGCGACCTGGCAGTGGATGGGGACGAGGGTGCGATTCGCATTGATGAACGCGACGATGGGACGGATAAGGGCATTGTTCGTCACGCTGAGGTCGTACGTGAAAACCGGCACAGCGGCCTTCAGATCGCGGAATCGCAAGTCGATGTCGATGGTGAGTTGACGTGGCTCCTCTAGCGGCATCGTATCCTCGGGAGCGCGCAATGGCGGACGCGCGAGGCGTGCTTGACCAGGAAGTAGAGAAGAAGGATTGCTCGCCTCAGCGGCAGCGAGAGTGTCGAGGATCTGAGAGTGATCGTCCATCTCGCCGGCCGCATCGTCACGGTACGGATGCTCGCCGTGGAGAGCGATGGTTGCGACGTTGCGACCAATCTCCTTGAAGATGGCCTGTACATCCACCTCGTCGTCCGGGTGAGCGGGGAATTTGATGTCGAGCACGGCGTCAAGCTTGCCCGACTGGATCCATGAGACTGGCCCCGAGTTACCAGACGCAAACTGCGCATGTTCGATGGGCAGGCCGTCGATGCGGAAGCGAGCCATCCGTTTGAACGAGTTCTCGCTGTCCGAGGCCATGCGGCCAAGCTTCTGTGGCATGTGCAAGCTGAACAAACAGTTGTCATATTGCCCCGTCATGGCCTCCGCACCAAGCATGTCGTAAAACAACCAGCGTTTCCGGAAGGGAGTGTATCGCGCGTTGAAGATGGACACGTTGAAAGGCCGCTGCCCGTTGGGTTGGTAGAAAGTGACCAGGAAGTCTTCGACTTGGAACGACTCCATCTCGAAGTCCCCGGGGTGAGACGGGTGCCGCCAGTCCTTGGGCGATAGGGGCTTGGAAGAGTCCCACCACACCGATCTCCGATCGACAACACCACGCACGCCCTTCACCTTGGCATCCTTGACAAGGCCCTTGCCGTCCAACCAGCGCTTAAAGCTAAGAGTGACTTCGATCTCGTCAAAGTTGAGGTCGAACATGGTGTAGTTGTCTTTCGGCGATGCCCGTTGCGGTGTGAGGAAGGTCGGGGTGAGGGATGAGGACAAGTAGGGTACCGGGGATGGCGGAACTGCCGTAGCGGCCTTCTTCCGCGCCCCGCTCTTCATGTCCGGGTCTTCGGGGTCCTGCGGACGGCGCGACACATAGACATTCTTAAAGCATATGGTCGATGTACCCCAGCGCGGGACGATGGCGGACTCGAAGCTAAGGATCAGCGCGACACTTGGCCCATGACGTACATGACAGTCACACCGGTCTCGGATGTCAGGTAGTCCGAGATGTATCGCGCGACGTATTCTTGGAGACTCAATGAGTTCAGCGTAGCGAAGACGGCGGAGACAAAGGTAGTTCTGGAGGTCAGCTTGACTTCTACCGATGACGCTTTTGACGCACGTGCCGATGAGAATCCAAAGTGCTGCAGGATTAGCTTGCGTGGCGGCGGAGATACTCACTGTTGCCAACGAGAAACCAGCTGAAGAAGGCACTGAGGTCGTCTGAATTGAACCTTCGCCAGCCACGGATGGTGAACCATTTGAGCCGGATGCGCAAGCGTTGCCACCAAGATGATGTCGCGTTCAGGAGCTCCTCCTTGGTGGGTCTCCGATGTGGGGCATCCGAGAGCTCGCTGGATGCTCGTATCAAGCGTCGGATGAATGGCGAGTACTCCTGGATGTTCCCCGGCGGCACGGGGACGGCTGGAAGAGAATGCTTTGGTTCAGGACAGTTGGGGCACTTGCCGTCCGCTGGCGTGTGCTTTGGCGCCGAACTCGAATTAAATCGCCGTGGGAACCTGCGCGGAATTGCGAGAGAATTTGATGGGGGATGCGAGGCTGTCGCTTGCTTGGTAAAGAAAGCGTGGATAGTGAGATAGCGCTCGGCCTGGGCGGATGGCTTTGACCGTTTTGGAAGCGGTGAACGCGAAGTACTTGCCCGGAGCGGGGTGGAGAGGAGGCTGGACCTGGCGAAGGCCGATGCGGCTTGCCGAGCTGCGTGCATGATGATGCTCGGCGTGGGTAGCGGGGTTCGACTCGAAGAGACTAGATAACCCTGTTGAAGGGCGTTTGGTGCGGACACCGAGGCTCTTCAGAGTTGAGTCGAGGGGGGATGGAGAGAAGAGAAATGAGAGATGATGGAGGTCGGAGGATGTCGAGGATGTCGAGGAAGCCGGAGATGACTTGGGACATGTGAGCGGCAAAACCCTTCGCATCTCTGACGTATCTTCCCTTCCGCCCTCCCTTTGACCAGGCCTTGCCAGGCACGTATCTAATTACGTGTCCTAAATTTTCCGCACTTGACACGGCTCCGGAGTGGCGACTTGATGCAAGCTGAATTTCAGTCAGCCAGATTCAGAGGTCGACCATCTCACTCGTACCTCCCCATTTTGTCAACAACCATGGAGTACGAACCAGACGCAGCTGGAAGGGAGTCCTACATTCTTTGTGCCGACTGTGGCACCGTCATTTCATCCGCCAACGGCGCAGGTCTCTGTAAGTGCAGCACTCCCCTTGGGCCTGGTCTCGTCTTGGTCAGCGACGCAGTGCAGCGCTGACAACCAGGCGTGGGATGTCTCCGCAACACCATCGACATTACTGAGGGTATCCCCAAGGAGGCGGTCATTAACTTCTGCCGTGGCTGCGAGCGCTTCCTCTCTCCACCCCAGACATGGGTCGCTGCCGCGCCCGAGTCGCGCGAGCTCATGGGTGAGTAGCAGCCGAGCCCTCCCAGCTTGATGACTAACGCCAGCTATCTGTCTGAAGAAGATTGCGCGGCCGCTGCAAAAGGTGCGCCTTATCGACGCATCTTTCATCTGGACTGAGCCGCACTCGCGCCGCATCAAGCTCAAGATCACGATCCAGAAGGAAGTGCTGGCCAACACGGTGTTGCAGCAGACTTTCGAGCTTACGCTCGTGGTGCACACGGGCCAGTGCCCGCAGTGCACGCGCTTGGCGGCTAAGAACACGTGGAAGGCGTCGGTGCAGGTCCGCCAAAAGGTGACGCACAAGCGTACCTTTTTGTTCTTGGAGCAGCTTATCCTCAAGCACGGCGCACACAAGGACACGATCAGCATCTCGGAGAAGCGCGATGGTCTCGACTTTTTCTACGCCGAGCGTAACCACGCGATCAAGATGTGCGAGTTCCTCGCCTCGGTCGTACCCGTGCGCGTCAAGGGCTCGGAGCAGCTTATCTCGAGTGACACGCACAGCAACACGGCAAACTACAAGTTCACGTACTCGGTCGAGATTGTACCTGTGTGCAAGGACGACCTTGTGTGTCTGCCCAAGTCTATTGCGAAGCAGTGGGGCAACATCTCGCCTTTGACGCTATGCTCGCGTGTCGGTAACACTCTCCACCTGATGGACCCCACGACGCTGCAGCAGACGGACGTGTCGGCGCCGGTGTACTGGCGCCAGCCGTTCAACTCGCTGTCTCAGGTGTCTGACCTGATCGAGTTTATCGTTCTGGATATTGAGCCGCTCGGGCCGCAGCGCGGCAAGTGGGTGCTGGCCGATGCGCAGGTGACGCGCTCGCAGCGCGGCGGTGCACACGAGTACGACGATGGGATGGGCGACGACGGCATCTACCACACCCGCACGCACCTCGGCGCCATCCTGCAGCCTGGTGACACCGTGCTTGGCTTCGATTTGACGAACGCCAACTTCAACAATGACGCCTTCGAATCGCTCGACGCCCACCGGATACCGAACATTATTCTTGTCAAGAAGACATACCCCAACCGCCGGAAAAAGAGCAAGCCCCGCAACTGGAAGCTCAAGTCGATGGCCAAGGAGGCAGAAGACGGCATCGAGCAGAGCGGGTTCGGGCGTGGTGCGCTCGGCCGCCGCGGTGGTGTCGACACGAAGAACGTCGAGCGAGACTATGAGCTCTTCCTCCGCGATCTCGAGGAGGACAAGGAGATGCGCCAGGCCATCAACCTGTACCGCGCCGAGGAGCCTGCTGCCGAGGACGAGGACGACGGCGACGTCGCCATGGGCAGCGGCGCCAAAGCTGGGTCCGGCATGCGCGGCGGCAAGCGCCGCGCGGGTGCTGTCGCGGCAGCGGCCGCCGGAATGGACGTCGAGGAGGAGAGCGTGGACGCGGACGGTGACGACGAGGATGAGGAGGAGGACTTCCCGGAGATCGAGCTCGACGAGCTGCTCGAGAACTTTGAAGAGCTTGACATGGGCGACGGCGACGAGGTGCTCTAAGCCTGCGAGAGCTGTCGCTATGTCTGCCTTCATCTTAGAGACTCGTCGGCCCGGCTGGGCCTCCACTCGCTCCTGCGGTTGGACTGTACACTATTGTTGCGTCGTTCGCGCCCGCCCAAGGGCCGCATGACATTGTTCATAGTTTTAAGGATCCAAAAGCTGTCCCAGCATGCACGAAGTGCGTCCATGAGCTGGTTCGCGGATGCCCATAAACGTCCGGTGTAATTTATCACAATGTTAGTCGCTGACCGGATCCTGCCATTGGACCTGCCGCAGGCCGCTGCACCCACCACTCCTTGTATGTGCTCTGCTTCATGGTCCACATTGGACACGACGACCGATCCGTATAGGACCCCCGCGCTGTGGAGGCTCTGCGCGACAGACACGCTGCCTCAAGAGCTCACCCCCACCTGCCATCCAGGTGTCGCCACACCCTCCAGTGCGATGTTGTGGACGGTGACAACGCCGCGTCGTGTGCTGATTTTCCAGTCATCTGGGCTATTCGCTGTCGTGGGGGCGCGACACATTCGGCCACTCATTGGTCAATGGACCAGGAGATACCTTTTATTAGGGTTGTCACCCATCTTCAATGTCTCACGCCCCCCAACAGTATCCACAGACTCCGTCAAACCTACTCTATACAACAACGCCCAGTCGCTCTCGTTCTCACGCCAAGTATGCAAAAGGAGACGTTTTCAAGCACCGAGGTGCTCGCACGCTGACCACTGACAGGATCGAACTGCCGACCTTTGCATAACAGGCTAATACGCTCGTCGTATTAGTACAATGCTCTAACCAGCTGAGCTAAGCGGCCTTGGGTGTTGTTATGAGGAGGTGCCTTGTCAACCCCGCGTCGTCTCCTTCGAGCCGCTGAAGCTTGAGATTTATGCATGCTCTGCTTGGAGACTATGGAGCGGCGAGCATGCCGGCGGGATGCAGAACAAAACAGTATCTATCCCAATTCATCCTCACTACATCAACGGTATCTCGACCCGCAGGTCCTTGATTTGGGAGCTGACACACCGACCATCTTTCACCACAGCCTGGAGATATTTGTGAGGGTGGTTGAGGATTGCCACGTCCTCGAGTGGGTTGGCCGAGAGGAGGAGGAAATCCGCAAACGCGCCCTTAGCCACAACGCCGACCTTACCTTCCAAGCCGAGCACTTTGGCGCCGTTGAACGTCGCTTGCCTCAGAACGACTGGCGAAGGGAGGACACGCTTGCGGAGCTCAAACTCGGACAACTGGAGTGGCTGCATGGAAGAGAACGCGTCGGTGCCGTAGGCGATGTTGACCCCGAGCTCGTGCGCCTTCTTGAGCGTGACAAAGCCCATCTCCTGCACGTGTGTGAGCTTCTCGCGCGACGCGGGCGGGATAATGGCGTCGTACGGCGGTCGGGAGAGGAGGTCGCACACAATCAGCGTAGGCGTGAGATGCACGCCCTTTTTGGCCATGAGCTTGAGCGTGTCTTCGTCGATGAGGTTGCCGTGCTCGATGCCGCCGATGCCGCCCTCAATCGCGTTCCGCGCACCCTCGGTGGTGAAGCAGTGCGCTGTCACGAGCCGGCCTCCCATCATGCGCACCGTGTCGCAGATCGCCCGGATCTCGGGCACCGTGAACTGTGCACTTTCCAGTCTGTCGGTTGGCGAAGCCACACCGCCGGACGCGCATATTTTTATGTGGTCCGCGCCCATCTGCATGATCTTGCGTGCCGTTTTGAGACACGCATCCACGCCGTCGGCGACAGCACTGAGCTGCGGCCCATGGCCCCACGGCGTGATCTGGCAGCACCCGATTTGGCTGTCCTGCGACGCCATGTCGCCGTGCCCGCCGGTTTGGGACATGATGGGCCCACCCTGCAGGATACGTGGGCCAGGAATAAGCCAGTCCGCCGTCGCATTCTTAAAGTGCCGGTTGGCCCCGCCCACATCACGTACGGTGGTGAAGCCACGCGAAAGCATCCCGCGGAGCACGTAGCCCGTCTTGAGCGCCGTGTCCGTCTCGCTCGTGCCGGTCAGTGACGATGCCGTCTGCCCTGGGGTGGCTGTGATGTGCGTGTGGCCTGGGGTTAGGTGGGCAGGGGAAGAGCGGGGGCGGCTTACAGTCAATCAGGCCGGGGCAGAGGTATAGTCCACTGGCGTTGATGGTGCTGTATCCTGCCTCCTGCATGTCCGCGTCTTTGGTCTTCTCGACACTCTCAATCACGCCCTTCCGGATGCGCACAGTCATGTTCTTCTGTACTTTGAGATGCTCGGTGCATATGACGTTGGCGCCTAGAGTCAGCGGAGCGGTGAAACGGCGCACCGACAAAGCTCATAGGCAACTGCTCGGGTCGAATCCACGGCGCGGCAAAGATGTCATAGTCTGGCGGTACCGGGTAGGGCACCCAGTGCGGGGGAGTCCACTCGTATGGGCCCTTGGGCGCGCGCTCAAGCATCTCAAAGTCATCAGCACGGCTCATGGTGAATGTGGGATCATCGGGAGTCATAGAGATGGATCGACGTAGTTAGCCAGCCCACCAGCCGTAGTTAGCCGGCCTAGGCCGACAGCCGCGGGTGACCGTGTAGCTCTGGATTTCAATTGAGATTGTAACATGTCACAAAGATGATTGGGTTTGGGCAATGCTCGGAAGGCAAGGTTGTGCGGACCGGTCGTCTGCTCATGATGCTGAGACGAGAAGCTGCGAACCCGAGCACCTGCAACGGTCAGACGGTGAGAAGGTGCCCTGCACTCCCCTCATGGCACCGCACTGACACGACGTGAGACATCGTAGCAACGGCATCATCGCTGGCAAGGAACAGACTGTCCACGTTTGGGTTACGATAAACGTTTGCGGTCGATGGCAGAATTATCGGGAGCGTTCCAGCAACTGCCAGTCTGTTAATCTATTGTGAACCGTCTGGCAATTTGGAGTCGGAACATTCCCAGACTTATCTGACCTTCGACCATAAGCGCGCCCAGCTGTGTCTGTATGATCATCCCAAAACATCAACCTCAACTGTCCCCCGCAGATGTGCGATATCACGCCGTTTCCGTCCAAATATCCTGCGACACGCCCACAGACTCCCAAGCATGGATAATAGCCCGGGACCCTTGCATAACGAGGTGGATATAACTGCACTACACGGTAGATATTGATATAGACGAGTCAGATAGTGGTCATCGCAGTGAGACGAGACCGATATTAAGGAGCAGGGACCCAACATCGAGCACGCAAGACTACGCTTCATCCTCCGAATCGTCAGCCTTCTGCAGCGCGGCGTTCATGTCAATTTCGCGAATGCCCATGGAGGAAAGCACGCCCACAGTGGACGCGATGATGGCGCACACAAACACAGCGTGCAGCGCCTTCTGATACGACGCAGTCGCGGCGGCCTGGAGCACGGGTGGGAGGTCGCGGATCGAACTGGACGACTCGCGGATGGCAGCGATGATCTTCTGCGCGTTCGGGCCGGTGATGCGCTGCTCGAGCTCGCGCTGGAGCACGGCCTGCGTGAGCGCGCCGGAGAGAGAGACGCCGAGGACTTGACCCGTCGTACGGAACATGTACGAGACTGGCGTCAGAAGCATCGAAAGATGAGCTCACGCGAGGTGGCGACTGCGACATGCTCACGCCCGATGTCGGCGATGAGAGCAACAATCGTAAGTGTCGTCACGGAGCCGAGGGAGAATGCCATGGGGCCAAAGCTCGTCCAGAGCCAGAACTCAGACGTATGCTCGTCCCACGTTGAGAGAAGGATCGCGCTAATGATCGAGAAGGCGCCGCAGAACACCGTGAGCCAATAGTACCGGCCTGTGGCGCGGACGACAAAGCCCACGGCGAGAGAACCAAGCGAGCCGAGAATCGAGTTGGGAATTAGGTGGATGCCGGCGTTGGAGGGCGACATGAGGCGCACGGCCATAAAGAACAGCGGGACAGAGTACATCTTGGGTGATCAGCGGACGCACATCAAGGGAGGACGTACCACGCCGAACGATAAGATAGAGATGGTGAAATTGTTGATGGCGACTGCGATCGGAGTGCGCTGCGACAGCAGCTCGACGGGGAGCACGGGCTCTGATGCGACGAACAACTCCACATGCAAGAAAATGCAGAAGAAGACGGCGGACGTGATGAACATGCCGATAATGAGATTGTCGCCCCACTTGTACGCGATCTCCGGGTCCGTCGACGAGGTGACGAGTGTGACGGCAAGTAGTGCCAGGCCGATGAAGATTGCGAGGGTGAAGCTTCCGAGCCAGTCAATGCGGCGGAGCTTCTGTCCGATCGTCTCGCGCACCTCGGGCGTGGCGGCACCGCTTGAGTTGGGCGAGCGCACACTATACCTCACCTTCCACCAGATCATGAGGCCGGCGAGCGCAAGCAGCGGGACCTGGAGGTAGAATGCCCAGCGCCAGCCGAGATGATCGTTGATGATGCCACCAAGCGGGGCGCCAAGGCCGGACCCCAAGCCGAACATGATGTTGCCGTAGCCTTGGAAGATGCCGCGGTAGCTGATGGGCACGAGGTCGCTCATGATCGTGCTGCCCACCGAGGTGAGGCCACCGCCGCCGATGCCTGCGATCGCGCGCGCAAAGATGAGGAACTTCATGCTGGGCGCGACAGCACACATGATGTTGCCGATGGAGAAAAAGGATAGCGAGATGAGCATCGATGGCTGTCGGCCTATGATGTTGCACAGGCGCCCATAGATGGGCGTGAAGCAGCAGACCGAGAGGAGGCTGGTGTGAGCGGTGATCATGGGGCGAGCACAGCGGGCCAGCAAGCTAAAGGCGCTGTCAAGCATATCAAGGGCGCAATTCCCCATCGCCAGCGTCACGTACTAGGCCGTACCGAGCCACGATGCGAGGTTCGTCGCGTTGAACGCAGACGAAATCGGTCCGAGCAGCGTCGCGACTGTCATCAGCTCCGCCTCATCACCACTCACCGATCGTGCCGTCGAAGGCGCTAAGGAAGGCGCACGACCACATCGAGATACACTGGCGTTAGGCTGCGCCCGAGAGGCAAGGGCGACGCACGAGCAACCAGAAGTCGGCCTGTGACAACCCGGCGAGGTTGTAGTGCTTGCTCGTGGTGTCGAGCACAGGCGCATAGTCCTCCGGCACATGTGTCGCATACTCGACAACGCTCTCGCGGCGGGGCTTGGAGCCGGCACTGCTCCCCGCTAGGAGCGGAGAGCGTTCTGTTGGGTGGCTGGGGCCGGGGCGAGCAGGGGACGGCATGGCTAGGTCAGCTAGTGGAAGTGGCCGGTCGGCGTTGGCCGGATGGCGAACAATCCGCCTCGAGTGTTGATCGTTAGAGGGGACAAGAAGAGACGAGCTGGCCTCGATATAGTAGTGAGCACGATGAGAGAGTGGGGGAGCGAGAGAGAACAGGTGACTACCGATCGGTGCAACAAAGTTAGGAACAGCAGACCAAGTCCGGTCTTATGATGCCCACCCTTCCACCACCGAGGCATACCGGTCATAGCCGCGGCATCGTCCAATGTCTTCTGACACCACCACGGTCCCCACTCTCATGCGTTGATCACAGCGCTCTAGAGGCAGCGCTCCCCACTCTGCAATGCATGGTCTGCGCATCTCTCTCCGCGAGTGGGCATGGCCCACTCCGCGGCGGGACTATTGAACCGTATATCCGACAGAACGACCTGATCACACCATCAGCCTACGGCAGCCCCGAGCGCCATGTATCGCCCACGGTGTTGAGGCCCCACGCCTGTGCGCTCGTGTCGTGCACCGTCGCGCGCCGCATGTCGCGCGCGTACTTGCCCTCATACGCGCCCGTACACGCGCGGTGCATGGCGCACGTATTGTCCCAGATCACGAGGTCGCCGGGCGCATGCCACTCGTGCACGTGCACGTACCGCGGCTGGGTGCAGTGCGCGAGGATGCGGTCGATCTCGGCGCGGCCCTCGGCGATCGGCAGGCTGTCGACGCGGTACGCGTGGTTCGCGATGTAGAGGTTCGTGCGGCCCGACGCCTCGTGTGTCTGCACGAGGCGGTGTTTTCCGAAGGGGTGGGATTCGGGGAGGAAGCGCGGCTCGTCGAGCAGCGGGTGCCCGGGGCTTGCGCGCCGGCGGCTGTGGAACTGAGAGTGCCAGAGGACATAGTCTTGGATCCGCGCTTTCACGTCGGGAGTTAGCTCGTCGTATGCGGTGCGCGTGTCTGCGAACTCGGTGTTGCCGCCGGTACCGGGAGGGGGTAGCTCGTGTGCTAGCAGCATCGACAGGCCGGCGCGGCGGGGGTTGAACGAGCTGTCGACGTGAAAGAGGGTATTGCCCTTGCCCATGATACCCCGCAGGGACTCAGGCTGGATGATGTTGCCGTCTGCGTCGACGTTTGATACGTCGAACAACTCGTCATACTTGAGTCGATTGATGCGGCCGAGCTTGTTGTAGGGCGTCACGTCGTCCAGTGGGCCAAAGAGGCGTGCGAGCGCGACATGTGTGTCGTCCGTTAGTGGCGTGTCACGGAACACCAAGACGCCGTACTTCGCCAGGCCGGATTTGAGCTCGTCTGCGAGCTCCTGATTGATGTTTGTCCAGTCGACGCCAGAGACCTCGGCGACGAAAGTGGCGTGTTGCGGCGTGTACGTGAGCTGTGGCTTTGTCATGAGCACGTATGTGTGTGTGTGGGAGGTGCCGAGAAGCATCTGTTCAGATGTGAGCCTGTTCATATAGCTTGAAGCGACGCAGACGGTATCTCACGGCAAGACGGTGAGGTCAGGTGGTATGCTGTCGGCGTTCTCCGGCACACAAACCCAGGTGTCGCATTTTGGTGCGGAAATGCGATATGTTCAGGCATATCTCGCATCTGGGCGTCTTGACGTTACCATACTCATTGCAGCTTGCCGCGTAGTCGAGAGAAATTCGAGATACAGAGGGAGGGATCAAGAAGGAGGGGTCAAGCGTGAGGTGTCGAATAGGAATGATTAATATTGTGAGAGGAGACAAACCGGCCTAAATGGGGCACAGGGTGTGCGCTCTCAAGCGAAAGTGAGGCTCGCAGTGGCAAGCAGTGAATCTAGGTTCGCCAGCGGAATGACCGATGGCTGCTGATGAAAATCAACCACACCAACGGCAAGCCAAGCTTGCTGGTGGCGGCCGCGGGTGACGGAGAGCCTGGAGCTGGATACAATGTCATTTCTGCCAATGATGTATATCCTGGGAACTGTATTAATTGACTGACTCTGAAGTGACATGGCACAGAGGCATGAGTGCAATGTGAAAAGAAGGCTGTCGGACGTTGAAGCGTGAACCAGCGTCACCGGGCCTCACCGGGCGACTGATCGCCTATCTCGTATCGATCGGCACTCCGACACCATGCGCGACTATGCCACAATTCATGACTTGATACACATCTCACGACCCATAAGCCGGCGGCCCGCCATGCGGCGCGACATGCGGGCCGCCAAAGTATCCTGGGGGCGCGTCCGGGCGCTCCTCGATCGCCATGCGCACACTGCCTACGCGGGAGCGCGCGACGCCGCCGATCGCCTCAGCCGCCTCGCTCGCATCAAAGCTCGGCGGGTGGTCGACCTCGACGTGCGGGCGCTGCGCGAACGGATCCATGAAGCGCGGATACTCTTCGCGCGTGAAGCCGCGCGAGGCGCCGCCGAAGCCCGGCAGCGCGGGCAGTGAGGGCTCGTCGATCCCCGGCGGCAGGTCGTCTTGGAGGTCTACGACGCGGCCGTGCGCCAGCCCCAGCTGCTCCATGAGCGCGGCGGGGTCGCTGGGCGCGCCGCCGAGGCCGAGGCGCGCGGCGATATCGCCCGCAACTGCCGCGTTCGCCGCCTCGTCTCCCGGCGGATCCATGATGCCGGGCACGCCAAAGGAGGCCGCCGCCGGAGGCGGCGCCATGCTGAACGTCTCGTAACCGTCGTACTGCTGTCAGATGTGTTAAATGACCAGCTCACCTCCGTCCAGCTGGCCAGCTCGCCGTGGAGGCTCGGCCGGCGAGCACTTGGGGAGGGCGCACACTCCTCAAATGCAACAGGCTGCAGGCGCTCGCTCTCGGGCGCATCGTGGAGGCGCGGCGCGGCGCCGGAACGCATTTGCGCCTCGCTTTCGTTGAAGCTCGGCAACCCGACCGGCTCCTCGCTCGTGTCGCTATCAGTGTCCGTGTCCATGTCCGCGCTGTGGCTGCCACTCGGCCCAGCTCCGTCGAAAGGAGGAGGTGCGTCGGGGTGCGCGTGCTCAACACGAGTCGTGCCTCCAGCGCCCACAACGTCTCGCCCCTTGCGGCGGTACGCTTCTCGCGCGGCTGCACTGTCGTCCTCGGGCGGAGGGGAGAGGACATCGTCACCGACAGTGCTCTCTCCCCCGATCCCTGGCGCCGGCGCCATTCCGCCCTCAATCACGACAGTAGCTGGCTCCCTCCACGCCGGTGGGCGAACAGTGATCTCTTGCTCAACCGTCCAGCCCTCGCCCGCACTTGAACTCTGAGCCTGCTCATACCGCTCGCCAAACCCAAGTGTGGCGCGCACGACAAAGTGGATGTCGTGGTATGTTGTGCGTGCCGAGATTTCCCCGCCTGTCGCCAGCATGCCCTGGTGGATCTGGGCGGTCGGGAGGGCAAACAGCACGCGCAGTGGTGGATGCTTTCCCACTGCGCCTGGGTAACGCAAGCTCTTGCCGCTGGCATGGACAGTGGTGGACACGGTGTTAACGCCACCTATTGCGCCGGCAGCGCTGCTCTGCGGCGGGGCCGCTACATTGACCACACGCACGAGCTCTACGCGCACGCGCCGCAGCGGACGTAGCACTTCGTTCGGGTCCGGCTGAGCCACAAGACCTGCAAGGCCCGTGCGCTCTCGCCTCGCTGGGCACACCTCAACGCCAATGTGCAGTGAATCGCCCAGTCGTGGAGTGGTGCAGCTCAGCACGAGGCGGACACTCACCCCTGCCCGCTCGAGACGCGCCACGGCGTCCTCGGACTCGGGGTCCTCGCCCACGTCGAGCTCAGGCGGCACACCCTCGACCCGCAGCTGTTCAGTGACGACCTCGCCTGTTGCGAGGGTAAGGTTGACGTCGACGAACCAGCGGATGGCGTTATCAGGCCCCAGGTCGAGGCCGCCGGGGAGAGGGGAACCATTGCGCAAGCTGGGTGGGAGCTCGAGTGCAAAGCGGTGCGAGAGAGGGAATGGGGGCGCTGCGGAAGAGGACGCGTTCGCGCCACTCGGCGGGTAGAGGGTTTGTGTCGGAAAGGATGCGAGGTCCATGTCTGGCATGCCTGTTGCGCGGTCCAGCAGGCGCGCGGTGACGGTCCTGCATGTCAGTGATGGTTGGGGAGGGCTGGGGTTGTGGTGTGGGAGGTAGAGAAAGGGCTGGCATAGGAGGTTGAGAGTACGAGTAGGAAGAGGAGGGGTTGAGGGGGGCGGAGGGTGGGATGATGGGGGGTGCGCTCTGGTGGACTAGGCGCACTGGTGGCTGCGCGCACCGTCGACCATGCGCTGCTGACACACCCACACTCACAGACTCTTGACCGCCTGGGAGCGGTCCTCACCAAGCCCCTTGACGTAGACCTCGCCTTGGATCGTGCGTCCCCAGAAGAAGGAGGGAGCCTCTGGGAGGGGCATGACGAGGATCTGGGGCTGGGTCGGGGCATAGGTTGGCGGTGGCGGGCCTGGTGGGGGATGGGAGGCGGGGTGGGGATGGAGTTGGAGTTGGGCGGCGAGGGTGGGCGAGAGCGGCGGGGGCGGGGGTGGGGGGGCGGGCATGCCGCTTGCTCGTGCTGAGGTATGCATTGCGAGCAAGATGAGAGATGAATTGCGAGCAAGATGAGAGATGAGACGAGTAGAAGATGATGATGAGAGGAATGGAT